CTACAGATCTTCCGCCTGGATATTCTACTCAGTTTTGAAAATAGGATATTGAAGTACTCAGTTATTATTCAACTCTGTCTCCCTTGGATTCTGTTCATTTTTTGCTCTGTATATTTTGGTGCTCTGCTGTTAGGGGTAAATCTATGACCTCACACATGCTAGGCAAGCATTTGGCTGCTGCTCACACCCTCCAGCCAGTTGAATTTTTTAACTATACCATTTGATTCCTTTATTTCCTTTCCTGTAAATTCTTTTGGGGTTGTTTTTATTCTTTTTCAAGACAGGGCCCTACTTGTGCAGCTGCCTTGAACTCACTACGTAGCTGAAGATGGCCTTGAACTCACACTTCTCCCCCATGCCTCCACCTCTCAAGTGCTGATATCACAGCAGTGTACCACCATATCCAACTCCTTCACTGTATATTTTATCACTTCATTCCCCTCCTCCTTTCTGTTTACAACAGGGTCTCACTCCAGCCCCAACTGGCTCAAACGTGAAAGCGTCCTGCCTTAGCCTCCTAATGCTGGCCCTGCAGGCCTGCCCCACCAAGCTGGGCTCATCTCTCTAGACCTTCCGACAGATGGCATCAGAGCATGGCACTGCCATCATTGGTGGTACTGTTGAACAAAGGTAAGTGCCTTTGGTTTCTCAGGGTCCAGCCAAAACCTGCTAAAATACACCAAGCTACATTTTTTCGGGTCACCAGTGTCCACTCCAGCACCAGAATGCAGACCAATGTCCCTGCACCTACAAGGCATTCGAGACTAAGGTAGATCCTTGCACCCCTCTCACAGAAAATGTCAGGAGTGTTTTGGGGTGGGGTACAATATTTGTTGCGTGGCATGGTGACATGAGTTCAAATCCCCTTTGCACGTGTAAAGGCTGACTCAGTCTGGAACTCAGTGCTCTGATGGGGATATGTGAGAGAGAGAGAGAGATAAGAGAATCCTGAGAAGTTCCTGGTCCAGCAAGCAGCAGCAGCAACAGAGTGTCTCAAATGAGGAAGAAGGTGACGGACAAGACTCAAGGTCGTCCTCTGACCTCCACATGGATGTGCACATACAAATGAGCGCGCGCGCACACACACACACACACACACACACACACACACACACACACACACACGCAGAAACACAGAAAAAAGAGAGAAAGCAAAGCATTACCAGTCTATCCTTTCACGAAGCTCCCCCTAGTGGTCACCAGCGCAGGAGCCGCTCCAGCGCTGCACTTGAGTCCCCTTATCTTGCCTGGTCAGCAGGTGGTGCAGCACACTGAGCACCCTGGGATTTTTCACGCTTGTATATGGCAGATCATCACTCCACGCATTTTTGGTTTTTAATTTTATGTGTATGAGTGTTTTGCCTGCATGTATGTCTGTGTGCCACGTGTATACCTGGTTCCAGCGGAGGCCAGGAGAAGGCATCAGATTCTCCGGAAAGTGTGAGCCACGATGTGGGTGCTGGGAATCGAACTGAGGACCTCTGGAAGAGCAGCCAGCGCTCTTAACCACTGAGCCATCTCTTCAGCTTCCTCCTCCACATATTTTTAACATGTCACAGGTGACATGTAATGACCCAGTGAGATCATACTGTCTGTGGTGCTGACTTTGTCTTGGGCTGTTAAAGTACACTCTAATTTTTGCACAATCACAAAATCACCTAACAACTTTTTTTTTTTTTGAGACAGCATCTGGCCTTGAACTCGCTATATAGCTGAGGCTGACCCTAAACTTCTGATCATCCTGCCTCCACACCCAGAGTGTTGGCTAGGATTGCAGATGTGCACTACCACACCTGGTATGTATGTGCCGAGGAACAAGTCCAGGGCCTTGTGTATACGAGGTAAGCACCCAGGCATCTGAGAGGTAATTTTTCAGAACGTATCCTCATTCTTTTTTTTTTTTTTTTTTTAGGTTTTTCGAGACAGGGTTTCTCTGTGTAGCTTTTGGTGCCTGTCCTGGAACTCGCTCTGTAGTCCAGGCTGGCCTCAAACTCACAGAGATCCACCTGCCTCTGCCACCCAGGCACTGGGATTAAAGGCGTGCACCTGGAGTATCCTTATTCTTAAGCAGCATCCAATTTCTAATGAATTCTTGATAATTTAACTTTTATCATCATAAACTACACCTGCTCTGGTATTATTTGCAGTCTCGAAACAGAGTTCACTCTATTTTAACAGAGCCATACACCGGCTTCCTTATTATTAGTGGGACAGTATCTTCCTATGTAACCCAGGCTGTCCTCAAATTCATGACTCCCCCCTCCCCTTTGCCTCAGATACCTAAGTACTGAGATTCTGGGTGTGTGCCACTCTGTGTCATATATTTTTTTTCCAACATATTTTCATTAATATTCTTCTTTAAAATGTACCTATTTATATATGAGTGCACATGTGTCCGTGTGTGCATGTGTGTCTATCTGTGTCTGTGTGTCTGTGGGCTCCTGTGGAAGTCAGAGGACAACCTTTGGGCTTGCTGGCTGCCAGGCCCATCTGCAATGTGGGACCCCAGAATCAAATCAGGTTTGGCGGCAAGCATCTTACCCACTGAGCCACCTCACTGGCCTAATATCCATCTTTAGCAAACTGATTCTCAGAACCCAGTCTGGAAATGTTGTTTCTAATCAGTGTTTAAGACCAGTAACACGTAATGCAATTTTAATTTTTTTTTCATTTTAATGGTTACTATTTAACTATTTGTTTCCAATTCTTTCCCTTTGTTCTTTTGCTTCTTTTTTTTTCATGCCTATTATTTTTGTTTGGAATTTAGAATATTTTATTTTTATTTTAAAGTATGCGCACGTGTGTGCAGGTCCCCTCGGGTCCAGGAGAGGGCACTGATCTCGTGAAGCTGGAGTTACAGGTGGTTATGTACTGCCTACATGTGGGTGATGGCAATCAAATGTAGGTCCCATGCAAGAGCATTGGCCACTCTACAGTTGCTGAGCTCTCTCTCCAGCCTTTGGGGATGGGGAGGAGTCACCAAAGCCCTTTGACCTAGGACATGGAACTGGAAAGATGAGTTTCCCCTGTGGGTTTCAGTCTTTGTATTTTCTGACCATGCTGATCCCTCCTTCTAAAACAGTAATGTATGTTCTGTACCACCATCTGTTGGAAGTTATAACCTGCCTTTGATTTCACAGGGGGTGGGTTACACATTGCCTTGTGTCTCAGAAGAGACTTTCAAACAATGCTGAGACTGTTCTGTCTATGGGGACTTCTAAAGTTGAGCTACATGCATTTTGCACTTTGATGTGAGGCTATGGGGCCAGGGGATGGAATGTGGTGGTTGGAATGGGACCCCACAATCAGTCTCTGTTTGGTGATGCTGTCCAGGGAGTCTTATGATTGGGGTCTTGTGGGAGGAAGTGCCACTGAAGGCGGGCTTTGAGAGTTTAAAGGCTTGCACCATTTTTAGTTCTTGCTCTGTGTTTCCTGTCTGCAGCTAAAGATGCGAGTCCTCAGCTTCCGCTGCAGCTGCTGCTTGTGGCCATGCTTCCCTGCCATGACAGACTCGTACCCCTATTGAACAGCAAGCCCAAACAAACGCTTCCTTTTAGAAGTTGCTTCTATCACAGCAATAGAAAAGTAACTAATACACATGATAAAATACCAAACAATGTCTTCAAACAAATTTACAATTTATTATCAATAAATGTCTGGTGTATGTACCTATTTTCAATACCCAGGGCCAAATAAATATTTCTCGGAGGAAAAGTCTAGAATGAAAAAAGTTTGAGAAGCTCTGAGTTAGAGGCAAGTTAGAGTAATGGAGGATGCCAATCAGAGGATGGACTTCCAGCTGGAAGACCCATCTCTGAGGTCTAATGGTGATAGGGGTGACAGGTATCATACACTCATGGTAATCATCAATATATTTGTATTTCAAATCTTCACACTGTGGACCCTGAGTACACGTACATTTATAAATTAAAACTTTAGGATAAAAATATAAAAGTAGAACACATTAAGAGTAGTAAGGGGGGCTGGAGAGATGGCTCAGAGGTTAAGAGCACCAACTGCTCTTCCAGAGGTGCTGAGTTCAATTCCCAGCACCCACATGGTGGCTCACAACCATCTCTAATGAGATCTGGCGCCCTCCTCTGTGTACATAATAAATAAATAAATCTTTAAAAAAAAGTAGTAAGGAATCAAGTTCAGCCCAAGAGGCCGAGCCGGGCCGACTCCTACCTAGCTAGGGATTGCTAACTAGCTTACGCGCTGAGTTCTATACTATGAGAACTTGTCTCAAACAGAAAAGTAGATGACTCTCAAGGAATAGCAGGTGAGGGTGTCCTTACACACACACACACACACACACACACACCCCAAACAAAAACCCAGGTCAAGTCGGAATCCAATTTAAAGGTCCAGGACTCTCCTATTCCCAGATGAGTCTCAGCCCGACTGCTCAGTGTGATGCACACATACTCCCGAGTTCCCAGAGTTCCCAGAGCAACACAGGAGCGCTCCCACTTCCATGCTGGGAGCTTCTCTTTGAGCATCATTCCCTGTAGAAGCTGCTTCTGCCCTCCAAATCTCTCTTCCTCACAGGCACCAGGTCCTCTTGATCGCCACCTCAGCAAGGACACTTGGCACACCAGTCTGAAGTGTGCACCGATTACGGAGTGGCATGATGTGCTCAGAGAACGGGCAGGGGGCAGAACCCACATGGCTCCTGAGGAACTCAGTGAGGAGGTCTGCCAGCACTCTGAGGCTTCACCCCTCTGCCTCTCATGGCCGGCACTGCCAAGGCTGCTTGTCATCCAGAGCGTTAGGGGCAGGTCCCAGAGTTGGGGGCCTGGCTGCTGGGCCAGGATCTGAAGGACTAGCTATGGCCAGATCATCAGGGTTTGTGACCTCTGACAGGTGAAGGGTTAGACTGTCCTCTACCAATCTACCCTTCCCACTCCCCCCCCCCCCTCTCTCTCTCTCACACACACACACACACACACACACACACACACACACACACACACAGAGCTTAATGACAACCACACAACTAAAGAGAGGAGAAGTTTATTGTGTTGAGCAGAGCTTACTCTCATGGTAACACCAGCATTCCTTTGGACTAAAGACATTCACGGACATTAACCTCACACCATGCGAGGTGTTGGCTTGAATGGAAAAGGAGGACACGGTTTCTTTAAAAACCGAAGCTTTGTCTCCATTTTCCCATTTCTGGCTGGAAAACAGAGTGCTTGGTGGTCTTTTGTTCCAAAGTGCCAACCTTCAGGTAGTGCATCTGGTTAAGGGAACGGTGCCCGTTCCTCGGCTGAGCTCAACGGGGACAAGTAAGGCAGCGCAGAGAGCATGGGGGGGGGGGGGGGGGAGCATGGCTCCAAGCCCTGCCCAGGAGTCACAGCCTCCACACTGCTGGGGACCCAGGAGTCACAGCCCTCCACACTGCTGGGGACCCAGGAGTCACAGCCCCCTACACTGCTGGGGACCCAGGAGTCACAGCCCCCTACACTGCTGGGGACCCAGGAGTCACAGCCCCCTACACTGCTGGGGACCCAGGAGTCACAGCCCCCTACACTGCTGGGGACCCAGGAGTCACAGTCCTCTACACTGCTGGGGACCCAGGAGTCACAGCCCTCTACACTGCTGGGGACCTGGAGTCACAGCCCTCCACACTGCTGGGGACCCAGGAGTCACAGCCCTCTACACTGCTGGGGACCTGGAGTCACAGCCCTCCACACTGCTGGGGACCCAGGAGACTCAGGAGGGATCTCCTGCTTTCTGTCCCCAACGTCCTGGACTTCCCTGTAGCATGCTGATGCTTGGCGCTGACTCTATCACATGCTGCCCTCAGTGACACGCAAGGAGAGTCCCTACCCAGTTCACAGACTCACCACTCCTATGGAACACAGAAGGGCCCTTTCTGCTGTTACATGGAAAGACAAAATACCAGCAATGAATGGGAAACGAGAAAGAACCTTCCAGACAGTTGGACATTTCAGTAACTTCCTGAGTGACAATGTTTAATGTGCTTGAACTCATCCGGCATGTGAGAAGTCCTCATTAAGACTTTCTCCGTTACCTTAAGGCAGAGAAAACAGGAGCTCATGAAATTCAACAACAAAAAATGCTTTCTAAACAAGAAACATGATGAGCCATTGGATCGGCTGGTCATCACACAATAGTCCCAGAAAGTCAAGTGTGCAACAACTCACTAAAAAGACGGAGCCCTGAAAGTCACATTTAGGAATTGTGCATAAATCATAATCCATATCACCAGGACATTTCCCACTGGACAGCTTTTCGTGAAATCTATCCAGCAAAGTGGATCAGAGCTCCCTCTCAACTCCTCAGGCAAATCATGTCTTTTAATCATGCAGGTCTAAGAAGAACAATTTCAGAAAAAGATTTAGTCATGGAGGAGACAGGGACAAGAGGAGTGACGTCGCACTCCTGACCATGTGAGGGCTGCCTGACCCGGTCTAAATTACTGTCAAGTTTACTTCCTGTTTTCTTCTCCCTTCTTTACAACCGGGCTCTTTACTACGGTGCATCATTCATGGACTCAGCCTAAAACCAGGTAACATACATCAGGCAGAGCCTTACCAAGGTTCAGAACATAAAGTTTCCAGGCGAGCAGAGGAAATCCAGCTCTGCCATGGAGCCTGCTTCTGACCAGATAGGCCCAGCACAATGCACGTGTACCTGGAGACAAAACATGTTCAATCGGAAACGTAGCTTCTGCCAGACTATCAATGTCAACTACCTTATGAAACCAACACACCATCCCTCTCAACTTCTGACTAAACCCAGGATGCTGGAAAGCTGTGCCTGAAAGCTCCAGATGCCCAGCAAGCGCCACTTTCCACAGAACAGAGACTGACTCACACTGGTGCATCTAATTCTGACATGTCACAGTTCACACGACCCTACTGGTTCAGAAAAGAATCTTTCTACTACTATATGACAAGAGGTTAAAAACAAAAACAAAAACCAACCAACCAATAAACAAACAAACAAACAAAAAATTATATATACCCATGCCAAGAACAACAGTGAACTTTCCAGAAGCTTGGACAATCTGTGTGATCAGTTTTTTCCTGCTTCTTGGAAAATATTTCACCTCTCTTTTCAGTTACAGTATGCTTTTTTCATGGTGGAGATATCTGATGAAACCAACAGAGACACCCTTCCTGGGGCACTTAATAGTAGCATCACTTATGGGGCTTTTGCTTCATTTGTAGAGATGATCAATCCACAGAAAGCAAGGACCAAGCTGACAAAGGACAGGCTTGGACAACTTCAGAAGCAAGCTGGGTCTGACCTACCTACCCAGCATCAACTATTAATGTGACTTACGTCAGGGAGGTGACACACGAGGGCCGAAGGATCACAGAGGGCATGATCTGCACCTTCCTTTTCCACAGAGGATGCACTAATGACTTGGTAGAAAGAAGGAAACTGGCCAGGCAGTGGTGGCGCATCTCTGTGAGTTTGAGGCTAGCCTGGTCTACAGAGTGAGTTCCAGGACAGCCAGGACTACACAGAGAAACCCTGTCTGGAAAAAAGGAAACTGGCCACTAGGACCAACATTTAAAAGCACATCCCTGTAACCTGACTATTTCCTGCTCATCACAGGCTCCCAGGACACTGGGAACACTGTTTCTGCCTACAGTTGAGGACGGCAGCAGTGGTATCCCTGAAAGCTTAATGCATGTGGACATGAAGCCTGAACGGAGGCTGGCTCTAAGTTAACTTTAGGACTCGAAAATGGGGAGGAAATTTATTACTTGATGTATGTGTGGTGAAGTTTTCATTTTAAACATTCATGTTGTAATGTACAGTGTGTTGATGTCATGTGCTAGCTAAGAAGCTGGCTATGGGACATGTTTATCTCAAAGTGTCTCACAAGGCTCTTTGTCTGGGGATGTGAGCCCCTCTAACTTTATGACAAAACAGTTCAATAGTTCAAGAGTCAAAATATGACATCCTTGAACACAGCTGGGAGCAATTCATCCCCAGACACCTTCCCAAGGTCAGAGGACTCAGCCACTGCTTGGCCCCGCTATGGAAGTGCCACAGTGGGTAGGGAGGCTGCAAGCTTGGAGAAAGGGAACTCCAGCTGACTGTTTCAGCTTCCCTGGCTGGTTTCTGCAGGATGTTGTGAGCACCGAATTTGATGATGGTATTTTTAGTTTTGCTATTTGTTCTTTTACTTGGAAGCCTTACCTGAGGGAACACTCTGCTCTGCTCAAGATGCTCACTGGGGAACTCTAGCTGGCTGAGTTAAGGGGTTTCTTCGGGCTGCGTGGGTTTCGATGATGTTTTGCTGTCTCTCACTATTTATTACTTAGTAACTGCCCATTCAAATTCCAGCTATGGCTACTGTAGGTCATTCTTCCTTGAAAACACACGTATTACCTAGCTTAGATGGGCAAGGTCTTATCCATGTGCACTCACTCATCATATTCACTTTTGCTTCTTCTTTTTTGAGGTGGGGATGCAATGCTGGGATGGAACACAGGGCCTTGAGCCACACCCCAGCTCCCTTCTTATTTTAAAGGCAGGTTAAAGAGGGAAGAACAGCCCATGACTGAGGCAGGCCAGTGCCAGCAACACTCTGTAACTCTTCACTGAAGATGCCCAAATCCTGGACAGCCAGGTTAACAACATGTCCCAGGCTCACAGCCCAGGCTGCTCCTGACAAGGTGAGACTGGGCTGTGGCTGTGGACACACACAACGCAGCAGTGACCTTAGAACTGGACCAGGCCTTGGGCAAGTCTCAAAAGCCAAAGGCAACCCACAGAGCCAAAGTAAAAGGGAAAAAGACAGAGCACAGGAAACTGAGTTCCAGAGACAGCCATTCCTGGTCATTGGTCTGAGAGCATCTGGGGAAGAAAAGACCAAGGACAGTCTCCTGGGTCTGAGAGAAGACTGGACAAGGGCAAGGGCAGACAGCATGGTGGTCATCCAGATGGAGGCCGAGTACACAGAGATGGACCACTGAGGGAGGGACTCAGTACGCCTGTGCCCAGCCAGGAAATTCAGAACCAACCGTTTTTTAGAAAGTAGGAAGAAAAAGCAAACATTTTCATAAATATAAAAATTGTTTACAAAACAATTATGTAGAAAGTTCACTGGTAATAGAATAAAGCTTCCGTTAAATTCAGCCACACAGATTGGAAGAGAATGGCCAATTTCTGTCTTCTTCCTTTGACACCAGAAAACTCTCCTCTGCCTGTCGTTTCCACCACCCCAGTTCTCCTGAAGACTGATTTCTTAGCAACTGAGCCAACCCTGAAGCCACATGATTATCGGTTGGGCTCAATTCCACAGTGAGCCTGATACCGGGGGAGAGAATGTGGGGCACGGGATGTGAGAAGTGTATTGGCATAGACCTTGAGGCTTGGACCTTGGATGAAGCATCTGCCCACCTGACCTGGTACAGGGTGGGCATCTGCAGTGCAGCAGGGCTGCAGGTAAACTGAGGTAAGGAAGGACATGGTGGCTTTTCTGGCAGCTTCGGAGCCAGTGCAGCAATGTGTGCTCTTGCGGGTGGGCACAAAGGACGTGGCTTCTCTCAGTTGCTGCCACCATTTCTCCCTCTGGTGTGCAGACAGTCCCAGAAGATCAGCCACTTGTCTTCCTCTGAGGTACAAATCCAACAGAGCCTTAGCCCCAAAGATGCGGCACCCCCTAGGGTGCAGTAGTCTAAATCAATAGGTGTGGTACACCTGCCCCATCGGTTTATCAGCAGTTGTATCGACAGATCAGAAAAAACTAGCATTTAGTACAAAAACTGTCAGATGGTGGGATTTCCTATCTTCTTCCAGAGATCATAATTCTTCATGTTTCTGAGATCCTATGGAAAAGAACAAAATATAAGACTTAAGTGTGAGCATCGTCCACAGCACATTCCACTGTATGTCTCAGATGGAGTTATAGGAGCTTGGGGCTTGGTATTTTGTATTAAGGTTTGAAAGCAAACATAAGAGAAAGAACACATATTTAGTTTTAAGAACCACTGACTGGCACTGTGGCTACACTGTTTCACCAGGGCAGTACTGGCTCTCAGCCAACCTACTTTCCAGAGCTCTTCTGCACTTGTACATTTATTCGTGTGTCTGGGTAGCTGTTTTCTTTGATCCTTAAACTGTTTTAATGTTACTAATTGATATGTAACAGTAAAGTAAGTTTCTTCATGTGGATTTTTTCCCTTGTATTGAACTATTTAAGATGCATTCTTTTTTTTTTTTTTTTTGGTTTTTTCGAGACAGGGTTTCTCTGTGTAGCTTTGCGCCTTTCCTGGAACTCACTTGGTAGCCCAGGCTGGCCTCGAACTCACAGAGATCCGCCTGGCTCTGCCTCCCGAGTGCTGGGATTAAAGGCGTGCGCCACCACCGCCCGGCCTTAAGATGCATTCTTAACAGAGGAATTGCTGAAGACAGAATCATTTTCTTTCATAGTATATTTTATTTATTACCATTATTGTGTGCACATTCCATGGTGCACATGTGTAGGTCAGAGGACAACTGTGTGAGGACAATAAAAACTCCTTCACTTTTACATGGGTTCTGGGTTCAGACTCAGGTCATCATCAGGCTGTGTCCGCTGTGCACCTTGCCCACTGAGCCCAGTGCACAGGACTTTAGAGCCTCTTGGTAACAGATCTATACAGATCTATACAGCTTCAGCAAGGCTCCTGCACCAGAGTCTCACCAGTGTCTCCTTATGCGCAGCATTATCAATAAGTACATCGGCTTTTTTTGATATAGCAGACACTAATGGTGACTCTAACTTGACTTCTGTCTCCTTCCTATACATCGGCCTTTTTTGATATAGCAGACACTAATGGTGACTCTAACTTGACTTCTGTGCTTTTGAACCATCTCTCCCGCTGCAAATGTGGGTTACACAGTTATGGTGACTGTGTAACCTTCTAGCTATGATTCTTACTACCCTGGCAGTCTCCAGAATAGACTGTCAAGTCACTCAAGACCTAAGCTCTGCATTTGCTTCTTAGGATAAGTTTAAAGTAGGAGAAATATTAAGATCCAGAGCCCAATTTATTCACTGTTTTTTTGGCTGGTCTCAAACTCACTATGTGGCTAAAAAATGAGTTTAACTCTTGATCCTCTCGCTTCTTAGCCTTGAGTAAACTGTTAAGACTTGTATGGGCTGGGCGGGCGGTAGTGCATGCCTTTAATTCCAGCACTCAGGAGGCAGAGGCAGAGGCAGGCCTACCTCTGTGAGTACAAAGCCAGCCTGGTCTATAGCGAGAGATCCAGGACAGGCACCAAAACTACACGGATAAACCCTGTCTCAAAAAAAAGAAAAAAAAAAAAAAAAAAAGACTGGTATGGATGGGCAAAGGCACTAAACATTTATTTGTAAGTTTTAGTAGCTTCCAAAACAAAACACCTAATTTGACTGGTAAACAATATAAAAGTATTTTGTACAGAGATCCATGTCTAGCCTTGGAAGTGGTAGGGATGGTACCCAGGGTCTTACACATGCTAGGTAAGTGTTCTACCACTGAACTACATATCCAGCCTTCATAAAGACTTGAAAAAAGCTTTCAGCTTGCTGCTACCCAATTAAAATAACATTGCATGTGTGTTTGGTTTTTTAAATTTGTTTTTTTTTTTTTAAGATTTATTTATTATGTACACAGTATTCTGTCTGCATGTATGCCTGCTGGCCAGAAGAGGGTGCCAGATCTCATTACAGATAGCTGTGAGCCACCATGTGGTTGCTGGGAATTGAACTCAGGACCTTTGGAAGAGCAGCTAGTGCCCTTAACCACTGAGCCATCTCTCCAGCCCATTGTTTGTTGTTTTGAGACAGGATCTCACTATGTTTCCTTGACTGGCCTGGACTCACTACGTAATTAGGCTGACCTCAAACTCAGAGATCCACCTCTCTCTGTCTCCATAGTGTGTGGTGATATTGTGTTCCCCAAAATATTGTGCACCCTAATAAACTTATCTGGGGTCAGAGAACAGAACAGTCACTAGATATAGAGGCCAGAAAATGGTGGCGCACACGCCTTTAATCCTATCACTTGGGAGGCAGAGATCCATTCGGATCTCTGTGAGTTTAAAGCCACATTGGAAACAGCCAGGCATGGTGACTCACGCTTTTAATCCCAGGAAGTGAGCCTTTAATCCCAGGAAGTGATGGCAGAAAGCAGAAAGGTATATAAGGCGTGAGGACCAGGAACTAGGCTGGTTAAGCTTTTAGGTTTTTGAGCAGCACAGTTCAGTTGAGATCCATTTGGATGAGGACTCAAAGGCTTTCAGTCTGAGGAAACAGGATCAGCTGAGAAACTGGCAAGGTGAGGTGGCTGTGGCTTGTTCTACTTCTCTGATCTTCCAGCATTCACCCCAATACCTGGCACCGGGTTTGTTTTTATTACTAAGACCTTTAAGATTCGTGCTACAACAATGCTGAGATTGAGGCATGTGCTGCCATGCCCAGTGATGTGTGCCCCCCTCTAAATAATAAATGAACGAATTATGAAGTTGTAGTAAAATGATATGAAAGTTGAAATTTTATGTAAAAAAGACTGGTATCTTTTATCTTCAATTTAAATACACTCCATCCTCACTCCAATATGCCTGTTTTATACTATTTACTTTCAAATAAATATATATTTTGTCTTGACCTAAATTTATTCATTGTCTAGTACCATGGCAGATTTAATGACCACACACACACACACACACTAAAAAATACACGTATTAAAAATTTCTTTAAAAAGCATCTCTTCTTCCTTTGACCAAAACAAGAAAGTGTGTATATGTGCTGAGTGGAGGACTGCAAAACTTCATTGAGAGTGCTATTTTGAGGGCTGGCCGAAGGGGCAAAATGAAAAACAGAACTTAGTTGAGGTCAAGATCAAGGGAAAGGCATCCCTCTCCCCCTTATATTCCTTATTCTGTTGTCCTGACAACGGATGGGAAACAAGGAGTTACTTATCCACAGCCAGGCTCACACTCACCTTCCTGCGTCTTCTCCTCACGAAGGGTCCCCATCTCCTTCTCCTCCTGGAAGAGGAGCTGCAGCTGCTTGATCTCCTGATCATAGTCCTGCCACTCGGGGACGATCCGCACGGCAGCCTCCAGTTTGGGCTCCTTAGTCATGGGATTATTACACTGAAACACAACACACACACAGCTCAGCGGAGCCACAGCAAAGGCACACTGTACAGATTCAAAGGGGCGTCCAGAGGGCATGGGGAGACTGAGGCAAGAGGAGCGGGACTTCCAGGTTAGGCCAGCTCACAGTGAGATACTCTCAGACCCAGAAGGCAGCAAAGGTTCCAGGCTAAAGGAAAACCTTCCAGGCACAGGGACGGAATGGAAGACAAGTAGTGACTCAGCAGAAAGCGCCTCTGCCAGTGCACAGGGACCTGGCTTCCTGCGGCAAGCGGAGAAGAGCCTGCTGAAATGACCAGGACATGCTGTGCAGCTCCAACCCCAACTCAGACAGAGTCAAGTGGACCCAGCACCAGCAAGCACCCAGGCACTGTCACGGGTCACAGCAGGGAAGGCCGCTCACCAGGTCAATCGTCTTTGCCCTCTTCTTAGAAGCATCATCGCACCACGTTTCACACCAAAGCCACTCTTGAGGGAGAGATTTGATTGGCACCTGATGAATCATGTTATTGGGTAAATCCTGTTGGGTAAAGAAAATAAAACACAAGGATCAAAAACTCAGAAAGAAATTTAAATAAGCAACCAAAAAAGTGTTAGCTTAAAATTCAACCAGAGGACTGGAGTCCAGTTCCCAGAACCCAAGGTGGGCAGCTCACAACCACCTGTAACTTCAGCTCTGGTGATCTGATGCCCCTTTCTGGCCTCTGCAGGCACCCACACACATATGCACATACCCACACTCAGACATGCACACACGTAAATAAAAGTCAAAAACAAAAACAAAAAACTTACAAAAACAAACAATAACACTACCTCAACTGGGGGCCCAAGGAGGGAACTACGAAGTTAAGAGCATTAGCAGCTTTTACAGAGAACCCAAGTTGGTTCCCACCAACTGTATGGCAGCTCACAACCATCTGTATCTCCAGTTCCAGGGGACCTCATGCCCTCTTATGGCCTCCTCCAGTACTGGGCAAACATATGGTACATATACACCCATGTAGGCAAACACTTATACACATAAAAAACCAAAAACAACACAAACAAAATTCAACTACACTTTCCTGTATGAAGGTAAATTTAAAAAAAAAAAAAAAAATCCTATTCTTTTGTTTTTGTTGAGACAGTATCTCACTTGCCCAGGCTGGTCTGGGCCTTGTGAAGTCCTCCTGCCTGGCCTCTCATGTGTTGAGATTACAGTTGTGAATCCCCATGCCTGGCCTCTGTTCACTTCTGAAGTTCAACTGGGGAGAAGAGATAGTTCTCAAAATTTATACTTTTCAGAAGAGAAGCTCCTGTCTGAGCTCTGCTCCCAAATGCAGGATCCCATTATGTCTCCCACAATAAAATGTTCCATTATCCTAACACGCTGGAAAAAATCCAACATATCAATGAAATAAAATGCACACAAATGATTGACTATGGTGCTTGTAAAGAATGATGTAGTGTAGTCAACTGAGTGTAGTGGTATACAACTGCAATCCTAGCACTCTGGAGGCAAAGGCAGAAGAGCTGACAGTCACTGAGTTCCAGGCCAGCCTGGCCATGTGAGAGATCCTGTCTTCAAACAAGAGCAAGTCAGACCAAACAGTATATTGCAAGCAACAACCACTCACACCCTTGTGTTACATGGGACAAGATAAATGATTCCTATGGTGGTCTGAATGAGAATGCCCACACAGGCTCATAGGTTTGAATACTTGATCCCCAGTTGGTGGAACTGTTCCCACAAACCGTATGGCAGCTCACGACCGACCGTCTGTATTGGGAAGGATTAGGAGGTGTGGCCTTGTTGGAGGAGGTGTGTTCCTGAGGGCAGCTTTGAGGTTTCAAAAGACTCACACCAGTGTCTCTTCCTCCCACTTGTAGTCAAGATGTGAGCTCTCAGCTGTTCCTGCCACCATGGTTTTTGCCCCACCATCAAGGACTCTAACCCTCTGAAAATGTAGGCCTAATTAAACGCTTATCAATTGCCTTGGTCATGGTGCTTTGTCACAGAAAAAGAAAAGTAACTGAGACAATCCCCTTTACAAACCTGTCAACAAAGTAAACATTAAACTTAAATTATCAAATATCAATCTTGATGTATCCGAGTTTAGTTTTAGACACTGCTGCACTGGAACTACTGCAATACACAGAACAGTGTGTCCACTTAATTTTATATTCTGCGGGAAGGGCAAATTCTACCTCTGAAATGGTAGACAAGGTAAATGAGACTAACTTGAATCCTGAAGACAATTGAGAAGCTCAGTGATATTATGAAAAACACATGCTTAAGGCTGAGAGTGTGGTTCAGTGAAGTGTGTGTTCTGTGTAAATGAGGCCTAGTTCAATCACTATTACCACCACCACCCAAAACAAAAGAAAAGCATATGCATGAAGGCATCAAAGAGCAAATGAGAGAATAAATTATTAGGCCTGAGAACAGTGGCCCAGAAAGAAAACTGCGGAATCTGGGGCTCTTTCTCTAGCATCACAAGCTGCTAAGTAATGCTTTCCAACGATTTCAACAACCAATCTACTTCAGTAACAAAGAGTCACATATAAAGCAAGGAGACTAGCTTTGGATACTAAAAGAACATACCCACAACTTCAGAGTGAACAATGGTGGTGGTCTGAACTAGAATTTCCCTCATCGGCTCAGGTACTTGCACACCACGATCCCCAGTTGATGGGGCTGTATGGGAAGGTGTGGCCTCTCTGGAGGAAGTACATCAGTAGAGGGAGGCTTTGAGAGTGCACTGCCCAGCCCCACTCTTTGCTTGGAGTTTGCAATTGAAAGTGTGAGCTCTCAGCTTCCTGGTCTGAGAGCCTATTGTCATGCCTCCCCCACCATTGTGGACTCTCCCTTAGGAACTAGAAGCCCAAATTAACTCTTCCTTAAGTTGCTCTTGGTCATGGTGTTCTATCATGGCCACAGAAAAGTACTGTATATATCAACTAACAGGCCCACCAAAGGCTGTAGATCAAATCACAGAGAGCCTAAAACTGGACTCAAATAATCCTGGATAGCAGAACTACTAGGCTCCTGACAAGAAGGAATAAAATCTGTCAGAAGATACTATTCTTAACTTCAAATTTCTACAAATAACATTACTAAAACAACATCTCAGACACTGCAGAAAATAAACAGAAATATTGGGGGAGCCACAGCCCCAACTGGACATCTCTTGTCACCAAATGAAGCTTCTAGTACTGAGGGTGGGTTACATCTAATTGAGTTGTTAGCCAAAGAAGTCCAATAGGAACCCCAAACAACCCAGGCTGTTGTCAAGACTATAGGTTGCTCTCCACAAACTGTCAGTAAGACCCTATTGCTGAAGACAACACCCAACTTGTTAAACATGGAGACGTCGAGTTGGTGCATATGTAGAGCCTTCACCCCTAAATGCTCGCATCTGTGGTATAGGAAGGTATTCTGCATGCTACCAAAGGAGAAATGAAAACACCAGCCAGCCACAAACACTCTGCTCTACAATGGTGTCCTGCCTGCAAGATATGCTAGTGCACTGGTGGCCCAAAGCCTGTGGGAGTAACAAACCAATATCTGGTTTGACTTAAGGCCCACTCCACAAGATGGAACCCATACCCAACACTGCCTGGGTGACCAAGAACCTGAGACTAGATAGCGAAGGGATCTAGGCAAAACCAAATACTACTGTCCTTTAAAAACAAAAAACATGGCAATAAAATGATTCCTAATGGCATTCTGTTGCACTCATAGATCAGTGCCTTGCTCAGCCATCATCAGAGAAGCTTCCTCCTGCAGCAGATGGGAACAAATACAGAGACCCACAGCCAGACATTACGCAGAGTGGGAGCCCTTGGAACACTGAGCCTTAAAGGGGATGTCTCCACCAAATCCCTCCCACTTAGGGCTTAGGGAACTCCAAGGCAGAGGAGGAGGAAAAAGTGTAAGAGCCAGAGGAGATGGAGGACACCAAGAAGACAAGGCCCTCTAAATCAACAGGATCACCTCACACATGAACTCACAGAGACTGAAGCAGCTCGCACAGGGCTTGCATAGGTGTGCACCAGCTGAGGTTCTAGGACTGAAAGGAAAAGTGGAAACATGCCCCCATCCTAGCCCAGAAGCTATCTCCAACTGATATCCACTTGCAAATGAAATTTTAGTTTTCTCCAAGGAAGTCTCACTGGGGAAATAAACTCTCTATACCCACCCCACCCCCACCCCTACCCACCCCCGCCGAGTCAAGGTTTCTCTGTGTAGCTTTGGAGCCTGTCCTGGACTCGCTCTGTAGCCCAGGCTGGCCTCGAACTCACAGAGATCCACCTGCCTCTGCCTCCCGAGTGCTGGGATTAAAGGCGTGAGCAACCATTGCCAGGCTTAAACTCTCTACTCTTAAGGGTAGGCAGTATGCCCTGAAGGAGATGGCCAACAGAAAATGAACTCATTGGCATCTTTGGAGGTTCCTTGTTTCATAATATGATGTCAGGGCTTTTTCTTTTTAATTTTATTTTACTTTTTATTTTGTATATATATATACACACACAAATACATATACATACACACACACACATTTTAACCCCACAGGTCCTTTGCATATATACTTTGACTTCCAGTTTAGTGTTTTTATGAAATTATTGAATGTCAAATGAGTCTCTAACTCTTGTGCCTTTTCTTGGGCTCTTTTCCTTCTGTTTGTTTTGTCCAATTTCAATGTGTTAGTTTTTTGTTTTATCTGTTTACATTTTATTTTATTATTATCCTGTTTATTTTCTAATGAGAGACAGAAAGTGAGGGGATTCAGATGTGAGGGAGGTAGGGAGGAAGTGGGAGAAACAGAGGGATTGGAAACTGCAATCAGGATATAGCGTGTGAGGGGAAAATCTATTTTCAATAAAAGAAAAAAAAAACAGCTGAGAGAAAACATAAACAAAAAAATGACAAATAAGACCCACAGTAGCTGTATAGATGAGAGCTAGCAGGTGGTAAAAAGACTTTAAAGTCAATATGGTCACTCTACATAAGCCTATTTTAAAAAATAAAGGGTAGACAATTTCAGCACAGAACTGAAAACAAAAAATATTAAAATGGAGACAAACCAAAACATCTTAATTCAAATTAAGAGCAAACAGAAGGCTAAACCAATTAGATAGGAAACCCCAGGAACAAAGACAAAAGACTAAAATAGAGGATTAAACCCGAGAGAGCACTGGATAAAGGAGGTGGCTGCAGGAAGAACTCTGCAGGGTACTGCTTAAAGAGAGCCGAAGAATGCCTGGCGGTGGTGGCGCACGCCTTTAATCCCAGCACTCGGGAGGCAGAGCCAGGTGGATCTCTGTGAGTTCGAGGCCAGCCTGGTCTCCAAAGCGAGTACCAGGAAAGGCGCAAAGCTACACAGAGAAACCCTGTCTCGAAAAACCAAAAAAAAAAAAAAGAGCCGAAGAATAAAGTCACAAATTAGAGGAAAACCCACAAACCCTGCTAACACCTAGCAAGAAAGACCAAAATGAACACACAAGTGTCCAGTAGAGGGTCTGTCAAAACTAAGTATGAAGTATGGCTATGGGGGCACATGCCTGTACACTGAGCACACGGGAAACTGAGGCAGGGGGATCACTGTTGGAAGACTGCAGGCCAGCCTCAACTACAGTGTGAGAGAGACCCTGTCTTAAAAAATCAAAACCCGCCGGGCGGTGGTGGCACACACCTTTAATCCCAGCACTCAGGAGGCAGAGGCAGGCAGATCTCTGTGAGTTCAAGGCCAGCCTGGGCTACAGAGCGAGATCCAGGAAAGGCGTAAAGCTACATAGAGAAACCCTGCCTCGAAAAACCAAAAATAAATAAATAAATAAATAAAATAAAATCAATAAATCAAAACCCACAACCAGCTGGGTGGCTACTTCGTTGCAATACAAATCCTTTTTTTTTTTTTAAAGGATTACAAGATTGTTTTATTAGACCTGAAGACTTGCAGTAGATGGAATGTTCAGTTTGAATTTCTGAACACAGAAGCAGAAGCCCTGCCTCGGCAACTCTGGGAATTGTACGCAATACAAATCTTAAACACAGCAAGAAACTAAACATAAAATAAAATCATCAGGGCAGCAGGTAACAGCTCAACTGAAACATCAGAAACCAAAAGACCGTGAAAGAGAAACGGCATGAAAACTTCTAAAAGAAATAACTGCCGGACTGGAGAGCTGGCTCAGAGGTTAAGAGCACTGGCTGTTCTTCCAGAGGACCTGAGTTCAACTAGCAGCCACATGGTGGCTCACAACCATCTGTAATGAGATCTGGTGTCCTTCTGGTGTGCAGGCAGACATGCAGACTGAACACTGTATACATAATAATAAATAAATCTTAAAAAAAAGAAGAAGAACTGCCAAGTGGCCAGTTTAAATTCACTGAATATATACTTCAAGTATAGGGAACTGGGGGTATAGTTCAGTGGTGGAGGGCTGCCTAGCAATATGAGGTCCTGGGTTAAATCCATAGAATGATGCCCTTCCCAAAAGAAATGAGTATAAATATGAAAGAATGAAGATGGACCCCTACCTTACACTATCTGCAAATCAACCAAACTGTAGCAAAGACCTCAAAGTGTAAAACTCTCGAAGAAAGCACAGGGGAACCCCTAGGATGGTGGACTTGTGTATGGACTCCAGCGTAGGACAGCAGAAAAGCACAGGTAACAAGAAAGGGAGAATGGGAGGAAATGTTAGCCTCTTATCTGGTGATGAATTACTGTTCATAACACACAAAGAACTCTTGAAACTTAGTAACAAATAACTCTAAAATGGGCAACTGGCTGAAACAGCCCTTTTCCACATATAACATATAAATGACCACACAGAAAGACAGCAACATCATCTGTCAAAAAAGAAAAGAAAAAAAAGAAACCACAATGAGAACCAAGCATGGAAACCCAAGCTTATAATCAAAACACAAGGAAGACTGGACAGGAAGACCACGGAGTTTGAGGCTAGCCTGGACCACAGATTCCCCCACACACTAAGAGTCTCCTTCAGGTCCACTAGGCCAGCCATTTTTTAAATTTACTTTGTGTATGCGCGTGTTTGTGCGCATGCGTTTGCACCATGTGTAGAGGTCAGAGGACAAATTGCAAAAGCCAGGTGTCTCTTTTCACTACATGGGATCTGGGGCTCAAACTCCGTCAAGTATGGTGGTGGCAAGCACCTTTACCTGCTTTGCCATTTTGTTGACCCTGTTTTCTTTTTTTTGAGAGAGCCCGGCTATCCAGTCCTGGCTGCTCCAGAACTCCCTATACAGATTGAAATGGCCTGGAACTTGCAGTGACCCTCTTGTCTCTGCTTCTGGAGCTCTGGGGCCACAGTGTGCAACCACACCTGGCCAGGGTAACTTTTAAGAAATAAGTTAGAGCCGGGCGGTGGTGGCGCACGCCTTTAATCCCAGCACTCGGGAGGCAGAGCCAGGCGGATCTCTGTGAGTTCGAGGCCAGCCTGGTCTCCAAAGCGAGTTCCAGGAAAGGCGCAAAGCTACACAGAGAAACCCTGTCTCGAAAAACCAAAAAAAAAAAAAAAAAAAAAAAAAGAAATAAGTTAGAAATGCAGATAGGGCCAGAGATGGCTCTGTGAGAGAAGGCACTTGCTGCCAGACCTGACAACCCGAACCGGATCTCTGAGAAAACAAGTTCTTACGGTTGCCATCTAACTTCCACATGAATGTTATGACGTGAGTGTGCACCTGAGAATCTGCAGCAAATGGAGTCCTGTGCATAACTAACTGGAATGTAAAATGTGCCAGCATTGTGACAAGTTTGGTGGCTCCTCAAACAGTAAATACTGAGTGCTGGTATGAACCAGCACTTCTACTTCTTGGCATCTACCTGAAAGGACTGAAAGAAAGAACTCATGTACTTGTCTAATAATGTCCACAGTAATTGCATACACCCGTCAGTGCGGAAATAAGTCAAATACCCCTAGACAGATAACTTTAAACATATACTATTAAAGTGACACACTAGAAAAATAAAGTAAATGTAGGATTGAAGAAAAGAAAAGATGCAATACAATGGTACAAGGAATAAACAGGAAATATCAGGTGTATATTCTGCCTCACTAACAATTACAGCAAACACAAATGGATTGAATTCTCCAATTGGAAGCTATGATGGGAACTCAGCTCACCTAGAGTAAACAGACTGACCATGAAGTATTGATCAAAACATAAGCAATAACATTTCTCACAGTGCTGATGGAAGAGCCAACTAGAATCACACTAAAAAGCTGTTTGAGTGGCTGGAGAAATGGCTCAGTGGTTAACAGTAGCGGCTACTCTTCCAGAGGACCTGAGTTTGGTTCCTAGCACCCATGCTGGGTGGCTCACAACTGCCTATAACTTCAGCCCCAGAGATCTGACACCTTCTTCTGACCTCTGAGGGCTGTACTCTCATGCACATACCGCCCTCGTATTTTATATATATATATATAAAATTATCTAGAAATGGTAGTACAGACACAAATAATGGATGACCTAGTACTCCCACCTAGAGACACATATGCATACACAAGTGCTCACAGTGGCATTATCCACATAAGTAAAAGACTGAAAATACGCCAGGCTTGGGAGGTATGAGTTTGCAGTGCCAGCTTCTCAGGAGGCTTAGGCAAAAGGACTCCTTGCATCTAGGAGTTCAAGGGTAGTTTGGAGAACATATCTCAAAACCTTTTGTTTTGTTTTGAAACAGGATTTCTCTTTGCAGCCCTGGCTGTCCTGGAACTCAATATACAGGCCAGGCTGGCTTCTGTCTCCAGAATGCTAGAACTGAAAGTGTGCTCCACCATGCCCAACTAAAAGGAAAGAAGAGAACAAGAGAAGGAGGAAGGGAGAAATGCAAATGAAGAACAGCTAAGTAAAATGCATAACAAAACTGCAAACAAACAAAAAACAAAAAAAAAACCCCAAAACAACAACAACAACAAAACACGTGAGTAGAAGGACCACACTCCAAGACAAGATAAGAGGACAAGAGAAAACAGAAGCACATGACCTAGGCAGGACCACAGGCTCAGACTGAGTCTACGGAGAAGCAAGTGGACTGACTCCCGTCAGAGTCAGGGGGAAGGGAGCAGTGTGATGGCAGTAATGATGTACTCCTGAGTAAGGTTCTGGTTATGGACTTTGCTTTGTAGTGACTCCTTGATATACTCTATGATGTAGATTTTAATGGATAATAAACAACTAAAAAATTTCAAGAAAGGTAGGTGGATCAAGACCAGCCTTGTCTACAAGTCAAGTGATACCTAGTCTTAAAACAAGGAAGGAAGGAAGAGAGGGAGGGAGGGAGAGATTGATTGACAGTAGATATCTAAAAATACCTAAAACTATAATTTGGGGCTGGAGAGAAGGCTCAGAGGGTAGGAACACTGGCTGCTCTTCCACAGGACCCAGTGTGGTACCTGACAACTGTCTGTTACCCCAGTTCCAGGGGATCAGATTTCCTCTTCTGGACTGAGTGTACTGCACACACGGTACATAGACATACATGCAGGTAAAACACCCATATACATAAAAAAATAAAATAAAAAACAAACCCAAATAACATAAACCCATAACTTTACTTCTGAAAATGCTTGCTATGTGAAATTGTTATTCAGCAAACCTTCCTAAAAGTTTCTGACCTGGGGAGGAAGGTCAGGGTTAGGAAAAGTTTAATACTATATTATGTAAATGCCAAGCTATTTGACAGTCTCAGTTCTCTTGAGATCAGATATAAATCACACACACACACACACACACACACACACACACACACACACACACACTTTCCATGAACAAACAGTTCAGTTCTAAAAGAGTACTGAGACACAAAATGGCATGACTGTATGTGAAACAGTCAACGGTCACTTACTTGATCAAGATTTGAAAGACTGTTGGGATCTTGACTCAGACCTTGGTACTGTCCCCTGAGTCTGTCACCAGCAGCTATTTTCCGAAACTTCTTCAGATCCACAACATACAATGCGCTGAGCAGAGGAGAGACATGTGTTACAGCCAAACCATGGATTTATGTCAACAACAAACCAAACTGAACGACAGGTCATGAGCCAGACGCTGCAAGTGTCACTGAGAGGGTGAACTGGAGGATGGCAGCAGAGGAGTGTGCATCCTTCAGAGAGGACACGTCCTGAAGGCCATGCTCTGCTGTAAGAGCTCACTCTAGCTAGCCTTTTATTTTGTTGTCTTACAAGGAAATTAATTCCTGAGGTAAGATTTCTAGCTAACTCAGAAGGTTTAGTAATAAAAATCATTGAAACTGATAAATAATAACGCTTTACCAAAGCTATCCTGATGATCTCTTAAATGGGGGTGGAGGCAGTGTTATAATTTTTTCAGGCCAGGAAACAAAGTATAAACTGAAATCACTGTACTTCATCATTCTTCATCTCTGTATGTGTTTTTTTGTTTTTTGTTTTTTTTTTTTTAAAGGATTTATTTAGGGAGCAAGAGACTTGACTCAGAGTGAAAAACACTGTCTACTCTTCCAGAGGACCAGGGTTTGGTTCCCAACATTCACATAGTGGCTCACAACCACCTGTAACTCCAGTTTCAGAGGATCTGACATCTTCTAGCCTTCATGCAGACAAAACACTTATACACATAAAATAAGTACATCTTTTCTTTTTAAAATTCATTTTTACATGTAGGGGTGTTTTAACTGCATCTATGTCTGTGTATCAAATGCATGCAGTACCTACACAGGCCAAAGGCCCGAAGATGCCTTGGAACTGGAGTTATAGACAGTGGTGTGCCACACGCGAGTGCTGGGAACTGAACCGAGGCCCAGTGGAAGAGCAGCCAGTGCTGTTCACCTCGGAGCTGTCTGTCTCTCCAGCCCTGTATTATTTCTTGTATGTGCCCTAGCCTCCAAATCTTCCAAACACACTTCTTCCAGAAGATATGGGTTGCCCATTAGAAATAATAAATGCATATATTGGTTGTTGGTGGTAGGTATTTTGTTTTGTTTTGTTTTTTTTGAGACAGGGTCTCACTTTGTAGCTCTGGCTATCCTGGAACTCACTCTGTAGACCAGGCTGGCCTCAAACACATACAGAGATCTGCCTGCCCTGCCTCCCCAGTGCTGGGATTAAAGGCATGTGCTACCATGCCCAGCCTATACACTGACCCAAGAAGTTACAAATATGCTTGAAATAGACAAAACAAAATGTATTTCATAAATTATGCATCAGGACACACTGTAACAGGGAAACTATGAACAACACACTGCAGTATACGCAGCTAAGCAAAGGAATAAAGTCTCTCTTTATAACACGACATTCTTAGAATTTAAGAATTTTTCTTTAAGCCATACTAATATACTATCTATTCACTGATTCAGCAAAGTTGAATTGTAGGGAGCACTCTTTCAGTACCTGATATGATACTTCCGACCAGCCAAATGACTGGCCCAGTACCCTGACTTCCAGAACCGGTAGCCATCCATTTCTCTTCTGCTATCGCAGAAAGGCGTGTAGCCGTAAGGGGCGCCATCCAAATTGAAATCCCTTAACTCTTTCAGATCTGTTCGTACAATCTGCAGTAAAGAAAGTCAAAATACTTGTTAGCCAACATACAGATAACTCTAGGGCATTCCTGAAAGGAGAACACACTGCACAAGGCAGCAGGAAGGCAGCTCGATGAGTCACAGCACAGGCTCTAGAATACGAGCCTGGATTCCTCCACTGTCCGCTTTAATCTGAAACGGTCCCCACAGACTCGTGTTTTGAGCAGTTGGTCCCCAACTGGTGGGTGGGGCTCTTCTGAAGGCTGTGGAGCTTTTTTGGAGGTTGGGCCTGGCTGGTGAAAGGCTCTAGGGACAGGCCTTTGAAGCTTGCAGCCTGGCATTGCCCCAGCTTCTATTCTCTACCCCTGGTCTGCTGTCATAGAGACAAGCAGTCACAACAGGCACTCCTGCCCCCCTGGTCCATCATTTCCTTTCCCTGCCAGGCCAGGCTGTACCCTCTGAGACTACAAGCCCAGACAGAGCTCTCCTCCCTTGATCCGCTCCTGTCAGGGGTTTGGTCGGAGCAATGAGACAAGTATCTAGTACAGGAAACTGATACTGAGGCACACACTGGAGTGACAGAACCTGACCAGCGGCTTGCAGATCTCAAGCTGGTTTGTGGGAAGCATGTGGAGGAGTTTGCAGATGCAGGCTAGAGAAGCCCTACAGTGCCATAAGCAGAGCTTCGAGGGCCACTCTGGTGGGAGTGCCCAAGACCAGAATGTCAGACGTGTAGACAGTAAAGACTGTGCTGACGGGGGTTCAGATGGGAGTGAGGACCCTACGTTCAGACAAACTGAGTTAGGGTGAATTCAAAAGCAATGAACCTGTTTAACACGGAATTTCAAGACTGCCTTATTTTCAGGCTGTGGCTTGGTTAATAAGCTGCCTGCTTTGAGTCAGATGTCTAGTGAGGAGGATCAACAGGAGAAGAGAAGGCTAACAAAAGGCTAGTTTAGCAGTGAGGAGAAAGCAGCTGTAATTGTTAGAAAGATCGGCATCACCGTGGAGAAGGTATGACAGAGAAGTATCTGCAGCATTCCTGTCCTAAGAACCAAGCATCTCCCATGAACTTCATTTATCACCCGTGCCATAACACTTATCCTAGCTGGATGTGGCAGCACAGGCCTGGAGTCCTAGCATTCGAGAGGCAGAGGCAGAAGAACAACTTGGACATCAGAGAAAGGCTGCTCCAAATGTCAATGAAGGGACAGATGATAAAGTACCTAACATTTGGGCAGATAACTGGACACAGTGACCAAGTGATACTAAACATTCATTTTTTAATTCTTGGTATTTATGTTAAATGAACCAAGTAAAACACAGGACTGCACACACAATAGAGTAGCTGTATTTAAGACAAGATGAAAATGAGATGTGCCAGGAAGCCAAAGACTCAGGGCCAATCCTGAACTTAGGTGAGGCCTACTGGTGTATAGGGAGCTTCACATCTACAAACAGCTTCACAAGAAGCTGCGGATGCAGGGTGGGGACTGGACTGACTCCAAATTAGAACCACAAGCTTATCAGAAGTCTCACATCTTGCAGTGGCTTCAGTGGAAGCTGTGGACTCACAACAGGAACCAGATTTTACTCTGGGAGTTTCACAACTCACAGAGGAAGCTGCAGACCCAAGCAGGATGCCCCCACTCACATAGGACAGTACCTGACCCTCAGAGGAAGACTTTTGCTAGAGATCATGTCCCTACACACTTGTCCTACACAGAAGGAAACAATTTAGTCCTCTCCTGAACACCACAAACACCACCACTGAAAGAAGATAAAAGGTGATTTGAATTTAAACAATGAAAAATAGAAAAGAAAGGAAAACTCAACTAGTAAACTAACTCCAGATGTGTAAGGCCCAGGGCAGAAACAAAAACAAAACCAAGATAACAAGTCTCCTTCAAAGATTACTAATCCCATTGCTATAGCTCCTAATAAAGATGGCTAGGAAGAACTTACAAGCCAAAGAATTTAAGAGAATAAATATATCTATGTCCAAACAACTTAAAGACAAGAATACATTCTGAGAACAAAACAAAAAGAGCTGAATGAAATAAGGAAGTCAACCCAAGACATGAAAATTGAATTGGGAGATGGAAAGAGAGACAGAGACAAAGGGAAATGCTGAAGAAAAACCAAACTGATGCTGGAATAAAAAATTCAGTTAGCCAAATAAAGGCTCAGCTGGAAAGCCTCACAAACAGAATGGATCTTGTGGAAAACAGAGTGTCAGGGCATAAAGTCAAGACAGAGGAATCAAATCATGCAGCAAAGGTCAATGATAAATGGTTGGGGGAAGGGAGGGATGTAGCAGGAATCTTAAAAGTTCTTATTAATAAAATCAAACCTGAGGCCAGTTATTGGGGTGAACTCTGGAAGATCAGAGAGACAGAACAAGCCACAGCTAACCTCACCTGGCCAACTTCTCAGCTGATCTTGTTTCCTCAGACTGGAAGCCTCTGTGTCCCCATATCCAAATGGCTCCCAGCTGAACTGTGTTGCTCAAAACCTAAAAGCTTGAATGCTTAACCAGCCAAATGGTTCTAGTTTCTGGTCCTCATGCCTTATATACCTTTCTGCTTTCTACCACCACTCCCTGGGATTAAAGGCTTGCTTTCTGGGATTAAAGGCTTGAGTCACCATGCCTGGCCGTTTCCAATGTGGCCTTGAACTCACAGAGATCCAGAGGGATTTCTACCTCTGGAGTGCTAGGATTAAAGGTGTGAGTGCCATCATTTTCTAGCCTTTGTATCTAGTGGCTGTTCTGTCTCTGACCCCAGATAAGTTTATTAGGGTGCACAATATTTTGGGGAACACAATATCACCACAGAGGGAGTTCGATGGGAGAGATCTGGGACACCATGGAAAGACCAAAAGACCAAATCTTCTAATTACAGGCACAGAAGAAGCAGGATGCTATACCAAAAGCACCATGTTTTTAATAAAATCATAGAAGAAATTTCCCCAAATCTAGAGAAAAAGATGCCCAGCAGGCTATAAGAAGCTACAGAATTCCCAATTAGACAGGACCAGAAAAGAAACTCCCAACATATTATACCTAAAATACTAAAAACACAAAATAAAGAAAGGGTATTCAAAGCTTCAAGAGAGAAAGGTCGTGCTATCTATAAAGGCAGAACCATCAGAATAAGACCTGGTTATTCAACAGAAACACTTAAAGCCAAAAGGAAAGATATAGTCCAAGCTCTAAAAGAACACAACTGCCAACCAAGACTACTATACCCAGTAAAACTCTCTACTAAAATCGAAGGATAGTGGGATAGAGCTTAGTGGTTAAGAGCCCTGGCTATTCATCCGGAGGACCCAGGTGTGAGTCCCGACTCCCACATGGCAGCTCACAACTGTCCATAACTCAGGTTCCAGTGGATTCTCTGGAGAGTTGTACCAGAACTTCAAAGAACTAATACCAATACTATTCAAATTGTTCCATAAACTAGAAAAGGAAGTCTTCTGAGCTCTTTTTATGAAGGTAGTATTACCCTGACACCAAAATCAAATAAAGACAATCCACAACAACAAAAAGAAAATTACAGGCCAATCTCCTTGATAAACATAGATGTAAAAAAAAACGCAATAAAATCCTAACAGAATTCAACTTTACATTAAAAATATCATTCATCATGACCAAGTTGGCTTTATTTCAGTGAATGCAGGAGCGGCATATCAATAAGTAAGATTCATCACATTAATGGACTAGAGAACAGAAATCATGTTTCTCCCAATCAACACAGAAAAAGTTACTGATAAAAATCTAAGATTCCTTCATGATAAAAACCAAGGAAAGTCTAGGGATGGTGGGCTCATAGCTTAATATAATAAAAACTATATATATATAAAACCAACCTGAAGCCAACATCATACTAAATGGAGAAAATCTCAAAGCTTCTCCCTAAGATCAAAAACAAGACAAGGAACAAGTTCTACTTAATACAGTTCTTGAAGTCTTAGCTTAAACAATCTGACTAGAGAAGGAAATAAGAGGAATACAAATAGGAAAAGAAGTCACAGTATTTCTTTTTGAAGATGATAGTATTTTATACATAACAGATGCTAAAGACTCCAAGGAAGCTGTAGAGCTGACAAATACTTTCAGCAAAGTGACAGATTACAAAATCAACATTAAAAAAAAAAATCAGTAACCTTCCTATATTACAATAGCAGACTGAAAAAGAAACCAGGGAGATCACAGGCACAAGCAAACAAACAAAAACCATCTGGGAATAAACCGAACCAAGTAAACAAGAGACCACAATGAAAATTTTTAGACAACGAAGAAAGAAATCGAGGAAGGTAGAAGATAGAAAGATATCCCGTGCTTGTGGACTAGAGGAATTACTATTGTGAAAATGACCATCCAACCAAAAGCAGTCAACACACTCAAGTGCAATTCCAAAAACAATTCCAAGTCTACTCCTTGTAGATCGAAAAAACATCCAAGATAATTTATACAGAAGCACAAAAGACCAAGGATACCAAAGCAATCTTAATCAAACACAACAGTGCAGGAGGTATCACTGTGTCTGATTTTAAATTATACTAGTAATAAAAAGAACATGGAACTGACACAAAAGTAGACACACAGATCCATGGAATAGAACTGAGGACCCAGATATAAGTCCATATAACTAGTCTTGATTTTTGACAAAAGTATTAAAAAATACACAGTAGAGAAAAGACAATATCTTCAACAAATGGTACTGGGAAAACTGGAATTCAATATGAAACTAGATCCTTATCTCTCACTCTGCACAAACTAAACCCCAATTCGCCAAGAACCTCAACATAAGACCTGATTGACTCTGAAGTTGCCAGACAAAAAAGTAGGGAGCACACTTCAACTTACAGGCACAGGGAGGGTTTTCTGAATAAGACTCCAATAGCAGAGGAAATAAAGTATTCAGTCAACAAACAGGCTCTCATGACCTGAAACGCTTCTGCACAACAAGAGCAACTGTGAAGTGGGTGTATGCACACCCACAGAATGGAGACACTTCACCACTAGTGCAGTGGTGGCGTGACTGCTCTAGGGTAACTACGGGCTTTCTGACTGGATTTGAGGCTTGCACCACAGGAGGGAATTTCATACCTAGTATTGTAATCACGGCCAGAAATGCAGAACTGGGGAAGTCATAAGCCCTAGAGCAGAACCTGCTATTGCTATTTTCCTAAATAGTGATGCTCAAGGTACCTTCTAAACCTGCTCTGTCAGAGAAGCTTCTCTATGCAGTGGGCAGCAGAGAAATACATCACTGGTCAAAGTAATGAGAATAGAGACCGATTGCTCAATGCTAAACAGAATATCGGTATCATCTCCCCTATCTCCCAGCCCTAGTGAACACTGAGGTAGATGAAATGGACAGGATCTAAGAGTCTGAAGATGGGAAGAGTGCTGTGAAATGTCTTCTGGACATGACATGGTTATCATACCATAAACTCACAGTGGCTGTGGCTACCTGCACAAGACCTATACAAGGTCAAGCCAGGCAAAATGCAGTTGGATGGGTGAGATAATAAGCAGGCTCTACCCCTTACTGAGGCATTACTGCCACTGGGTAGTTGCTGAGGAGAATCATTCTTCTTTACAATATGGCTACTGATAGGATTCCCATGCTCCAGTAGATGAATCTATACCCAGGCACCTATGGGCTGCACTAATAGGACATAGTGAGTTAGTTACGGAGGGCATATATGATCAGGTATATATGATCAGGTATATATGATCAGGCATATATGATCAGGTATATATGATCAGGTATATATGATCAGGTATATATGATCAGGTATATATGATCATGTGACCGCATTTTATTGTATACATGCATGAAATGCTCAAGGAAAAAGATATTTAAAGGGAAATGAGCTGATGGAACTTAAATTTAAAAAGTGATAACATCTGGGTGATATCATTTAATATTTCTGAAATACTAATGCAAAATAAACAGGTACTTTTCCCTATCTGAAAATTGTTTTTAAAAAGGAAAAGAAAAGCTGACATATGTAACACAAACCATCAACACCTGGTGTTCAGAGCTCACCTGATCAGCATCTACAAATAGGAACTTGTCAACAACCAGTGGGAAAAGCACGTCCAGAAAGAGGATCTTGTAGCCCCAGATGATCCGCTGCTTCTCTGTCTGCTGATGAAGCCACCGCGGCCATTTGTACTGAACAAGTTCATACTGGAAATTGTATTTGCTGGCCATGTAAGGTATAAACTCCTATTTTTAGACACAGGGAACAATAATTATTCATTCTTGTTAAGAAAATTGATTCTTTAATGTAAGTTAACCACCATTATTACAGTACAACCAAAATACTTACACTAAAACAAGGTCTAGTAAGAAATTTGGCCTTAATTCACTTGACTCACAAGAGCACACATAAACTCTGGTCCAATCCCCATTTCTTGATGACGTCTAGTCACCACATGATGTGACAGAAACCTGCAGGTGAAGGCTTTTAGATTTATAACTCTGTATGTGGGTGCTTAAGACACATAAGCTCTAGGTTCATTTATCTAAATTTGATTTTAGCCAAACACTTTTGAGCTCGATAGTAAGATCTTCCCAAGGCTAAGTCTAACCCAGGGTATTACATGTAAGAGCCAAAACTCTTCAATTTCCTTTCCAATTAACAAGTAAGTCTTCCGTATCTAAGGCACTAGGACCTTCAGGAGATCAGAAGTAACTACTCATCCAAGATGAGTCACCACTGAATATAAAGTTGTTTTTTAAATACTATAGAAAAAAAAAAGGAGGATGCAAGAATACAAGTTAAGAAGGAGACTGTCCAAGTGTGGTTTTCCTTTGGCACAGAGGAAGCATCCCTTTCATTCCTTACTCATGAGAAAATTAATCATTCTCAAAACACACCATCACTGTACTTCTTAAACTAAGGCAAGACATGCATGCCTCCAAGGAAAGGGTTGTTATTTTGCTAAAACATTGTCTCTTAGAAAAGACAAAAACTCTCCTCCTATATTACCTAGCTTCAAACAGGCCACAACTTGGGGTTTAGCTTTACAAAAACTATTACCCCAAATAGAGCAACCTGGAAGAAAAAAAAAAAACCAATATATAGAAATAGACAATGAAATTAGGGTATTCTAATAAAATGGATAAAAAATAAGTGTACAGATAAAACAAAGGTAGAAAAGAATATGTTACAGTGTAAATATTCCCTTAACAAGGTTTTCTTTTTCCCCATGAACAAACCTTAAATGTGGGGGACAAATAATTCTTCAAGAACCAGAATTTCACAGGAGTTTTGGTATTCTTCAGCACTGATAGCATCATTATGCTGCCAAACAAAACAAATAATGATTTTCCAATGCTTTTTAACCTCAACAACATTAAGCAGAGAAAAATCACAAGATTGACAGCAGAGCTAACTCATGGTTCAATTAGGCAAAGAGACCTTCACTAATGGGACAGTGTACATACTGTATTATAAAGATGTCACTGAATGACAGAGACAAGGATTTCCCTGTAAGTATATTCCAAACAGAGAGAGGCAAATGCTAATTATGCTGCATGCTTAAATGAGCCACCTCATGAACTGGAGGTCATGGTCATGACTACATCATTCTCCAGACCCCTGTGCTCAGGCACAGCAACATCTGGTATTAAGCAAACAGTGAGTACATGCACAGCTTCTATCAGCCTAGACAGAGAGCCTCAAGAGGAAGGAGAGCAGGAAAGGGGAAGGGAAACCAGAGGGCATAGGCTCAGGATTCCCAGGCCAAGAAATGCAATGAAGTTATCACCACTGTTATTTTATTTAGCTATTGATTGGAAAAAGAATTGAAAATTACCCAAGTGACATTATTTTTATTATTTCCTTTACCAGATTATTTATAATGAAAACTAAAAGGAAAAGCAGCTCTGAATTGGGACAATGACCTTCAATTAACATGTCTTCAACACTGAGCTCCCCAGACAGTGACAAACTGATCCTGAGACTCTTCCCCCTCTCATAACCACATCAACAAGTTCAAGCAATGGCCTCTTCTGCTTTCAGCTGAATGACCTAGGCAATCCCCTTTCATTTCAGTCTCAGTTTTTCAAGCAAGGGTATTCTCACACAGAACTAAGCTTTGCCTCTAAAGCTGTGTGGGTCTGTAGAAGGTGGCCAAGTGTTACATGTTATGGTCTATTCTATGTCAATTCCCTGGGTTCTGGTTTAAGCAATATTTATGGTGAAGGAACTAACAATTGCCCATAAGGTGTGCATGGATACAAACAGTCTACAGTCTTGTAATATCAACACAGAGGCACTAACTATGTAGCTCAACTTCATGGAAGAACCAGATCAAAACAAATAGAGCTGTACATGGCAAGCTATCCATAGCCCTAGGAGTACTTCATATATATACACACAGTACAACAAGTAAAACCTTTCTCACAAAATAAGAATACTGTAACAAATTCATTTCTATACAAATCACGAAGACTAACCGAAGAAATCTTTCATAGAGATGACCAGATGCAACAGAGAAAATATTGATGATGTCATCTTTCTCTTGCTTTACTTCCTCAGTCTTCTGTCCTGAAAAGCCCCTGTAACAACAGAATTCAAAACAGAACCACTTACAACGCTGAGTAGACACAACCCTTCAGGAGAGGAAAGAGAGAGCACCTGTGTCTTCCTGCTCTAGAGGTAAGGCTTGTTGAAAGTACCATACAGAGAAGCTGGGAAGGGATGAAAAAAGGCCATCTTGCAAAGTAATAATGATGCTCATCAAAAGGCACCATATCATTTAGGAATCCATGGAACACAAGCTGCTCCAAAGACTGCAGTCTGTCCAATAGGAGGTCAGCAGAACAATGACCATCACCTCTCCCTGGATGGCCCCATCCATCAAGAGTGAAGAGTATGCAGCAGAAGTAAACTATGTGAAGAGCACTTCCCCTCTCTTAATCAAGTGGAAACACTCCCCTACTCCAGCTGAAAGGGGACACTCCAGCTGCATGAAGCAGGTCAGAAGCCCCAGAACATTACCAGACTCAAAAGGATGCATGGTCCACACCTCTCAGCTTCCCTTCAAAATCTTAACCCTTCATGATGCCGATTTACCATTTGAAGGAGTCCCAAAATCCGGCTTCGTTCTCACTCGTCCCATCACTCAACAAGTCTTCATTAACCATGTCTGCTTTCTTCTGAACCTGCAATTGTATATGACAGGTCTTACTTCTCCCAAGAGCACTATAGATAAGCACAAACCTGACTTGCACTGATGCACGTGGAGTACTGTCAAGAGGAAACAATCAACCAATTCTCCTATAGGAAAACTCCTTCCAGACTCTCAGTATCCAATGGGAGTATATTTATCAGAATGCCCACGTTAACACCTTCAGGGAGGAGCTAGCAATCTCTTTGAATTGAATAGCAATCAAGCTCAATTTGTACAATGAGCCAAAGACCAAATTCAGCTGCACAGAAACAGAGTGAGTAAACCCAGAAGACTCTTTCTTCTGGCTGACAACTTCTAGCTGGGAAGAACTCAGCCTTCAGGAGCTGCTGGGAGAGGCTTGCTGGGCCACAGCCCAATTTCAGGACTTATTACCACAAAGTATTCTCTGCAGCAGTCTTCTTTCTGTTCCGTGGCTGACTATAGGTTTTACCATGTACGACAGCTCCTTATCCTACAATCATTTCATTTTAAGACAAAGAACTTCAAAATGTTGAGGAGAGACAGCAACAAAAGACAGTAAATAAAATCACCTACTGCTTGTATTTTGTGTTTGTTTTTGGAGACAGGGTCTCATGTCACCCAAGGTGGCCTCAAATTCACTATGCAGTGCAAGCTAACACTGAACTCCTGATCCTTCTGCTTTTAACTCCCTAAGTATTGGGAGTGCCTATAAAAACTATAGTCTTACTTTGGATAGTCACTGGGAGTTCCCACAGTCTTATGAGAATAGAATGATCAATAACACTATGAATTGTGGATATAAAAATGTCAAAGCCAGGGCTAGAAAGATGGCTCAGTGGTTCAGAGCACATACTGCTCTTCCAGAGGACCCGAGTTCAGATCTCAGCACCCACACGGGGTAGCTCACAACTATCTGTAACTCCGGCTCCAAAGGATATCAATGCTCCCTCTTCTGGTCACAGGTACCTGCACGTGTGTGGCATACAGTCATACAAACACACTTACATATACATGAATAAATAAAGCTTTTAAAAAATGGCAAAGCTGGTCCAGGCAAGGTGGTAGATGCCTTTAACTCTAGCATTTGGGAGACAGTCAGACATATCTATGAGTTCAAGGCCAGTCTAGTGTACACAGCAAGTCCCAGGCCAATCAGGGCTACAGTGAGACCTTGTCTTAGAAAAAATAGGGGGCAGGGACAAAGTCTCTGAGGACATGCATGAAATGGGACTAGCATTGTTCTCTGAAATTACAATCTCTTGGCTGAAGAAAACCAGAAGTTTGTCTTCACAAAGACATATTCCTTAAGCAGCATCCCTAGAACTGTTAAAACAATACCAACAAACCCTCCAAATGGAATACTAGACTGACTTCAAAATGTAGTTGTCTTCCTTTATCTGCTGGGAAACATTCCAAGCCCCTAGTGGATGCATGAAATCTGAGACAGTAGAGAACCCTGAATATATACTATAGTTTGCTCATACTACTTACGATAAAGCTTAATCTGTAAATTAGGCAACATAAGATTCACAACAATGACAGTAAAATGGAATATAAAACAACCTTTTAATGAACCAATATGAATGTGCTCTCCTTAGAACAGGCACACAGGTGTCAGTATCTTCAGATAGTGGCTGACCGTGATCACTGAAGCCTTGCCACAGGAGGCACTGCTGTCTGTATCTTCCATGACAACGACTGAATGGGGCTATTTACCAACTATAAACAAGTGGCCGCCAAAGCAGAGCAAACTTACCTTCACTTTGATGATCTTGCTTTTGAAGTTATTGAGGATGACAACAACGTCATTTGCATCAGGAGGAGAATCTGTACCATCGTGGCTAAGAGAGAAAAATAAGACAGAGAATACAAATCACAATCCCCAAAGTGCAATAAATACCCAGACAACAGCTGTTTGTCTATCACCCTTATCATAGAAAATCTTTCTAAAAACCAACAGTTCCTAAAAGAGGAACTTTTTTAAGGACAAAGAAGTGTTCACGGAAATCTCCATCTCCAGGCTAACATGAACTGACTTCCTTCCAGAATCATCCTTCAGATTACCAGCAAACAGTGACAAGTTCTCAGGCAGGGTATGCACATGACAGATCATGAACAACCGTGTATGTTCCTAGGTCTGAGCACTCAGGTCCATCACTGGAGCCACTTCCACCTTGTAACTGGAACAGCTATGTGAAGAAATCTACTCTTGGCTGAATGTGGTGACTCACACCTGTAACCCCAGCAGGAAGCAGCATGGAGACCAACTTGAGAGCAAAGTCAGCCTAGGCTACAATGTGAGAAGAAACAACAAAATTCTACTCTCGCCTTCTGTTGCAAGGCAACACAACCAGTCAAGTTTAGAGCACAGACTCAATTCTGTATCTCTGGTAGAAGACCACAGTACAACCAGCTCTGCTTATAGACACAGGAGCAGTGAAGAACATTTGAAGTACTCTTTTCCTACTAATCATATTTTCCAGTCACTAAATATGAGGAAGTCACTGCATTTGCTGTCACTCAGCAGACAGCAGGGTTCTCAGGCAGGAGGAGGGGAGAAAGCTTAAGGAGAGAAGACTCCACAGACAGGGACTGTCCAATTGGGATGCACACAACCCTAGACAGCAGGAAGAGAGCATGGTACCACCACGCTGGGCAAGGAGGAAGATGGACAAGGGCACACAGAAGAAAGGGAACTCAGAAACATTACAATCTTGTGAAACCTCACCTAAAAAATAACTTCATCAGAGAAAAGCCTACTATTTACAATACAATACAAAACTCTCATAGGTACTGAGTAAGAAATCTGAACTAAACTGGTATGATGATGGCACATGCCTGCGGTCTCAGCTACTCAGGGGACTAAGACAGAAGAATGTTCACTTGAAACAAGTTCAAGCCTAGGCAAGAGAGCAAAAATTCTGCATCAAAACCAAAAACATTAATCCATACTGCTTCTTCATGTTCAAATAAACTCTGATGAAAACCATTCCCTACATAAACTGACACAGAACTTAGGACTAATTTAAACTGTGTTAAACAGAATAGAGACCACAACTTCTAAAATGGTGTTTGGGGATTTGTTCCGTAACTAATGGATGCAGTGAACTTTAAGCCAATTCCTGTCACTGACAGTATGTTCTAGGAGTACATCTATACAACCCCAGCCCAAGGACCAGGTTTGACAGTCAGACTTCATGGTCAAAGCTCATGTGTTCTATGCACATGTAAACTACTCAAGGTCAAGATATATACCTTCCCATCAATGCGCTAAACAGGGCCAAGCCCACTTAGTTTCCAAAAGTCAGACATCATCAAGTATCCAAAGCTGGTGCCTGCTGTCTGCATCACAGGGAAAGAATAACTTCATTCTGATACAGTGTTGACAAAGGGAAGCCAGTGGAGAACAAACCTCACTATAATCAGTATTTATAGCTCTTGTTATCCACTTGCCTCTAAAAGTTCACCCACACTGACGACACTGGAAAGCTCGGTTTGTTACACAGGACTATGAATTAAACACATGATGCCTGGGGTATGGCCAGATAACACCCGATTAGAGCTGAGTCTCTTAAAATGCAGTTGCACCATTTAACCTACCTGTAGATTCTATAGATATCATCAGAGCGCCCCTTCCTTAGTCTGAGAATCCAGGCTCCTGGGTTGGCTTTGAGCTGAAAATATCCCTAGGACACAAAGAAAGTAAAATTTCAATACTCTTTAAAACTTCAAGATGTTGTTCCTAACAGACACTTACTTTTTCTTTGGAAGTGTCAGATCATGTATGCACATGCCTACCTATCTATCTACCCACCTTTCTTTCTTTGTGGGGGGGTCGGGGCTGGGGGGTTGTACTGGGTATTGAACCCAGGGTCTTGCTCCCATGATAATTAAAAAAAAATTAAAGGTAGTTAACAAATCATAGAAAAGTAAAGCAAAAAAATAAAAAAAACCAATCAAATAAACCAGCTAAAGCTCTAGCAGCACAGAGCCTAAGAGCTCTAGCAGCCCAGAGCCAGTGAAGCCGAGAGGCCTGCCTGTTATGCTCCATGGAGGAGAAAGTGTGACGGGAACGTGCTGGGAACTTCCAATGATGGGAACTGCTAGCAGAGCTCTGCAGTATGTTTTGTTGTTTCCCCAGCATATACATGGAACTTCCAAGCTTAACAAAACCAGTGACTTTTCACTGACTACATTTAGTCCATTATTAATTCTTACTTCACTCCACAGTTCAGAATGTTAACTGTTCTGTCATAAATTATAGCATCTAAATTACCGTGACTGAAGCATCTCATAAACTGATTATTTACCAGATTGGCCATCACAATTGTGTCCACAATTGTTGGGTTGGCTGAAGTTCCTAACGTGAACTGTAGTCCTCGAGGGGGCTGGCCTGTGGTGATGTCATAGCAGTGACCTTCTAATAACAGGTATTCCAGCTCATACTCAGCAGCCACTACACTGTCCACCTGAAAGATCAAAATTAAACCACCTGAATATTATACATGCATACTCAAAATGCAATCTGCAGGGGTCGGGGGAGAGTTGAGTGGATAAAAGCTCTTGCCACTGAGGCTGATGGCTTGAGCTTGATCCCCGGATTCTACACAGTAGAGGGAGATCTGATATCCACAGCTGTTCCCTGACCTCCATGTATACAGCAAGGCACTCCCCAAACCCCAAATTAAATAAATAAATAAATGTTTTAAAAATATATATATACATCTTTTATGACTTTAAGACAGTCAAGAGCCGGGCGGTGGTGGCGCACGCCTTTAATCCCAGCACTCGGGAGGCAGAGCCAGGCAGATCTCTGTGAGTTCGAGGCCAGCCTGGGCTACCAAGTGAGTCCCAGGAAAGGCGCAAAGCTACAGAGAAACCCTGTCTCGAAAACCCCCCCCCCCAAAAAAAAAGACAGTCAAGAAAAGGCAAAACTTGATTTTAGAAAGTAGATCAATTCACTGATTGTGGTGGGGCCAGGGGGTAATCTACAAAGGGATAGCAAAGGGATTCTCAGGATAAAATGTTCTAGATCTTGATTGAGATAGTGGCTAATGACTATAATTATAAAAACTTGATTGGAGAGAGAAAGAGGGAAGATAACAAAGTCATTCCAAAAATACAGATGAGAGGATAAGATTCTACAAATTGTTGTGAAAAGCCCTAAATAAAGAAAAAGAATTTTATCCTATGGTAATAGATGGGTACAGCTTGAACACAATATCCACAGCACTATCCTCATAAAACCCAACAATAAAAACAACCCAGTGTTCATCTGTGCACAAGTACACAAAGTACACTATATCCAAACAATAGAATTCTATGTGGCAATCAAACTAAAGTACTGACAGGTCTTATCACATGCATGAACCTTGGAAAACAATTTGTCAAGTGAAACGTCAGTCACTAAAGACCACGTGTTGAATAACTACTCATACACAATGTCAGATAGGAAAGCTCATAGAAACAGAAAGTCCATTACTGCCAGGGGGAATAAGGGGTGAATGTTAATGAGTACTGTGATGATTAATCTTCATTGACAATTTGAATAGATTTAAAAGCATACTTCTGGGCATGGGTGAGGGCCTTCCCAGAGAAGCTCAATTCAGGAGGAAAGACCCACACTAAATGTGGAGCACTGTTCCATGGGCTGGGATCCTGAAATGAGTAAGAAATGAGTAAGAAAGCTACTTGAATTCTCCTTTCTCTGCTCTGGTTAGTGCCATAGACCAGATCACTTCCACTGCCACATCTTCCCTATCACAATGGACCCCACTCTTAGGAGTCAAAATACATCGTTCCTCTCTTACATGCCTTTCTGTCATGCATTTGGATGCAACAAGGAGAAAAGTAACTAATACAGACATGGAGCGGGTTCTGAGGGCGATGAAAGCCAACTAAATTGAGATAGCAAGGACAGCAGCACCCGTCTACACACATGTCAAAACTTTACTATACATGAAGGGCATTTGAATTAAGCTGCTGCTGTAAAAAGAGTACATTAGATGTGAGCAACGATGCCCACTATTCAGTTCAGGCAATCACCACTGACTGAATTACAAACAGATTTTATATTTGGAAACAATGATATTCTTACCTCTTCTAGATAAATATTATCAAGATCATATGGTGTTCTGACAGATTCTACCATCCAACTCTCAGGTGTGTTCAAATTCAAAGTGAAAAGCGGAGACTGTGGCATATCCAGAAACTTTGCTATTGGTCCCTTAGCAAAGCTGTTGTCTGCTGTGAAGGAAATCTCTGGTTCTAAGACATAACGGTAAAAGCTGAAAAGATAATAGGACTGTTAGGCTTTCTTGATGCAATCCCAGTCATAAGAGTCCACACAGGTTAACAAAAAACTAGATTTGGACAGTACCCTTCCAGATCAAGACATGACTAGGCCAAACCATCTTTTGGTCTAGCGATGCCTTCCAGGGTTGCTCTAGAGTTAAGAAAAGAGAGAGAGAGAGGGGAAGAATGCAGAAGATCACCCTTCCATGATCTCTTAAAAATCTGAGCCCTAAAGGGTACTTGTGTTCTCAGGCCATCACTGAAAACATTATGTGTGATAACTAAACAGTTCTTAATGTAAAGCTAACAGTGGAAGCAGGGGCTCTTCATTCTTTGTAAAACTGTTGGGATCCATCTAGATTCTAACTACAGAATTCTGTCCCTCATTGAGGACGACACTTCCCATAGCAAAGCATGTGCTAAGCTACCACTGTCGTTGTGACACTTCTTCCACAAATGGTCATCCCACAACCAAGCCTATCTACCTATCCACTTCCCCAGGATGCATGAGAATGAGTACAGTTAGCTACCTATGGCAGCTAATGGCTACAGTTCTTTTAAAGTGAGACGCAAATGTGCAAGTAGCTTGGATTAATACCACCTAAATGCTTTCCAAGCTCACACTATGTTCTCAGAATGTCTAATTAGAACAAATATAAATAACAAATAACAAATATGACATAACTCAACAGTCAGTAGATGTCCTTTCAAACACAATATCCACCTACCAGCCCACCTGATTCATCAGCATTTAGTAATACCTTTTAGATCTGGTACCACTTAAAAGAAGTGTTCCTTAAATGGCATTTTACCTTTTTAAAGGCATGTCCGAAAGTTTAGATTGGCAATTCATAAATACTCTTAGATTCATGTTAATCAGCTGAGTCAAAACCTAGAAAAGCAAACCAGATGACAAAATATTTAGATTTTCTCTTCAATAACGTATTATTTCACAGTTAGTTAGGAAACAAAACATTTTAACATCTCAAGAAGAGATATAAAGAGAACACCTGTCACTACATCTGCACTGGAGAAGTTTTGAAAATCAGAGCTCCAACGCAGAGTCTACCATACATACTCAAGGCATGGTTCCAATAAGAAGCCGGGAAGGGTGATGAGATGGATGAGCAAGGAAAGGTGCTTGCTGTCAAGCCTTATAACCCAAGTTTGATCCCTGAGACCCAAATGGCAGACAGAAAAAACTAACTTTTTGTTTGTTTGTTTGTTCTTTGAGACAGGGTAGTCCTTTGAAACAGGATAGCTCTGGCTATCCTGGAACTCTCTGTAGACCAAGCTGGCCTCGAACACACAGAGATCCACCTGTCTCTGCCTCCTAAGTGCTGGGATTAAAGGCATGCACCACCACACCCAGCCAGAATTGACTCTTGCAAGATGCCTTCTGATCTCTACCTATGTACTGTGACATTTGTGCATACAGACAAGATACACAGACTGAATGAATGAATGAATGGCTGTTGCAGATCACTGCTCCTCACACAAAGTTTAGCACTCAGTTGTGAGGAAAACAGTAGATAAATGATGAATATTTAGCTACAAAGGAAAACACAACAGCTCTTTGCTTCAATTCACATTAAAAAGCATGAAAAAGACGTATGTATTAACATCTACAGAGAAGAGTAGGTGATCATACTATCCTAAAAAAATCCCAGCTAGGGCTACTAGAGATATACTTCATTTGGGCAGAGTGCCCTCACAGCAAGTGTAAGGCTCAATGTTCAGAATCTAGAATACACACACACACACACACACCCTTAAATGAAATGTTAGGGTGCTGTATTGGTTAACATTTTAAAACATACATCAAAGTATAGCATCTTATACATATCTAAAATACATGATACAATCCATGAAGAAATGAGCCTTTATTAATCCTATGAAAACGATATTGTCCAACTCCTCTAGAAGATGTCTCAGGGACAAAGAAAGTACCCAGAAAATTATAGGGCCTATGACTACTTCATTAAAGATAAGAACCGCCTCCACAGCAGCCCTACCAGGAGCAAGGGGGCGAGCCTCTGTGCTTCTCTTGTGACAGGGTCAACAACAGCTACCACATCATAGTACGTCTCCCCTTCATTGGGCTTCAGTTTAATTGCACTGAAAAAAACCAAAAGAACAAAACTTTAGCACTGAGGAAACCAAGTTAAGTAGGGGTTGGGGGAGATATCAATATGGAATATCAATTCTTCAGCCCTCTTAGCATTTCAAAAACTATACAGATCAGAATCAACAAGCTAAAATGGTCATCACCTATGAGACTAAAGCTATAGAAGGAGCTATACCTAAGTGAGGCTTGTGATTGGTCCTTGTACGAGGCCTGTGATTGGGGAACAGAGCACAAGCATACCAAATCCCCGTTCTGGAGAGATAAGCGTACTCAGCCACCTTTTAGTCTGAAGAGATCTCTCCTGCTCACCACCACTAGCGTTACAGCAGTATGCCCCAGTAAAAGCTCTTACAAATGAAAATGCAAAGGGAAGAAAAGCAGGGACTCCCAAAGGATTAAAACTGCACCCAGTGGTCCAAAATCATGTATTACTTTGTTTGAAGTGGTCCAAGTTTTACAGTGCAAGAACTTTTGCCCCCCTGTGCTAACAGTACAACACAAAGTAGAATATAACCAGAAAACCAGGTAGCAATAGTTTAGATGCAGCTGGTGGTTATTTCAAATTAGATGCTTTGGAAACAGCCATTACTTCAATACAAGATAGTTCTTCTGCAGCTATTCTCAAAAAAAAAAAAAAAAAAAAAAAAAAAAAATCACCCCCATGGGTGCTCACAAGCATCCTGAACTCCAGTTCTAGGGGATCCAATGCCCTTTTCTGCTCTCCATGAACACTGCATGCACAGGTATATACATGGGCATACCGCCCATATGCAAAAAATTAAATTAATTTTTTAAGATCACACCTATATTCTATAACAAGGAAAGGAGGCAAGAAGACTCAAGGAAAGAACAGTCACATGAGAATGGCACAATATAAACCAACAACACCATGTACTTGATGTAGTGGTGAGAGAAAACTCTAGAATGCAGCCAAACATGACAGAAGATCATACATTCCCATTGAGTGAATAGAGCAAATATCCAAGAAAACTATGCCCTCCCAAAGTATGTTCACAGGAATCATTGGGGAATCTTACTAAGAGGCAGATACTGATACTAGAGGTCTGCTGTAAGGCTGAAGATCATTCAGCAGGCTCCTAGACAACACCCTGTTGCGGATGGTCTGAGGCCCACACTAAGGGCACATAGAATTGATGGCATAGTCTTTTTTTTATTTTCCTTATTTTGGTTTTTCAAGACAGGGTCTCACTGTGTAGCCCTGGCAATCCTAGCACTCACTCTGTGGAGCAGGCTGGCCTCGAACTCAGAAATCTACCTACCTCTGCCTCCTGAGTGCTAGGATTAAAGGAACACGTCCCATAGCCTGGCTGCATAGTTTTGTTTTGTTTTGTTTGTTCTGTTTTGTTTTGATTTGGTTTTGGTTTTTTGAGACAGGGTTTCTCTGTGTAGTTTTTTTGGTGCCTGTCCTGGATTTCGCTCTATAGACCAGGCTAGCCTCGAACTCACAGAGATCCGCCTGCTTCTACCTCCCAAGTGCTGGGATTAAAGGCATGTGCCACCACTGCCTGACTGTATAGTCATTTTTATTTGCTGCAGAAATGATAACTATTTTTTATGTAATAATTAAATGGGGTTAATTTGAATAAAGCAAGTTTCAGCATAATGAAAAATTAGAAACAAAGAAAGCTATGTGATAAGCTGAATGGATAAAACCTTTTAATAAAACAGAAAGGAGAAATTTTGATTTACAGGTATCAAATACTTAGCTAACATGACAGCAGTAAGAATTTCTATTGCATCATAACAGAATTTGTAACTATGGCAATTTTAATTATGTAAAACTCAAAGAGCTCACAGGGAAAAGGACGCTCTAGAGCGGGCTCAGGCTTCACTAAGGACCTACTGTCCTGGCTATGAAAGGCAGATGGGACAGCAGATCAATCACTGTCTCCTGTGCTGCTACCTACTTGTTTCTTACAGAGCACAGTGGAGAAGCGAAGAGGAGCATGTGCACAGCATGCTGCTAGTGGCAAACCCCTGGAAGGGGCCACACCGGCCTCCGCCCCCAGTGACACAGAAATCAGAAGGCGGCTGAAGACATAGCTCAAGGGCAGAGTGACTGTTTAGCACGCACAGGTACTAGATTAGAGAGCAGGGTAGGGGTGGGAGGGGGAAGATGGAGATACCAAGCAATCAATAAATGAGGAGACAAGGGCTTGGAGAGATAGCTTAGCAGTTAAGAGTGCATACTGCTTTTGAAAAGGACCTGAATTTGGTTCCCAGCTCCTACACCAGGTATCCCATAACTACCTACAACTCGAGCCCCAGGGGGTTATCCAACAGCCTGAGGCCTCCACAGGCACCTGCACACATGTGCACATATTCACACAGACATATAATTAAAAATAACAAAAGTAAAATTTTTTTTTTTTTTTTTTTTTTTTTTTGTTTTTGTTTTTCGAGACAGGATTTCTCTGTGTAGCTTTGCGCCTTTCCTGGAACTCACTTGGTAGTCCAGGCTGGCCTCGAACTCACAGAGATCCGCCTGGCTCTGCCTCCCGAGTGCTGGGGGGATTAAAGGCGTGCGCCACCACCGCCCGGCCAAAAGTAAAATTTTTAAATGAAAAGAAAGAGCTGGTGTTTTGAGTTTTCCAGAATAACAAACTATTCCAGTCTTAGGGGAATAACCCACATTGTGGGGTTCTAAAGACAATCTGCCTGGGCTCTTTAAAAAGGTCAATGCCATAAAAGAAAAAGGGGGCAGGCAGAGAACTCTTTTAGATTAAAAGAGATTAAAGAGATATGAGTAACTTCAATGTGTGGTCTGGGGACATCAGAGAAAATCTGAACAGAGATTATGTATTAGCATTACTGGATGAAGGTCACATTTCTCAGGTATGTTCATAGTACTGTGGATCAAGTCTCCACATACTGAACGCTTTAGACATGTTATATCATGTCAGCAATGAATTTTCAAATGCTAGAAAAAGAGATGTGAGTACAGGTAATATATGTAATACACAGATGTATGGTGATATTTTATTTGTACTGAAATGTGATTTTATTTGTATGTTAGCAAATAAAGTTGCCTGGGGGTCAGAGCTAATAGCAAGCCATAGCAGAGCTGGGCATTCATGGCGCACGCCTTTAATCCCAGCACTTGGTAGGCAGAGTTAGGTAGATCTCTGTGTGGTCAAGGATACAGCCAGCATTGGAGACACACGCCTTTAATCTCAATACCAACCATAGAAAACCTGGAGGTCTGTACAAACAGGCAATGACGAGGCAGTCATGTGGTTGGGTTTACAACCAATGAGAAGGCAGAACAGAAAGTTTATATAAGACAAACACTCAGGAAGTAGGTCTCTCTTGGCTAAAGAGGATCGCTGAAGCAGGAAGGGTAAGGCTCTTAGCTCTGACCTCTTGGGCTTTTATCTTTACATTGGCTCTGTGTTTCTTATTTAATAAGACGGTTGGTTACATCTACACAGATGCACACACTGAGTTACAGACATGTAGGTTACCAATAGGAGGTACCCAATAAGCATAAATATAGTTACAAATGCATGGTTATTCTTTGCAAGTCTTGCAACTTCATCCATGTTTGAAACTTCAAAACAAAAAACTGAAGAATAAAAAGACAGAGACATCTCCATATCCTAAATACATTTTTATTTATTGGAAACAATGTTTTTTTATAATAATAATAATAAACAAGAGACAAGTATTTACCTAGTATCTAAGCAATCTGGTTACTCCTGGATATCAGGTAATTCCAGCTGTTCTATTTCATTAATAGTTATTTTCATTAAAAAGATATAATCAGAATTACTTCAAGTTTATTTAGAAGTACCACCTTTCATGAAACTGAATTTTATATATGAAGCTTCATTTTATATGTGAACATTAACATACAAAGAAAACCACACACTAACTTCTCATTTCTCTAATGACATATAAGGTTTCTAAAACCTTATATGGAAAACAAAGAATATGAGACAAAGGAAAGCCTAAAAGTTTAATATTCAAGCATGTGCATAAATTCAACATTAATTCTATACCTGTGTTTGTCTTCAAAGAACTGGTAGTCGATCCTTGCCTCTCCTTTGGGTTGCGCTGACAGGAGAGCATCCACCTTCATTACCAAATCACTTGCCCTAAAAGATGGAGTTATGAAATCTTAGCATCACTTTATCTGCAGATTTTCTAATTATTGTTGAACACCATCAGTCCAAACACAGAATTAATGCCAACAAGGTGGTTTAAAAGAGGCATGAACTCAGTACCAAAAGGCATGATTCTGTGATTGGCTTGATCATCTCTGGAATGTTACTTTTCTCCACATATGAAGGACAGGTACTACCTACTTTACAAGGCTGCTGTAAATACCGTGTTAGCTAAACATACTGAGACCTAGCTCAGGGCCTGGTTTAAATAATGCTATTACTTTTTAGGATTACTGCAGCAAAATCTATTAACCACTAACCAGCTATTCAATATTGATGCTGGTTTCTGACTTCAATATTAGAATCAGCATTACAGTATGCAATTAAAAAAAGACCTGTGAACTGCCTAGTATTTCTGGGCTCATTTCTAGCACAGGGAAAAAATAAAACTGTAGTAATATATTTTTATGACAACATCTCTTGACCCCCAAGACTGAACTTTTGGCAAATCTCACAGCAAAGTTAATAATACCCCTTGAGGTCCTCTAAGACAAAGTGTGTAACCTAGTATCCTACTGTGCACTCAGCCCCTTCAGTTTAACCCGCCTTTAAGAGAACGGTGTAACCTTACTAGTCTTGAACTTCCTATGCAATCAGCTTTTACAACCTAAGCTAAGATATAGATTTACTCTTCTATGCCCTTGACCCAAAGGTAGGGGTAGGTATGTGTGTTATGTGTGTGTGTGTCATAGTAATCATTTGCTGAAACAGCTAACAGGTTGAAAGCAACCTTATACAACAAATATCTGACATAAATGTTGGAAACAACATGTGGATATAAGTTGAAAATATTTGCTTATAGTTTTCTATTCTGGATTGGTCAAGTTATCGCTTCCCTTACAAAACTCTTGTTAAAGATTTCTGTAAAGAATCTCATTCTTTCCCATGCCATACTTTCTGTGTTGCATAATAAATACAGAGCAAGCCTTTTGTCAGAGGAAGGTAGATAAAGGGACAAATAGAGACCACACACACACACACACACACACACACACACACACACACACACACACACACACGACAGACTACAGATGGATCAGTAACCACAAACTACATACAGAGAGATGGAAGATACAAGAAAAGAAGTGGAGAATTCAAGTTGGGCTCACCCTTGGTCAAATTAATCCAAGAAGTGCTTTGTTTTCATCCCTTAGTGCAACATCGATCCATTTTGGTGCCTCTGAGGTTCTTTAATGTGTTAACAGACATAAAACAAAACAAAACAAAAACTCCCTGTTTTATCTACCCCCTCTATTTAAAAAAATTTTAGTTACATTTATTTATTTGTGTGTATGTTCGTGTGCTCTCACATGTTGTGGATGTCAGAGAACACCTCAAGGAGCTGGTTATCTCTTTCTATCACATGGGTCCCAGGAACCAAACTGAGGTGGTCAGGTCTGGAGCAGGTACCTTTATTCACTGAGCCATCTTACTGGCCTGCTAACCCCTTCTAAGCTGATTTATAGGAGACCTTGAATTATCTATGTCATAAGCCTAGAGAAGCTAGACTGGAATACAATACCCCAGGTAAGCCATTCAAACCGCTGTGACAGACTTCAACTATAACAAAGTTTACACGTTTTCTCTTTGAACCAATCACATCATAAACTTCCACAATCAACTGTGAACACTTTTGGCACACAGAACAACTTCCTACACATCATAAAGCACCAAGATCAAAGAGTCCACAGCCAAGCTTCAGAAAGCTCTCACTATAACAGGGGACTACCCCAAAACACAGTGGCCCTGGAGATACTAAAACTGTGCAGCATCAGGGAAGTGTTTCACAAGCCAGACAAAAGGGCAACACTCAAAAGCAACTGAGGCTTTTTACCTTGACCTCAGCAGTGAGTCAGATGAAAAGAACTTTTTCTCAGTCTGGGGAAGTAGCTCAGTGGTAGAAAACTTTCCTAGTATATATGAGAATCTAGGTTCCACCATCCACAGCAGCACGCACGCGCACACACACACACACACACACACACACACACACAATCTATATCACATGACCAAGGGACTACTTTGGCAGCTATCAAAGACAACACATCACTAAAAGATGCAGTGTGACAGTACATGAAAAAGATGAAGGAAAAAAGGGAGATCTTCAATTTCTTTGTATACTCCAACTATGAATCAAATGGCATTATTCAAAGGGTCAAAGGGCAGCCAAAGGAAAGATAGGGAACTGACATCCAGAACATAAGGAATGCCCACAATTAAACAAGAAAACCAGAGAACCCGATTTAAAATGATGAAGACTGGAATAGACATTTCCCTAAAGATACTCAATGGCCAGTGTGGATGAGAACTCAAAGATACGATCAAACTATACCGAGTACCACACCATACCCATGAGGATGGCTACTACTTAAACAAACAAACAACAAAACAAAACAAAACAAAAAACCAGGAAGTGCTGGTGAGAATACAGAGACACTGAGACCAGCACGGTTGACAGGAATGGAAAGTGATGAGGCTACTATGGGAAATGGCATAGCAGGTCCTTATTAAACAAATATATCCCCAAATACAAATTCCAGTGACATCTAATGCAGAAAGGACTACTACAACCAGGGGCTTTTGTTACACAGCAAATATATGACCCACTCAATTTAATTCTTGGAAGTGAAACATGCTAAAAGACATTAGCTAATAAAAATACTAAGATAATTAAATCACAAGCCAGCAACATCTAACTTTTCATCCCTCTGCAAGAGAACAGCTTCAGCTCCCACACAGGAAGGTAAAGGAGAAGAAGCATTTGGTGTGCATTTCCTCCCAATACAAAGTCAGCGGACAGTCTCTACACATCCAATAGGGCCCTCTGTTTCTGCATATGTGTGAACTTTTTTCCAGATTCAAAATGGAGAAATAATTCAGAAACATAACTGTCAATTGGAGCATTATTACAGTAAAACTGGAAATAAACCCACTGACTTGGTAATATATTTGACAAAATATAGTCCTCACTTTGACCAATGAGGAGAAATTAATAAAAACTCTGTGACATGATCTAGCTTCTAATTAGAAAACCAGTTTTATCATTTATTATCTAACTAGTTACTAGTTATAAAAACTTACACATCTTCTTCTACACGAAGCTGTTGGATATGAGATTTTATTTTCTGTCCCGATGTTTTCAAGATGATATTTTCTAGGAGGTGGAAATCGTCTTGATTAAAGAGCTCACTCTCCTCCAGCGGCCCAATGATCTGTGAGGTAAAGAGTAGGGACAAGCTGCAGAGGGTGGTCACCAGTTGCTGTGAAGCTTCTGCTAGCCCTGGGATAGCTAACACTCCAAAGTCTGTAGCCCTGGGATAGCTAACACTCCAAAGCGTCTTACAACCCAGCCCTGGAGCACGTCTTAAAATGAATGAAGAATAAAAATAAAGCCTGAGAAACTCAGTTACTGTTTACCTGTTTGTTCGGCGGACAGTTAATTTCTAAGCAAACTGACGTGAAAGAGCAGGTCATCTGCATTAGTTCTCAGCACACAGCAGCAAGACCTACCTTACAGACTGCTACACTGACTTCTGTTCTGACAGCCCCACACTCACTACCTCCCTCATGGTCAAGACACAAATAAACCACAGGGGCCAACAGGGTCTGCATCAGAAGCACACTTTCTTGGAAAGACAGGACAGAGCTTTCTGCACTGGCACTCAGAAGCCTGTCAGCCAACAGGAGGGCAGCTCTAGCGCAGACCATAGACATCTCAAAGGAGAGAGACAGCTTAAAAACCTATTGAAGGCAAGCTTCGCAGCCCAGAAAGTTCTCACCCTTCCGTTGCTGATCACCACTCTCTGTCCCTTCTTCAGCTTCAGGACGTCCCTGCAGTACAGGGCATGAGACAAAATGAAATCCATCTTGGAAGACTCAAAGGCCTCTTTAAAAAGACTGACATCCATGCCCTAGGAAGTAATCAATTTTAAGGAAAGTCACAATTATTAAGCAAACATCATAAATGAATAATAACAATGAGTAAACTATAAAGTGCTTTTGTGAAAAGTAATAACCAAATTTCATAATTAACATTATAACATCTTAATTCTCCATTTTCTCTTCTTTCTTCCCTCTTCATAAACTGCTCATTCCCTTTTCCTATTTTCTACTGATTTGTTTACCTGGCAATCTATTCTCAATAACTTTATTTTGCATTTTTAAATCTTGGTAACCTCAGGTGACAGCCATTTCCTCTAACTGAAACTCAATATATGCATGGCTTTATAAGAAATTTTAAAACTACAAAAACACTGTCAAAAAATAAGTAACACTAGACAAATGAATAAACGCAGGCTTTTATCGGAAAAAAAAGAATGGCTGACTCTCTAACTCATAAACATCTTAAATTTGCTTTTTTGCTTAATATTGTCTTTTAAAGATCATACAAACAAAGCGGCACAAACTTGTATCCTACGCATTTTAAAACTAAAGCAAGTTTAAAAGTAAAGAGTAACATGACAGAATTATTTCTTAAGATTCTAATACAACGACAACAACAAATATCCTGAGACTTAGAAGCAATCACAAACCCAATTCTAACTAGTATACATCAGCCCAGGGGAGAAACATGAATGACCCGGCTAGCCTCAGAACCTGCGAGCCTTACCCCAACAGAGAATTCCCCGATGTCTACTCCTGCGGCCAGGGCCTCTGCCGTCTCCTCTTTGGCCATTTTGGTGATGAAGTTCTTAGCAGAGTTGGAGGTCTGTGTTTGGAGAGCTGCCCAGATTGCTCTGAAGATTGGAGTGTTCGAGTAACTTATCTCCTGGCTGGGATTATTGATCATACTTATCCTAACATTGTTACTGGTTTTCTATTTATAAAAAGGGAGAGAAGAATTATATGATACACGTTAAGAACTTCAAAAAGGCAACACTGACCAGGTATGGTGGTGCATGCATGTCTTTACTCTTTGCACTCAAGAGGCAGAGGCAGGCAGATAGATGTCTGAAAACCAGTCTGGGCTACACAGCCAGAGCAAAGTCACATGGTAAGACCCTGCCTCCAAGGGGGGATGGTGGTGCAGGGCACACAACATTAACATTAGTCATGCTCCATAATAGCAATATCTCTTCTAAACATCTTCAGTAGTTATCTGCAGTCAAAATAAAGTTCAGATGATATGTACGGTTAAGTCTGCCAAATGCAGTATGAACTGGCCCCAGACTTCCTCTCCAACTTCATTTCTATACACACCTGACATCAAGAGTGCTATGTTTCTTCAGTACATTTTATACTCTAACTGCATTCCATCTTTTCTAAAACTCAAACCTTTTTTCAGGTCCCTGCTCACCCATCTTCATTCACATGGCCTTCAGATACCAGCAGCAATGGAACTCCCCATGGGTAAAAGACAAACTATCTAACAAAACCAAAGCATGAATCCACACGGAAGAAGATGGAGGACCATAAAACCAAACAGGGCTTACATCAAGAATGTAAGCTAGCCAGTGATGTGACTTAGCCAATAAAGGTGCTTGTCGCCAATAAAGACCTGAGTTCAATCCCTATGACCCTTAGGGTGGAAGGAAAGTATTTTCTGCTGTGGATGATTGATTGATAAATAAAATGCTGATTGGCCAGTTATAGGCGGGACAAAGAGAGAGGAGAAGGCTGGGAAGTGGAAGGCTGAGGCAGAGAGACGCTGCCAGGCGCTGTAATGAGGAGCAGGATGTAAAGTACCAGTAAGCCACGAGCCACGTGGCAAGGTATAGATTAATAGAAATGGTTAATTTAAGATAGAAGAACTAGATAACAAGAAGCCTGCCACGCCGGGCGGGTGGTGGCACATGCCTTTAATCCCAGCACTCGGGAGGCAGAGCCAGGCGGATCTCTGTGAGTTCGAGGCCAGCCTGGGCTACCAAGCGAGTTCCAGGACAGGCGCAAAGCTACACAGAGAAACCCTGTCTCGAAAAGCCAAAAAAAAAAAAAAAAAAGAAGTCTGCCACTCATAAGTAATATAAGCGTCTGAGTGATTATTTTATAAGTGGGCTGTGGGACTGCGGGGACTTGGCGGGACCTAGAAAGAAACTCTCCAGCTACAACTTTCCCATAAGCTGTCCTCTAACTTCCACAAATGTACCATGCCATGTATGTAAGTATCTCTTCCCATAAATAAATTAAAATGTAGCAAAAAAAAAAAAAAAAAAAAAAGGAGGGGGGATCAGGAGCTGGAGAGATGGCTCAGCTGTTAAGACAACTTGCTGCTCTTTTAGAGAACTCTCATTTGGTTCCCAATACGCACATGACAGCTCACAGCTATCCCTAACAGTTCCGGGGGGCTCTGACGTTCTCTTTGGCCTTCTTGGGCTACAGACATGCATGTGCTGTGTGTGTGTGTGTGTGTGTGTGTGTGTGTGTGTGTGTACGTACATATAGGCACACACACACACACACACACACACACACACACACACACACACACACACGAAAAGAAATCATTTCTTGAAAAAGTCACTGAAATTAAAAAGTCAGCTCACAAAATGTTGAGTAAATGAAGCAGGTACAAGTCTACATTCCAAGATTTCATGATGCAAGTAGAGGGAGGGAAATAGTGGCTTGGGGGCCTTCAGTGACATCATTATTTTCTGATCTGGGTGGTGGACACAGGGACATACTTGCTTGTGACACCAAGTATATGAATACGTACTTCACCTCAATGAAAATATGTATTTAAGAGCTAGAATTCTCATTCCTGGTGTTCCCACCCTGGGACCATGTGAGGAGTTTCTCCCTTCACATTAGGGAGTGCTGGGTGTACATCATTATAAACTATCCTGACTCAACCATCAACTGACCACAGTATCCCATCCAGTGTCTTAAACAGTAAAGATCCTTGGCCCCACAGTGAAAATCCCTGGGTATTTACTTATTTCAGTCAGTCTTCTTGGGGCTCAGGTTAGAAAAGGACACAAAGAGAAATGTGACTTCTAGATGAAACTGCAAAGTGAAACAGGAAGAAGGACCTTTTGTTGTAGTTGTTGTTTGGGTTTTTTGTTTGTTTGTTTGTTTTTCGAGACAGGGTTTCTCTGTGTAGCTTTGCACCTTTCCTGGAATTCACTCTGTAGCCCAGGCTGTCCTCACAGAGATCCACCTGCCTCTGCCTCCCGAGTGCTGGGATTAAAGGCCACCACCACCACCTGGCAGGAAGAATCCACTTCTTCTCAACCACTCTGCATTGCAATGTCTCAACTCTTTTTTTTTTGCACCCCCCCCCCCCCCCCCGAGCTGAGGACCGAACCCACGCCTAGCAAGCGCTCTACCACTGAGCTAAATCCCCAATCCTCTCAACTCTTATTGTACACATACAAATTGACTGGCAGCAGTGATGTGAACACTCCTCTGGGAGCCTGCATCTACTTATGTGGAACACACACCACCTGCTGGCCTGGGAGCTCTCTTGATGTTGCAGTACATGGCAAGATCACTGCAGTAAGGACATGCACAGTCATGCAAGAAAATTCTACACTGAGAATTTCATTATGTTTTCTCTTAGAGAATCTACTCCCTCAAGTGAAGCTAGGCCCTGCAGTCTTTGAACTCTTTTCTTAGGAGCTGACAACTTTGAAGACACTATGCTCATTTCCCTCAGCACACCAAGAAACATTAGAAATGCCAGAATAACCACACTAGCACAGAGGTGATCACAAAGCCAATTGGAGCCTCAGAAACAAGCCAACAAAACCAAAATAAAATACTCCATAACGCCCCACCCCAGAATGAAATCTGAGAAACTTGCCTGATGTTTAATGGCATCATATAACAACTGCCGTCCAGAAGGGCTATCAAAATCCCCAACAATCCAAAAAGTCACTGGCCTAATAAAGGAATCATCTGCAGAAAAACAAAAACAACAAACTGACTAGAAGGAAAAAAAAAGATATTCTTTGTTTCAACATTAAAATTAGGCCAAATAATTTCTGAAAAACATGCAAAATGAAAAATAAGAAAATGACTGGTTTGATAGATACAGAGCAGAAGGTAGTGGAACTTCTCTACTAACAGAAGCAGAGCAATCTTCCAAGCAGCTCAATTAGAAACTAGGAACATGCATTGATTAACTGCCCTGTGGTCTGGGAATCTGTTAGCATAGACAATGAGACATGTGGGCAGCGCAATGTAGTATTTACTCATGTTAATTTACAACTTTCCGAAAGGACTGAAAACATTATATAGTGCATCTATACTCTACTGTTACCCACAGGATTCAGAAACATCACAATGAAATGTCAATAAATTCTGAATAACAACGGTCCTGAAACCATAAATTAATCATGAAAATGAAGGGAACATTCTGGAGTTTTGCGTTACCATAGATTTCCTTGGAGGACATTCCTGGACAGAGGCAAAGAAGAAAAGAGTAGAAGAAAAGAGAACGTCATTTGTGTAATGAAATGCCCATCAGAAGAGTCAGCAGATTACACGGGCTAACAAGGCTGTACTGCTTCCTGCTCTAGCTCCCACCATGCTCAAGCTCTGTCCTAGGACCCCTTAGAGACAAATTCTCTGAGAAACCCAGTGGACTAATGATGTGAACGTAACAGACCCAGGAATCCAGAGGGAAGATCGCAGCAGGGTAAACGGAGCTGTCCTAATGACAACTGGTGCTTTCTGGAGCAGCAAGTAGTATTAGAACGACTCTGGAAGGGTGATCGTGTCAACTCCGTCAGAGGGAAAGGACCTGTCTGCCACTGAGAACTGTCACTTTAGACAAGTGTAGCCTAAGTAACTCTGCATAAAATCACTTTAAAGAATTACACAAGGTTTTCTAGAATCCAGTTTATCCTATAAGTGCTACAATAAAATTAACTCTAAGATGTTATCGAAGAATCAGACAAAATCGTTTTCCTATGTTTTCCATTTTGAACTATGAAGGGCTTTTCCTATCAATTTTAATGATAAACATAAAATTTATAAAGAACATGCTTGAATTTTTAAACACATACATAGAATTACATTTTCAATATGTATTTTCTACATTTACATTATAAGAGAAAATTAATAAAAGGAATTATGGGATCTTTTCCCAAGACAGTAAGATGGAATTATATTTTCAGATACTAAGTAAAGAATGAATATGTTGGATCCCAGACTAGCTCAGATGGGTTACCTTTTTTTGTCAGATAGTTCATACTGTTGGCTATAGCAGCAGTCTTGCCTCTAGAGTCCAAGGAAGAAAATCTGGCAAAATCATCCACAAAAAAGTTATCTGGGGAAAAGAGAAAGAATTTAAACAGATGCATAATTAATAAACCTCAATGCAATTTACCATTTATATTCAATTGATAATCAGCTTTGAGCATAACAGAAGATGCATAAAATGCATGAGTAAAGTATATTAAGTGCTGCTTACTAGGAGGAAGTGGGTTGCTCTTGGAAGGGATACTGGTACCTGTCTTTTTGCTTCCCAGCCACCATAAGTAAGCAGAGCTTTCCCACTGCATGCTCGTGGCTCTAAAACAGAGACACCTGGTCATGGGATCCAATCTCTGAACCCCAACGCCAAACAAAACATTCCTCTTTTAAAGGTGATACTCTCAAGTAGTTTGTCACACAGCAATACAAATCTGACAAAGGCTTCTTAAAAAGGTCCCAAGACAGCAAAGGCCAGAGAAGCAGGCAGGATGACAGTGCCTCTTCACTGACCCCTGCCCTGGCTGAGTGACAGCCAGGAGACCTGCCACTGTAGCACAGAAAGAAATACAATCTAACACACGGCATTGTTGCCATGCTCCTTCAGCACTGTCACTCCAAAGACAACCTTTCACATTTTAAATTTATTTGTTTTGGATTTTCTTTTCCTTTGGTTTTTTGAGACAGGGTTTCTCCATGTAGTTTTGGTGCCTGTCCTGGATCTCGCTCTGTAGACCAGCCTGGCCTCGAACTCACAGAGATCCACCTGGCTCTGCCTCCCGAGTGCTGGGATCAAAGGCGTGCACCACCACCACCCCGCTTCTTTTCATTTTCTTAACTCTCAATCCTCTTGTCCTTTACCTAAGTGCCGGAATTATAGCATGTTCCACCACACTCATCCAGCCTAATACTCCAGCTTAATTAAAAATAATGAAGTTCTGTGTGGTGGTGCATGCACTTGGAAGGCAGAGGCAGGCACTTGCAAGGCAGAGGCACGCACAACTCTGTGGGTTCAAGGCCAACTTGGTCTATAAGTGGCAATTTCCAGGCCAGCTAGGACTATAAATGTGACCCTGTCTTAAGCACACACAGATACACACAGAGAGAGAGACAGAGAGACAGATAAACACAGACACAGAGAACAAAGACTTGGGACAAAACGTTGTGAGACTACTTGCCTCACACTACACTGACTTTTGAAGGTAACGCCTGGCCTGTGGAAGAACTACTCAGTTCACTGTCTGAACAGGTTCTTCACACCCAAATTTATGTGGTACTAGGGAACTGAACTTTGTAGTGCTTTGGGCATGCTAAACAAGCACTCTGATCGACTGAGCTATACCTGAACCCTTTATATCTACATTTTACTTCTGTTTACCTTTTCTTTCCTCCCTCCCCTGCCCAGTACCAGGAACTGAACTCCAGGCTTTGCATATACTAGGCAAGCAATTAATAGCTAAGCCAATCCAAAAAAACAATTTTTTTAAATTTTTATTTCTGAAACAGAGTCTCACTAAATTGCTTATGCTAGCCTTGAACTCATTATGTAGTTCAAGCAGGTCTCGAACTTAAAATCTTTCTGCCTCAGCCTCCCAAGTAGCTATGATTACAGTCTGCATATTTTCGTTATACTGATCTACAATAACAAAGACTTCACTTCATATGCCTTTCCTTCCCTACGGAAGGATCACAGCAGGCAAATCATGAGAAGTCTACCTTATTTCCAAGTGTCTGGTGAAATGCCATTGAGAGTCTGGAACAGACTGCTCATGTGTTCACCGTAACTCTTAAAAGCTAGAGTTCTGGAGAATACCCAAATGTCCATCAACTGATAGTACGGAACAGAATATTTAAGTAACTAAAAGAAATGAAATACTGATATGCTACAAGATGGATGAACTGTAGGAAAAGGCTGAAACATAAATGAGAAGCCATGCACAAAGGCTTCCCAGTTATATGGAATGTCCTGAATAGGGAAATCCACAAATCAGAAAGCAGATAGTAGACAGAAAGGAATGGGGGGGGTGGAATAATGACACAGGGAAACAGGTTTATACGGGTGATGATGTGTCTTAGTACTAGATAATATTGACAACAGCAAAACTTTTGAGAATGAATAAAAAACATCAAATCATGCATTTTTACAAGTTTAGTTTGGTGGGGCTGGAGAGATTGCTAAGAACAGTGACTGTTCCTCTGAAGGATCTGGGTTTGATCCCCAGCATCCACATGGTGGCTCACAATCATCTGTAACTCCAGTTCCTGGGGATCTTCTGGCCTCTGCAGGCACTGGCATGCACATGGTACACACACATACATGAAGGCAAACATCCATACACATAAAATTGGGGCTGGAGTTGTAACTAAGTGGTAAAGCACTATACTTTCTAGCATGCATACGACTCTAGAATGATTAAAGAGAGAATAAAACACAGGTTGTGTTTCATGGCACATGCATTATAGCACAACACCCCTACCCCTTTTGTAATATAGTAAGTTCCAGGGTAGTCTCAGACACACTATATATTGTTCAGTCTGGCCTCAAATTTGTAATCCCCTCCTCGGCTTCCCAAGTGCTAGCACTACAAGCATGTTCTACCCTGCCCAGAAGAAATGACTACTTTTTAAAAAGGTGTCGCTAGGGCTGCAGAGTAAGTCTAGTGGACATAGTCATTGGGTTCTTACTCGGTATTGATGCTACAATGAGAATGAGGAATAAAGAACTAGCTAGTGCTCTATGGCTATAAGGTGGCCAATACAGGTCCACTCTTATCATCTAATCTAATGGCATCATGTATTTGGCATTTAAATGGCACAAGATATTTTTTATGGTTCATAGGTTTTACCTAGAAAAAAATTAATCCCTATTTACTTACCTATTCGTTAGGATTCTGGAGTCAAACATCTTTATTAAAGATAGCACCAAAATTCTGGCAAACATTTCAGCAGATTTGTAAACACAATGCTTCTCTTTTTAACCAGAAGCATTTTGACAAGACAATACCATAAGACTAAACAAACTGAATCAATATTAGTTCAAAAATCCTTTTATTTTTGATCACATAACTTATGTTCCTACATGATCAAACAAATGATAGTTTAAATCAAGGTCGACAGATAAACTCCATGAAATGAAAGTTTGTGCTGTTTCATGAATCATAGTATGTTGTGGTTAAATATATCTATACTCTTTTTTATATTCCTGATATTCAGGATGAAAAAAATCTTTAAATATACATCTCATATAGGTAATAGCTTCTCTGCATATCTCTCTTCAAAAAATACCTTATAGTAGTATATAAATAGGTTGCCTACATATTCAATTTTATAATTTTGCCCCAAAACTATAGATGTTTCATTTTTAATAGCATATCAATTTTTATCCAACATTAATAAAGTTGACAAACTGTTCAAATGGAAATGCTTTTGTCTTCTATATAGAAGCAGCAATTGGACAGAAAAAGACAGACAATACCAGGAACAACCTAGGGGAACTCATCAGCTGTTTAACCTGAGACTGGGAGCAGCAGCTTCATACCTTCATGCAGCTCACATCCACAGCAGCTCTGCAGACATACAAGCTGAACACACACAATCCGACAGTGGTACGCCACCATGTGCTTCCCGTGGCTGTTGTCACTGGGAAGCAGTGTTCTATTGATTAACCACACTCTGTACATGACTTGCTAATACCTTAAGGCAGCCACTGCAACAGGGGTTGAATCTGCAGGGCAGCTTTAACAGTGTAGAGCAAGTCAGCCCATATGCATGAATGTGCATAGAAATCCACACACTCACACACTTCTATTTTTCAACTCTCCACAACATTTGTTTTGATTTTTTTCTTTTTTTGTATTTTGTGCAAATGTCTAAATATTTTACAATTTAAGGCAAAGAGTTTGCATTAAAAAGCATCAGAAAATAGGTTTTTGTTTATCCAAAAGCATTTTACTTTGCACATTAATGTCTTGTTTCAAACATGCCCAACTCTTAAGTGTGAACACCACATACCTGATATCTAAAAACTGATCTCTAATCACAAACACAAGTTTTCAATGAAAAGTTGATTTGAAGTAGATACTAGACTTCCCCAAATTCTTAAAACAACAACAACAACAATTGCTTCTATTAACAAACAAGTCTTGGGGTTGGAGGAAGTTCAGCTTCAAAATGCAAGGATGCAAAGTAAAATAGAGGGGAAATGTAAGCCAAGTTCACTAACACTGAAACTTTCAACAAGCTAAGTTTCCTCTTTTAGAATCTTAAATAAATAAGCTCTAGTTACTTCACATATTCTGGTCCAAGCAGAGTTCTAGTGCCAGGACTGTGCTTGCTGTTAGCCCAATTCCCTGAGCAGTCTTTTCATGTGAGCCAGCTTGTCATGAAGATACTCGAATCTGTGTAATTCTTCATGGTTAACTGGGACTGCCTGATCTTCCTAACTCTTGTGAGACCTTTTCAGGAACATTCTGGTACTCTTTTAAGCTCAGAGAAAGGCCTTTTCACTGTGCATCCATTTTGATAAATCTCCTAGTTACAGTCTCCATCCTGACACACAAAGCCCAGTATTCACCATACTCAGCATTGAAATCACCCTTGTAATTCCAGCGTTCCTCATAGGATACAACAGCAATATAGTTCCTGAGTAATCTGGGAGTTCAATTGTGGAAGAGGCTCCATGCAAGCAGTGCAACCTTCTTCAACTCATTCACTGGGATTAGGAGTGGAGTTACTCAGCTTGGCAGGTTCTTCTCTTTGATGGTCTTCCTCCAATGTCATGTTTTTTTATTTGGTCCTTTTCGTTATGGATTTTAGACTTCGTTTTAGACATTTTTTTTTTTTTTTTTTTTTTTTTTTGGTTTTTCGAGACAGGGTTTCTCTGTGTAGCTTTGCGCCTTTCCTGGAACTCACTTGGTAGTCCAGGCTGGCCTCGAACTCACAGAGATCCGCCTGCCTCTGCCTCCCGAGTGCTGGGATTAAAGGCGTGCGCCACCACCGCCCGGCCGTTTTAGACATTTTATGAAACACTAGATGGTTTTCTTCCATAGGCTTTGGATACTTTAACAGATCTGGAAGTTTCCACACAAGTCCTAAAGGTTTGTTTTTCTTGCTAGTCTTCGAAGATGCTACCATTTTGACTAAACTGTCAACTAGAAGTTCTTGAGTCCACTGGCCTTCTGGGAGCGCTTGGGGAATAGGAGTTGGAATTTCCAGTCTAAGGAGGAGTTGAGACAGGCAGGTGGGTTAGGTGCATGGGGATGGCAGCAGCTGCAGGGAGCAGTAGAAGGTTTGCAAAGATTTTTCACCAGTGAGATTCAAATGGTCACTTAATGCTTGATATCGGTGGGGCTCTTGCTAGTCAGGTAAGATATTCAAGCTTTCTTGTTCATTAAAGGATCAACGAAATCTGAATTCAAAGATTGTTTCTGAAAAGATGAAGCATCTCTGCTGGAACACATGGGAGATTCTGAATGGCTTGTGCCAGCACTCTGAGACAGACTAAGTTTTCTAGAGAGCATTATTAACTCCAATGACCGTCTGTCTGTCTGTCTGTATTCTGGCCAGTCTGCATGATGTTCCTTAAACAAATAATACTTTAAGGCATAGGAGAGGTCCTTAGGGTGCAGAGTAGACACCTGTTGCAGAAGTGCTCCCAAGGAGTTGTTGTTTTGACACCATCTTTCTGTAGTGGAGCAAGCAGTTTTTCTTGCAAGCTTTTAGCTCCAGTAAGTGAATGACCCTGTCCTTACATGGCACTGAGAAACACTGCTGCCACCAAGTATGTGACTTTTGGACTGTATTTGTGGGATTTACGGGAGTTGATATTTTCCTCTTGGGCACCCCCTCTGAGATGGCTTGGGGAACTTTCCAAGTTTGCACTATTTCCCTACGTAGAGTCCACAGGGTTTGATGATGTTTATGCTTTGGTAACGGGATTCCTCCCCTGCCTGGGTCATTCTTTCTCATGTCATTGAATAGGACTCATTTCCTGTACATGTAATTTATCCGGTATAAATGTGAAGCAGTTGAGCTGGGTGGCTTCAGAGCTGGAGAGTGTTCTATCAAAGCTCCCTCAGGGCTATTAGCCCACATTTCACAGAGATAGGGACTTCACTGAGGGACTGTGTTTAGGAAATTCTGACAAGCTAAAGAGACAAACACCCTTGGAGCCCTCAGAACTGAACTGAAGGTCAAAAAGAAATTCTTGTGGCTCTGCAAAGTCTCCAGTGCCCAGATCACGGTCTCTGTAAGTTTCTCAAGCTGCACTGTCCTGCCACAGCCACCCTAGCCCATAATACTGCTGCTCCTGCCAGAGCCCCGCACCCTACCTTAAACTCCCAGGAGTGCCACCCAGGCCCTAGCTCCTACAGTCACCTCCACAACTGTAGCCTTCCTGATGCAGATGTAATGTCACATACCATACCCAGCTAGACTTCCCTCTCTTTTTTAAAAAAGATTTATTTTTATTTTATGTGTACGAGTGTTTTGGTTGCATGTATGTTTGTTTATGTCTGGTACCTTTGGAGGCCAGAAGAGGGAGCTGGATCCCATACCCCAATCCTCTGCATAAGCAGCAAGATTTTTAAGCACTGAGCAATCTCTCTAGTCCCAGTACTTACCTTTTTTAGAGGGAAATTCCTGTGAGTTCAGAAGCATATATCACAATTTGGGTTATCATCTTAATATTATAATCTAATAAATATAAGAATATGAAGCACAGCCAGGCGGTGGTGGCGCACGCCTTTAATCCCAGTACTTGGGAGGCAGAGCCATGCGGATTTCTGTGAGTTCAAGGCCAGCCTAGTCTCCAAAGCGAGTTCCAGGAAAGGCACAAAGCTACACAGAGAAACCTGTCTCGAAAAAACAAAACACACACACACACACACACACACACACACACACACACACAAAACCAAAAAGAATGTAAGGCACAAATCCAAATGCTAAGAGTCGTTACTGAAATGCTCCTTACTGCTTGCCGTTAGGTCCAGATATTCTCGCTTAGCAGTCAAAATCCTAGAATTGATCCGTGGAACAACATTTGGCTGACTCATAATATACTCTACTACGTCTTGATCATGTGGCAGTTCACCCTGTATGAAAAAAGAAACAGAAGGGGCGGGAGTGTTAAAGGAATATCAGCAATAATAATTCACTAGAAATAAAGTTGGTAGCTTTGTAACAGCCTGTTATATGGTAGGAACTATAAGAGCCCAGTAATAGTGTAGACCTATACACATGGTATCTCTAACTCTATCACCACACAGGGGTGCTAGTAACATCCACTGAAAGACAGGAGGCTCAGGAACAAGAAAGCTAGGTCAGCTTTCCCATGGTGGGAGGCACACAACCCCTCCGTGAAGTCACTTCTCTCTGTTCACCTTTACATGGGTTCTAGGAAATCAAACTCAGATTGCTAGATGGCCCAGCAAGCTCCTGACCCACTGAGCCATTTTGTCAGCCCTTGAACTCATTTTTATGTGAGGCATAAAGTAAGGGCCAAATTTTGCTCTGTGGTTAAGTTGATACAGAGTTTTTTTTTCAGTATCATTTGTTTAAAAAGCCAGAAATAAATTTTTATTTATTTTTGGCTTTTCAAAACAGAGTTTCTCTGTGTAGGCCGAGCTGTCCTAGAACTTGCTCTATAGACCAGAACGTTCTTTAATGCAGGGATCTGCCTGCCTTTTGAGGCCTCCCAAGTACTGGGAAAAAAGGTGTGCGCCACCACACCTGGCCAGAAATAAATTTTTATCTATTTTTTTTGGGGGGGGAGGTGAGACAGGATTTCTCTGTGTAACAGTTCTGACTATCTTGGAACTCGTTTTGTAGACCAGACTGGTCTCAAACTCAGGGATCTGTCTGCCTTTTGAGGCCTTCCAAGTGTTGGGATTAAAGGTACACACCACCACTGCCCAGCCAGAAATAAATTTTTAAAATAAGTAGATTTGTTCTAAATGTCAATGTAGTCATACAAAAGTCTTCAGAGACTGGGTGTACTGGTACACACTGTTAATCCCAACTCTCAGGGTTAGATGGATCTCTAAGTTCATAGCCAGCCTGGGCTATCTAGCAAGTTCTAGGCCAGCCAGCGCTACACAGTGAGACCTTGTCTCAAAAATAATTATCAGGGCTGGTGAGATGGCTCAGTGGGTAAGGAGCTTGCTGGGCCAACACGGCAGCCAGAATTTGAATCCCCAGAACCCATGTAAAGGTGGAAAGATCTAAACTCCACAACTGTCCTTTGACTTCCACACATGTATTATGGCATGTACATCCCCCAAACAATAATAAATGTGAAAAAAAAGTATATTAACTCAAAATAGGTCAAAGGTATACCCTAAAGATTTGCAAGCATAAAGGTCTTAGAAGAAAACACCAGCACGGCAGCAGAAAAAAGGCCCAGCACTGGAGCAGTAGCTGAGAGCTTACATCCTTATCTACAGTAGGAGGCAGAAAGATAACTGGGAAAATGGAGTGGGCTTCTGAAATCAAAGCCCACCCCCAGTGACACTCCTCTTCCAATACCTTCTCCACATATCCCAATCCTTCCCCAATAGTTACACCAACTAGCAACCAAGCTTTCAAATATTTCAAACACCTATTGGGGCCATTCTCTTTCAAACCACCACAGCAGGTAGTAGATACAAGTTATAAAAGAGGATATAAAGCTAATAGTTTTTCTAGTTCTAATTCTATCTTGAATTTTTTTGGTGGATAAAAGCATAAAAACATATTCGAGGGGCTGGAGAGATGGCTCAGTGGTTAAAAGCACTGACTGTTCTTCCAGAGGACCTGGGTTCAATTCCCAGCACCCACATGGCAACTCACAACTGTCTGTAACTCCAGTTTCAGGGATTCTGACACCCTCACATAGACAAACATGCAGGCAAAATACCAATGCACATAAAATAAAAGTAATATTTAAAAAATTTTTTAAATATATATTTAATAGTGAAAGTGCAAAATCCAATGTGAAGCGCCATAGCTTCAGAATGGCTTCTAACTATATAAAAGTTCATTGAGATGTAGAATCTTTGGATCTGGTTGATTTTGGTGTGTGATATTCTTTACTTGCAAGTATTTAGTAATAAGATTTTTTAAAAATCAGCTTTTAAAATAACAAAAAATTCCAATATATTTCAACTTAGGGTTACAGGTATATCAATGTTATTTGATATTTAAAATACTATTTGAGGATGACATCAGAAGAAATAATAAAGTAAAAAATCTCCTAATCAAAGAAACTTTGAGATTACACACTCATACACCACCACTAACAACAACAACAAGTTTCCCAAAACTCAGAAAATTAACTAAAGGCTTGCAAAATTCTGAGGGACTTTTACTACAGAAAATGCCTGAATATTAGTAGGAAAGTGGTCTTTATGACATTTTAGCTTGCCCTATCATAGTCTACCTTTCTCTAACTCATAAAACCCTTAATAAAGCACCAGATCACCAAAAGAAGCAACACAGAGTTCCCAGGGTTCTCTTTATTTGAGCTGAGGAACATTTCAATAGCTTTTCCCCTGGGATATTTGCAAATGCAATCAGGATAAATTGTTTGACACCTCAGACAGCCTAAAACAAAGCTGGTCAAACACATAAAGAGCTGGAGAATGAGATGTTCCAGGAGACTATGAATTTCTGACAAAGTCTTCAGAGTCTGAAGCATGATGCCCAGAGTACTGCACATGCCCAGGAAAATCCATAGAAAGCTCCAGACTCTGATAACGAACGTTGATAACCTGAGCAAGCAATAACTGAAGCCAAGGCTGGGGTGTACCATAGTGTTTCCTTAGCATACACAAGGCCTGAGGGTTCAACCTCCAGCACCAAACACACAGACTAAGGCTAAGGACAGTGGTCAACAGCCTAACTGAGTACTCAAGCCAAGTCCCATTGTGAACACAGAGATACCTGGGAAAATACACTTAAGAAAATGTGTTCAGGCCGGGCGATGGTGGCGCACGCCTTTAATCCCAGCACTCGGGAGGCAGAGCCAGGCGGATCTCTGTGAGTTCGAGGCCAGCCTGGACTACCAAGTGAGTTCCAGGAAAGGCACAAAGCTACACAGAGAAACCCTGTCTCGAAAGACCAAAAAAAAAAAAAAAAGAAAAGAAAATGTGTTCACTTACTAGCTATTTAATAAGCTAAATAAGCAGATGCTGCAGAGTTCACACACAACAAAGAATCTACTTAAGAAAGTCATAATAAAACAAGCAACAGCTGTAACAACAACAGCACAAGAATGAACATCTCCCTTGTAGGGTGAAGGTTCAGGTTCAAAGCATTACTACAGCTAAAATGTCCAATTATAACAAAAAAATACTAAAATCATCAAAAAGAAAAAATATACATATACCCAAAACAACAACAAAAAACCAAGTAGCCAATATATACTGTCCTCATAAAAATCCAAACGGTAGACTTAAAACACAAAGAATTTAAATAATATAGTTTAAGTATACTCAAAGACCTAAAAGAAAGCAAGACTAAGAAACTCATTATTACCAAATAAATAATATCAATAAAAATATAAAAATATGTAAAAGGACCAATTAAAAAATTAGAGTTAAGAAAAATAACTGGTGGCACACACCTATAATCCTACTACTGATGGCAGAGGCAGGAGGATTGCCAGTTCTAGGACAGTCTGGGGTACACATGGAGACTTGGTCTCAAGAAACAAAACAAAAAAAGCAGGTCTAGTGGTACTCAGACCACTGAGGCTAGAGATAGGCAACTGGAGGCCAGCCTAGGCTAACACAAAAGCCCTATTTGAATATATACAAAGTGACTGATCCCTAGGAAAGAAAAGGGACACAAAACATTTGTTGTGATTACAGTCCCTGGAACCTCTTAGGCAGAAGCATCTTTGTTATTCACAGTGGGCCTCTCAGATCACATCAAACATAAGGTAACACATGGTAAGTTTAGGTTATGCTAACACAGTAACTCAGGTTTGGAGATAAGAGGACTGAAATATGAAGGAAGATTGTAGCAACCCGGGAGCAGCCAGACCCCTGCAATTCTATCTACAGAGATGTTTACAAGAGTCAAGTCCACAGAATGGAAGCCAGCTGCCAGTGGCTAAGAGAAGGACAAAATGGGATGTGACTCCAACTGGGGAGGGACTCTTCTGGCACTGACAATGCCATCTGCAACTAGAGGTGATAGCTGTACAGCTGTGTGTGTACTCAGGATCACGGACTTACACAAGAAGTGAAGTTGAGAGCTTGGGGTGTAGATCAGTGGTAAGTTTAACTACGCTAGTGTGCATGAGGCCCTGAGTTCCACTCTCAGCACTGCAAGTAAATAGATGAACAAAATAAAAACCAATAAAAAGTTGAGTTTTACATCATGTAAATTACCGCTCCATAACTATTAAGTATATTTATATAGAAGTAAAGCATCTTTCTAAAGTCAGAATTCCTTTTAAACAGAACAAATATCTCTTGGAAATTCCTATAATTTTAATCCTAAAACCAACAAGAGTTTTTATTTCAGTGTTTAAGGGTATTTTCCTCTGAATAAGACTTTCTGAGAATCCGCAAACCAATTACTAGTGGCCTGTAGAAAATAGCACAAATTTTTTTGTTTATTTTGTTTTTTGAGACATGATCTCATTCAGTAGCCCTGGCTGGCCTGAAACTCACAGAGATCCACCTGCCTCCTCCTGAGAACTGAGATTAAAGTCATGTGTCACGATGCCCTGCATAATACAGAATTTTACTGCCTACTAAGAAGCTACAAAGTATAAATCATTCGCTTTCAAAGTTGGCCTGAAAATATCACTCACCAAATACACCGCCCTCTGGAAGAAGGTAGTGGTCTCCAAGATCTTGTGCATTGTAATGGTTTCCAGCTCATCAGGATCTAGCTGTTCCTTTTCAAAGGGCATGCCATTGAACAAGACAACAGGCAGGGGACCAACACCAGTCTGCTCATAGTAGCCTCTCGCTTCCTAGAAAACAAAGGACAAAAAGAAAGCACATGTTCCTCCTCACGGAACACACAGAACAAAATATAGTTTCTTATATGCCTGTTTAAATTTTAAAAAAAGTTAACAGGGCTAGTGAGATGACTGAGTGCGTAAAGACACTTGCTGTGTAAGCCCAGTGACCTGAATTTGATCTCCAGAACCCATGCAACAGGCAACACAAAGTTGTCATCCGACCTCCACAAGCATGCACACAACGATAACAAATAAAAAATGAATTGTTAAAAAGAAAAAAAGAAGGGCTAGAGAGATGACTCAGTCCTTATGAGCATGTGCTGCTCTTGCAGAGCACCTGAGTTCCATTCCCAGCATCCACATGGTGGTTCACTACCTGTAACTGCAGTTCCTCTGAGTCAGACGCCTTCTATTGGCCTCAGTGGTCTCCAGCACACAAATGGAGCACATATATTCACAAATATACAAACAAATAAATAAACCTTTTAAAAAAAATAACAGAACATAGCAAAAGAAATGACTAAAGCTATTTCTTTCTTTTTTAAGTGGTATGGAAACCGGCCACTTTGTAAGTTAATTTTTAAGAAAGTGGTACCATAATTAATATCTTACTTGGTAAATGTGAAATTAAATTACTGAACTTTAAGAAACAAAACCTTTACAGACTAGGGACTGTGTAAATGTTTGTCTATGTGTGTGGACAGTCCTCCAGGCTTCTAAAACTGCATCATGCATACCATGCTCATCATTGTAAAACAAAACTTTCTGCAGTTATTGGGAGCAGATTCTCCACTCCCCAGTACACATTCACATTCAGCCAAGCAGACATGTCTTTACATTTGGACATTCAGGGGCTGCGGAGTCCTAACTGCTGCAGGAAGGAAGAGAAGGAAGATTTCAGAGCCCAGCTGCACAGCTGCTCCTGCTTTCTTCAGAGAAGAACTCTGAAGACCTCAGCGTCCACCTCCTAGCCAGGCTGTTCACTGAGAAGCAAACTGCTCTCAAGAACTGCCAGAGACAGACAGATCTTTCGGCTCCCTGTGCTCACAGCTTCTACCCCAGGCTGGAAACCCACTGCAGCCTGCCTCAAGGAGTCAGCTGCCATTGGCAGGCAGAGGGCTTCTTTCCACATCTTTCCACAGCAGGATGGGCTGTAAAAGGGAACTGATTCTTCCGTTCTTACAGTTGCTTCCAACCTCCAAAGACCTTGTTAACTAAGTTATTAACTTTTATAGCACTTTTTAAAAACCAAAGTACAGCAAAGTATTTCCTAATATTCTCACAGTATAAGAATAAATGTTTTGGTTGTAGGTATGTAAATATGTACAAACTGGTCACAAAGTACTTGGTTTTATATCACATGCCCCTCCCCCAGATAAAACTGAAGTCTTCTCTTCTTTCATCTTTATGTGAGTTGAGTTTGGAGGCTCAAACTCGGGTCACCAGGCTTGTATAGTAAGCATCTATACCAGTAAACAATCTCCCTGGCTCTAGTTATTACATTATTATTTCTTCTTCTTCTTTCTTCTTTCTTTTCTTCTTTCTTCCTCCTTCTTCTTCTTCTTTCTTCTTCCTTCTTCCTCCCTCCTCCTCCTCCTCCTCCTCCTCCTCCTTCTTCTTGTTATTGTTGTTTGAGAAAGAGTTTCTCTGTGTAGCCCTGGATGGTCTGTAATTTGCTCTGTAGACCAGGCTGGTCTTGAACTCAGGGATCACCTGTCTCTGCCTCCAGAGTGCTGGGATTAAAGGTATATACCACCACCACCCTGATAGTTAATATATTTCTTAAAACTGACACATCTGGAGCCTGAACAATGACATAAAGTCAAACGATACATATTGTGCCATACACTACCTCCTGGTTCTATACCTCCAATAGGTTTTATCCAGAACATACTTCATACAAGTACAACTACTGTATGATGAAAAAGTAATTGTTTTCCAATTTAAAAGTTAACATGAAAGTTAAAAAAAAAAGTACTATTTTCTGAAATAGAATCCCTTTCAAAGATTGACAAGTGAGGCCAGGTGTGGTAGCAACATGCCTTTAATCCCAGCACTCATAGGGTAGAGACAGCTGATCTCTATGAGCTCAAGGCCAGTCAAGGGCTACACAGTAAGATCCTGTCTCCAAAGGAGGGGGTGAGTGAGTGAGGGAGGTTGGGGACTAACAGTGGTCTACACTTTGAAATGCCAAGTACTGAGCACTTTCATCAACACCCCGTTATAGACACCATCCAACACAAAAAGGACAGTCCATGCTGCAGTCAAGTTAAAATACCAAGGAAATAAGTTCGAAAGAATGTGTTACCTTCCGGTTCTGATCGTAAGCAGAATCAATGCCCAGAATGCTATTCACTTCGACGTATGGGTATTTCTTCTGCAAGACACTGACCACGTGTTCAACTTTCACTTTTTCTCCAGTCCTTACCTTGTTATAGATCTAAAGAAAGAAAAATAGGTAACCAACTACACTTTTAAATCCAAATTTCAAATGTGATGAAATCTCTAACACATTAGAAAAATAAGACTATTTGTCTTAAAAAGCAAACTGGAACTTTTCAGCAACACTATCATTTCAATATTCCTCATAAGACACCTCTGATGAAGAACTGGAGACCTTTCTTTCTTTCTTTCTTTTTTAGGACAGAATACCATCATGAAGGTCTGGCTAGCTTGGAACTTGCTGTGTAGATCAGGCTGGCTTTGGATTCAAAGACGCCCCTGAGCGCTAGGATTAAAGATTTCTTGAAATGACCTTATCAGTTCATAAACACATTATATCCCAAAAGCGGGGGGGGGGGGGGGGGGGGGGGGGGGGGGGGGGGGGGGATGCTTTAAGAAGTATCAGAAGCCAGCTGTGGTAAAATATGCCTGAGAGAGCCAGCACGTAAGAAGCTGAGGGAAGTAGACGCAGAGTTTTAGGCTAACCTGGGCTATACAGAAAGACCGTATCTCAGAAGAAAAAAAAAAAAGCAACCAGGTGTGGTGCTGCACACCTAACACCCTGCACCGGGAGGTAAAGGCAGGAGAATCAAAAACCCAAGGTCATCTTGAACTACACAGTGTGTTCAAGGTTAGCCCCGGCTATAAGAGTGCCTAAAAAAGGAGAAGGCGGAGGAGGAGGAGGTGGAGGAGGAAAGGGAAGAGGGGACGAGGAGAAAGAAAAGGAGAAGATGAAAAGAAACCATAAGACAGTCTCAAAAGAAAAAAGACTGATAGTAGAGAACTCCACAGTGCCCAAAGGCATTAACTGATGATTTCATATAACCAAAGTGCAGAGTACTCTAACACACTAGCCTGACTCCTAAGGAACCACATCTAATGGCCAGCACTATGACTTAACAAACCTGACAACCAAGTTTGATCCACAGATCCTATGGTAGAAGGAGAGAATCCACTCAGAAGGTCATCCTCTGGACCTCCATACATGTATGGTAGCACACACATGTCCCCCCATAATAAATTCTAAACATTAAAATAAACACAGCAATCTATTACATTCACATCAGTGACTTAAAGTATAAGGAACCCTGAAATATAAAATCCAAGAGTTTACCATGGTCTCCTATTCCTTGTTCTCCCTCTCTGTTGTTGATCCAGCTGGGATCTCCCGCTCCCCCAAGCTCTCTTTCCCTCGACCCTCGCCCTTCACTACCCCCACTCATGTCCAGGCTGTTCATGTAGATCTCATTCCATTTCTCTTGCTAGAGAGGCCCACAGAAATCCACAAAGATACCCCCACAACAGACTGCTGGCAATGGTCGAGATACAGCCCGAACTGACCTACTCTGGTGATGGGATGGCCAAACACCCTAATGGTCGTGCTAGAAACCTCATCCAACTACTGAGGGATCTGGATGCAGAGATCCATGACTAGGCCCCGGGTGGATCTCTGGGAGTCCAATTAGCGAGAATGAGGAGGGTTTATATGAGCGAGAATTGTTGAGACCAAGGTTGGATAAAGCACAGGGACAAATAGCCAAACGAATGGAAACACATGAACTATGAACCAATGGCTGAGGGGTCACCAACTGGATCAGGCCCTCTGAGTGGGTGAGACAGTTGATTGGCCTGATCTGTGTGGGAGGCATCCAGGCAGTGGGACCGGGGGTCCTGTGCTCATTGCATGAGTCGGCTGTTTGAAACCTGGGGCCTATGCAGGATCGCTTGGCTCGGCCTGGGAGGAGGGGACTGGACCTGCCTGGAATGAGTCCACCAGGTTGATCTCAGTCTGTGGGGAAGGCTTTGCCCTGGAGGAGATGGGAATGGGGGGCGGGCTGGGGGGAAGGTGAGGGGAGCGGGAGGGGGGAGAACAAGGGAATCCATGGCTGATATGTAAAACTGAATTGTATTGCAAAATTAAAAAAAAAAAAAAAAATCCAAGAGTTTATGTAAGAACTTACTTTACCTTTTCTTTTTTCGGAAATAGAAAATGTTTTAGAGTAAGTTAACTTTTTTAAAAAGTATTTGCCATTTTGAACAAAAACATACGTGTGTGAGAGTCTGGAAGGCGTGATAACCATCCACTTCTTGGACAACATAATTATACGCTCTCAGAACAGCGACTCCAGCGTCTTGCATCCCATCAACATCTTCCGAGTCATTGACCACAAAGATAAAACCAATCCTGCAGAGAACAAAAAGTGCATCTTAAAGAAAGCAATCAGCTAGAGGCAGGTGGGGCCCCGCTGTCCATTCCTAACCAAGAAGGAAGCCCACATTCCACTCTAAACAGGGGTGGCAAAGGTACACACACCATTTAAAAAACAAAAGTAGGGTCACAAAACAGGTTAGGCTTTTCTACACTTAAAGCTGTTTCAGAGTCTTGAATAGATTTCTTTCTGACATGAAGAGTATTGCTACAGTGATAGGTAGAAACTCTGTTCTGCTTTTAAATTGGAGGACTGGAGAAATAGCTCAACTATTAAGAGCACTAGCTGCTCTTGCAGAGTACCTGGGTTCTGTTCCCAGCACCCACAATCAGATGGCTTGCAAGGGCCTCTAACACCAGTTTCAGAGCATCTGATGTCCAATTCTAGCCTTTGTGGGTACTGCATATGTGTGTGTGTGTGTGTATATATATATATATGTATGTATATGTATGTGTATGTGTGTGTGTGGTGCACATACAGACAAGCAGGCACATACACATAAAGAATAAATAAGTAAATTTAAAAAATCCAGAAATCGGGAGTTGAAAAAAATTTAAATATAACTAAAGCAATATAAAAAGAAGCCAGGATGGCAGTGATTGCCTTTAATCCCAGCACTCAGGAGGTAGAAACAGGTGGATCTCTGAGTTCAAGGCCAGCCTGGTCTATAAGCAGAGCTACATACATAGTGAGACCCTATCTTAAAAAAAAAAAAAAAACCCACACAGAACAAAAACAAAAAATACCTGCTTTGAAAAAAAAGAAAAACAACAACTATCAAGAGAAGGAAATGAAAAACCACAAACTAGCAGAAAATCCTTGAAAAACACACATCTGAAAAAGAACTAGTATCCAAAATATAAAAATGACTCTTGAAACTCAGTATTAAACAAACAACAACATTTAAAAATAGGCTAAAGAAGCTGGGCATGGTAGCACACATTTGTAATCCCAGCACTTGGGAATGCTGAGGCAGAAGGGCAATGTGTTTGAGGGTAACCCAAGCTACAAATTAAGTTTCAGGTCAACCTAGGCTACACGGCAAGGTCCTATCTTAAAAAAGTCCATATAAACAAACAAACAAAGAAGTTTTCTGATTAGATACTCACAAAATAAAACACTAAGATCCTATGCCCTTATACAGTTAAACAGTGGCCTATCGCTATACATCCACTGAAATGGCCAAACACTAAATGCTGATGAGAAGCAACAGGGATTCTCAATTCACTGCTAGGGAAAAGGCAAAATGGTGTAGACACCTTGGAAGTCACTTTGGCTGTTTCTTACAAAACTAAGCATATACTCACCACACAGTCCAGCAACCTTGCCAACAGAACTTTGTCCACATAAAAATCTGTACATGGATATTTATAAGCTTCAGTAATAACTGTTCAAATTTGCAGAAAGCAATATGCAGACTCTGGTTAGTTTTCATCACTTGACACAAATCTAACCGTATCTGGGAAGAGAGAATTCCAACTGAGGAACTGCCTCCATCATATTATCCTGTGTATGTCTTTAGGGTCTTTCCTTCATGAATGATTTATGTGGAAGGACCTGGCCTACTGTGGGTGGCGACCCCTGTTCCTCCATGTTCTCTGCTCCAGTTCCTGCCTGAACTTCTTCCTTGACTGTTCTTCATGCTGTACTGTAAGCTGTAAAATGAAATAAGCCCTTTCCTCCCTGAGTTGGCATGGTGACTATCACCACAGCAGAAAGCAAACTAAAACAGAAATTGGTACTAGGATCATTGGGCATTGCTGTGATAGACCTGGTCATGTGGATTTTGGAAGGCTTGTAGAAGTGCTTGGACCTCTGGACTGGAAAAGTCATTGAGTGTTCAAGTTTAATGGGCTATTCTGTGAAAGCTTGGAAGATAGGACCGTTGAAAGAAATGCCTGGCTATTGAAGTTTCAGAGAGAAGCAAAGACTGTCAGGGATATACATGTAAACATTCTGAATTAAGAATATGTAGTTTCTGATCAGCTAAAGAATCAGCTGTGATTAACAAGAGACCAGCACCACTGAAGTGAAATCTTGGCTTTCCTGGGACAATTAATGTTGATTATCTGAGGCTGAAAGATCAGCTGTGATTACAGGAGATCAGTAGCATTGAGGTAAACTCTTCAAAGTTTCTGAAGAGTCAGCATATAGAGGCTATGCTACAGAGGGGACCAAGGCTGCATCTCAAGCTGGCAGCCAAACAGAAGGATGTGTAAGAGTCTCACACGTGGCACTGGTTTTGAAGGTATGAACGGGTCATAGAGAGCAGCTGAGGCCTGGTGCTGGGAGAAGCTAGGAAAGGCCACTGGGTTAAGGTGCAGCCTCAATTGCAGTGAAGATCCCAGAGGTCATGACGAAGCTGAGGCTTGGCACTGTGGGAAGTTAAAAGGTCACTGGTGAAGATGCAGTCTCAGTTGCAATGACAACCTCAGGATTGAAGGGATAATGGAGAGAAGCTGAGGCTTGGAACCATGTGGCAGCAGGGTCAGGTCCCTGAAGAGAGGGTAGGAGAGGCCACTGAAAATGGTACACCCTCAGCTGCAGTAAAGACTCCAGCATATTGGAGATGACAGGTCTGTGGGAGGACGACTGAGGAAAGCAAGCATGAAGTGAAGCACACCTGAGTCTGTAACACAAGTTGTGTATTGTGGGTGGTGTCCCTAAACAGGTGGGGCTACCCAAGCCCTCTGGAGCTCAGAGAATCTTGAGTCCTAGGTTGACTGAGCTAGTTACACTGCTGGATTTGGGTTTTGTTTTGATCTGGTTCTTTCCTCTTGGAATAAGAAAAATGTACCTTATTTTTTTATTTTCTAGAAGCTCACAGTTGAGAGAGTTTGGATTTTTTAAGAGATGCTAGCTATCCTACAGTGAATGAATTTTTAAAAGTATTTTTAATTATGTATGTGTTTGTGTGTGGGCATGTGAACAACAGTGCGGGTGCCTGCAGAGGCTAGAGGTGTTAGAGCTGGAGTTACAGGGGAGTTACAACTCCCTGTCATGAATGCTGGCAATCAAACTTGGATCCTTTGGAAGAGTTGTATGTGGTCTTAACTGCTGAGATAGCTCTCTAGATCCTGAGACTAAACTTTTAAGGAAAGAATTTCCAAAGACGTAAGAATTTTTAAATGTTGGACTGTGCTTTATGTGATATTAATATTAACATGAGATCTTGAGGACAAAAAAAAAAAAGGTTATGACTTAATAGTGATGTAATTGTGTGTTAAGCTGACAAAGTGCCAGTTGTGTTGTAAGTTTTTATCAACTCAACAGAAACCTAGATATACCTGGGAAGAAAGAATCTCAGTTGAGGAATTACTTCAGTCAGATAATCCTTGAGCATGTCTAGGGGCATTTCCTTGACTCATGATTAATATGGGGGAGCCTAACCCACTCCAGGTAGTGCCCGCCTTGGTAAGTCATCCTGGGTTGTATAAGAAAGCAAACTGAGCAAGACTCCAGGAGCAAGCCAGTAGGCAGCATTCCTCCATGGCTTTTCTTTCAGTCCTTGCCTCCAGGTACCTGCCTGGAGTTTCTGCCCTGACTCCCTTTTCATAATGGACTGTAAACTATAAGATGAAATAAACACTTTTCTGCCCAAGTTGTTTCTGGAAGAAATATTGTTTATCACACCAACAGAAAGCAGACTAAAATAATGCCCTTCAAAGGTGAAAGGACAGACAAAATGTGGTATAATCACATAATGAAATATTACTCGGTGATTAAAAGAAATTAGGAGGCTGGGGGGTAGTAGTACATGCCATGGGAAGCTGAGGCAGGAGAATCAGGAGTTCTAGGCCAGCCTGGATTACATGGATGGATGGATGGATGGATGGATGGATGGATGGATGGATGAATGGATAATGGATAGAAATTTTGTATCAACTATCACAACTAAATAACCTGAATTATTTAGCACATTGCTAAATGAAACAAGTCAGTCTAAAAGGCTACATACTATATAGCTACAATTATATGGCATTCTGAAAAGGGTAGAAAACTATGAGGATAGTTAAAAAATCAGTTGTGTCCAAAGGTTCAAGTTAATGGAGGGAAGGGCAAACATAGAGCATAAAGGATTTTTTATTTATTTATTTATTTATTTTGGTTTTTCGAGACAGGGTTTCTCTGTGTAGCTTTGCGCCTTTCCTGGGACTCACTTGGTAGCCCAGGCTGGCCTCGAACTCACAGAGATTCGCCTGGCTCTGCCTCCCGAGTGCTGGGATTAAAGGCGTGCGCCACCACCACCTGGCGAGCATAGAGGATTTTTAGAGCAGTGATTTTAGTTGGTATGTATAATTTGAACAGTTAATATTCTACCTCTGTCAAAATCCAGAGCATGAGCAATATCAACAATGAACCATAATATATATGATAGAGTTACTTAAAGATATCAATCAATCAACATAGATTTCTGTGGCCCTAGAGATTAAACCTAGAATCTCACCCATGTTAGCCAAGTGCTCTACTACTGAGCTAAACCCCTCAGCCATTTAATCAACAGGATTTATTTTTTGCTTATTGATTTATGAGGTTTCTTTGAGACAGAGTATGTGTAACCTATATTGACCATACTATAAAGCCCAGGCTAGTCTCAAACTCTGCCTCCCAAGTCCTAGGAATTCAGGCCTGTGTCAACAGAATCATATAACTGGGCATCTTTCTTTTTTTGTTTCTCTTATTGTTTTTGGGACAGGGTCTAACTGTGTAGTTCTGGCTGTCCTGGAACTCACTTTGTAGACCAGGCTGTCCTTGAACTCAGAGAAACCTACCTGCCTCTGCCTCCCACATGCTGGGATTAATGACGTGCGCCACAATGCTAGGCTTGATAACTGGGCTTCTAAAAGGCAGTCTACTATAATACAATGGAATTTTATTCAGTCACAAAGAAAAGTAAAATTTGTACAAAATGGGTGGAGCTGAAGATAATGTTAAGCAAAATAAGCCAAACGCAGAAATAAACATGCATGCATATGCACACAGATGTATGCGCAGGTGTGTGCGTATGCACACACACTTGCGTGTACACACACACACACACACACACACAGATGGGAGCCAGACACATAAGAAAACATATATGTGTAAGAGAAGGCTAATCACAGTTGTCAGCTTGACACAACTGGCAAGAGAGAACCTCAATTGAGGAGCTGCCTGCTGGGCTGGACTGTGGACATATCTGTATGGCTTTTTGTGGTTGCTGATTGATACGGGAGGGTCCATCCCACTGTGAGTGGTAACTCGATAGGCAAGTGGGCTAGCTGATATAAAAAAGCCAGCTGAACAAGCCATAAGAATAGCACACCAGCAAGAAGCATTCTTACATGGTCTCTGCTTTAGTTTCTGCTATGGATTTCTGCCTTAGCTTCCCATGACGATGGACTGTAAAACTGAACTAAAGCCTTTCTTCCACAAGTAACTTTGGGTCATGGTGTTTTATCACAGTAACACAAACCAGAAGACACACACATACACAAGAATAACACAAGCAGAAGCAGAAGAAGAGAAGAGGGACACGGAAGAGTGATAGGGGTGAATATGAGCAAAGGATAGTGACATATTACATATGGAAATGTAAAAACTATGAACATATTTATCAACTAAGAACTGTTACTAGCAGGCCTGATGTGGAGGCACACACCTATAATCCCAGAACGATCTCACTGAGTTCTATGTCAGCCTGGTCTTCATAGTGAGACCCTATCTCAAAAAAAAAAAAAGTATCAGTTATCTAGTGATGTGTGTGTGTGTGTGTGTGTGTGTGTGTGTGTGTGTAGACAGAGAGATTTGTTTTCAAGTTAACTTGTTATCTTTTAAAACTTTACTTATGACATAAACCATGTAATTAGAAAAAGTAGACTAAACATCCTTATGTAGGCAAGTTGACACCTAATTACATCACCAGAATCTCATTATCTCTTTATAACTAAGTCCACTTCCCATCTCCAGTTTCTAGTTGGGCATCAGTTTTTTTTTGTTTTTGTTTTTTTTAGGTAAGGCAAAAACTTCAGGCTTTTGTGTCTCCTGGGTACCTCCCTTAATTAGATAGCCCCAGGAGTCCCTCAGGAGTATGCATCCTTTCCACAGCTTGTATCAGTCAGTGTCACAGGGCAGAACCACATTCCCCATACCAAGAGTAAAAAGTCAACCTATCTGCCATTCCCCTTCATGTGCCCAGGGCTCAAGTGCCTTCTTTCCCTACATCTGTCCTCAGCACAATTGTACAAATGTTTAGGGTCCACTGTGTACCATCAACCAACTGACATGTTCTCAGATTTCCTTTTAAACAAAAAATAGCTATGGTTGTAATTTAGCAATTTATTTCTCCATTTCCAGGTGGCATTCAAATTTTAATGAAAAATTTCATTGCACACAACAATCTCTGCTTTTCTGGTCCTCATAGTCCTCCTTTTCTTCAAAGCCCTTGGGAAACTCGGGTCCTCCCCACAGAGCTCCATGTTTCCTAAAGCACTTGATCAAACACATTCTTACAGAGAGTCAAGATATGCAAAAGCTTTGTTCCGAGAAGGCAAACAAGACAGATATCATTCATACCACAACTCAATGCTGGGCTGTGAACACATTGTAATGTTTCTTTTGTCCTTTAGTTTCTTCATTTTTAACAACTCAAATTTAAGGGAACATAGAGTTGCATGCCTTTAAGCCCAGCACTTGGGAGGCAGAGGCAGGTGGATCTCTGAGTTCAACACCAGCCTGGTCTATACAGTGAGTTCCAGGACAGTCAGAGTTACATTATGAGACCCTGTCTTGGAAAAAAATAAATACCTCAAATTCTATCAACATGTAAACTTACCAGAATTATTACAGACTGTAAGGGAAAGTATCTTAACACATATATATGTAACACACATATATGTATTGTTATATATATATATATATATATATATATATATATATATATATATAAAAAATTGTTTATGAAAAGAACAGGGGAAACCCAGCTACCTGGTGTCCAGTTGGTAGACCTGGCAACACAGCTACCATAGATGTATCTGTCTGTCTCTACAGAAAGCTACTTAACATTCTAAAGCATTTAGTCCTTGAAAGTCAAACAAAAGCCACTAGAAGCTCTCTGTTGAAATTAGAAACAGGCTTTTCTATGTGGACATGCATCCAGGAAAACGCCCTTCCAGTAGGAAGCAAGTGAAGACCACAAACTATTTTCACACAGCTAACTGTTAATAATTCAATGGTGGTAAGCTTCTATGTGTTGAGAATGAAATTCTTAGTCCCAAAAGACACAGGCATCTTACCAAGAAGAAGATAAAACTTCCATTAGTGACTCCGACTATTAATTATACTACAATTCAATGAAACCAGACATGTAACCCAAATAACAAACCAAACCTCAGCTAAATGACCCAGTGTTACCTTAATGGTATGTGATTGCTGAGGAACATCTCAGCTATGCTAATCAACTCAGCTGTGGTCTCATGTACAGGATCAACAATAAAAACCTGTCAGAGGAAAAAGAAAAAGAACCCATGAAATGGCATTCAAGCACTCCTGGGCCAAGAGAAATGACACAAATCATCATACATGAGGCCAATCTTTCCCCAAATACTACTGAACCACATATAAAGAGAGTTATGAATAAAAACAGCAGCTGCCACCCTCAACAGTCAAAGAATATGGTAGTGGGAAGAGACGTGATTTTTTTTTCCAGGGATTTGACTGGTGACATCCCATCAGTGTGCCAGACTACTGATGCCTGCCTATTCTACCACACCAAATAAATCTCAGTTTTATCAGCTCTCCCACCTTTTTGTTGTACTTGCTTCTATGGCTCCTGAATGAACAATTCATTGTGAACTCAATTTTTAAATTGTCGCAGTAGCGGTGATGTATAAACTCTTCAGTAAGTGCTAACCAGTTTGTATATGTTCTCTACATGATGAAGTTACTCAGGGTTGAGGCATGACTCATTTGGTCGAGTGTTCAGCAAGCATGCAAGAGGCTCTGGATTGGAACTCCAGCATGGTGATGCATACTGCAGTCCTAGCTCCTGGGAGGTGGAGGCAGGGGATCTGGAGTTCAAAGTCATCCTCAACTGTATGAGTTTAAAGGCCAGCCTGAGGTACGTGAAAATCATCTTAAAAAAAAAAAAAAACTTTTTAAAAACAAAAAATTAAAATTCACTCATATGGTAAGAAAGAGAAAGACCTGAATTTTGAAAGGACTGGCCAGATGGCTTAGTGCCGTGGTTCTCAACCTGCGGGTAGCTCCCCCTTGGGAGGGGGTCAAACATCCCTTTCACAGGGTCACCTAAGGTCATCAGAAAACACAGATATTTACATTACAATTCACAACAATAGCAAAACTACAGTTTATGAAGTAGCAATGAAATAGTTTTACGACTGGAGGTCAACACAGCACGAGGAACTGGGTTAAAGGGTCGCAGCATTAGGAAGATTAAGAACCACTGGCTTAGGGGGTCATGTGTTGCCAATTCTGAAAACAAGTCCACTCTCTGGTCCCATATAGTAGAAGGCAAAAACCAACTCCTGAAGCTTGTCCCTGACTTACGTGCGCACATGCGCACACAGAGAATTAATAGACGAAATAAAAAGCTATGATTGAAAGAGAGAGTACCGAGGGCTGATTCCCATACAAATCTCAAGGCAACCTTGGCTCCCCTGCCCCTCTTCTCCAGCTAAGAGGAAGAGACACGGAAATGACAGGAGAGAGATCTGCTAAGAAACCTCTCTCAGTCTCTTGAAAGCAGGGAAAGGAGGGGGGTGGGGGGGTGAGAAGGGGAATGAAAAGTTAAGAGGTTAAATGCATTACTAAATGTGAGGGATTAAGATATTAGAGCTTGCCGGGCGGTGGTGGCGCACGCCTTTAATCCCAGCACTCGGGAGGCAGAGCCAGGCGGATCTCTGTGAGTTCAAGGCCAGCCTGGGCTACAGAGCGAGATTCAGGAAAGGCGCAAAGCTACACAGAGGAACCCTGTCTTGAAAAACCAAAAAAAAAAAAAAAAAAAAAAAAAAGATAATAGAGCTCAGGAGGCCCTGCCTCTTCCTGAGGGGCTGGAAACAGTTAATGGCTGGTGCGGAAAGGACAGACATTTTCTTAAATAGGTAGCCACTGGAAAGCTGTCCATGCTCCAGTAAAAAATCTTTCATCTATGCTCCTCTAAGTAACCCTACATGCTGTCACCTTGACATAAGCTAGAGTCACTGGGAAGAAGGACCCTCAGTTGAGGAAAAGCCTCCATCAGACTGGTCTGTGGGCTAGTCCCTGGTGCATTTTCTTAATTAACGATTGATGGAGGTGGGTCCAGCACACTGTGGCAAGTGTTGCTGGTGTGAAACACAGCAGACTGAGCAAGCCATAGGAACAAGCTAGTAAGCAGCTGCTTCGGAGCTTCTATTTCAGTTTCTGTCTCCAGGCTCCTGCCCTGCCTCCCTCTCATGGCACACTGTAAGCTGTAAGAGGAAAGCAAACCTTCCTCACAACGTTGGTTTTGGTTACAGTCTCTATTAAAGTAATAGAAAGCAAACTAGGACAGAAATGGAGCTAAGACTGTGACAAATCTGACCATGCTGTTTTGGGGAAGACTGTGGAAGTGTTTGGAACTTTGGGCTGGAAAAGTGCTCAGACTTAAATGAGCCATTATGGGAGCTTGGAAATTTTCCTCAGGCCAGCACACAGACGGTATGGTCCAGAGGAGGCAAGGCTGAACTTCATGCTGGCAGTCAAACTTGTGCTGTTTAAGAGTATCCGACACAGTATTGGTTTTGAAGGCATGAAGAGGTCGTGAAGAGCAGCTGAAGACTGGCACCACAGGAGAGGTCAAGAGAAGCCACTGGTGAAGGTACAGCCTCAGCTGCAGGGAAACCCCAGTATTCAAGGGGGTCATAGAGAGAGGGTGAAGCTTATCATCATGTGCCAAGGTCAGAGTTCCTGAAGAGAGCCAAAGTGAGGCTACTGGTAAAGGTGCCTTGGAGAAAGCAGCATATTGGAGCTTTAAAGACAGTGAGACAGCCACCAAGAAGTGACAGCTGTGGAGTGGACAGGCCTGAGCCTACTAAACAAGGTGCAATGCTACAGACACACAGCTGGGGGAAGGGGGGGTAGCTGCCCACCCCTGGGAGCAGAGGGTCATGATAGCCCAGATACCAAGAACTACACTTGCACACTGCTGAACTTGGGGCTTGATGTGATTGTGACAAGAGTTTACTGTTGGAGACTTTGGACATTTAAAGATATGTTGGATATTCTAAGGAGAGCTCGAACTTTAAAGTGTTTGCATTCTTTAAAGACTGTGGTATGTTTAATAATGTGATATTAGTATTAACATAACATCTTGGGAACAGACAAGAAAGAAAAGCATATGGTTTAATGGTGATGTGTTTGTGTGCCAAGGCGATGACAGGCCAACTGTGTTGGTTACTGTTTTGTCAACTTGACAGAAGCTAGACTAACTAACTTTAGAAGAGGGACCCTCAACTGAAATAAATGCCTCCATCAGACTGGCCTGTAGGCAAATCTATGGGGCGTTTTCTTGATTTACGATTGATGTGGGAGAGCCTAGCCCACTGTGGGGGGTGCTGCCCTGCACAGGTGGTCTCAGGTTGTATAAGAAAACAGGCCGAGGGCTGGAGAGATGGCTCAGAGGTTAAGAGCACTGGCTGCTCTTCCAGAGGTCCTGAGTTCAATTCCCAGCAACCACATGGTGGCTCACAACCATCTGTAATGAGATCTGGTGCCCTCTTCTGGCCTGCAGGCAAACATGCTGTATACATAATAAATAAATAAATCTTTTAAAAAAAAAAAAAGAAAACAGGCCGAGCAAGTCATGGAGAGCAAGGCAGGAAGCAGCATTCCTCTGTGGTCTATTTCAGTTACTGCCTTGAGTTCCATTCACAGTGAACCACAAGCCATAAGAGGAAAGAAACTCTTTCCTTCCCAGTTGCATTCTGGTCATGGAGTTTATCACAGCAATAGGAAGCAAACTAGGGCGCTTTAATTAAACTCAATGGCTCACAGGAAAGAACAAGTGTGTGTGGGGGGGGTTAATACATCACACCAAGAGTACTAACATCAGGACCAAAATATCTCACAACCTCGAGAACTCAGTGAGAAGTACAACTACTTCCACTGAACCAGATACTGATGCACTTACTTCTCAAACGCAATGTCAAGTACCCCACTAGTTTTTATGTTGTCCTCCTTACTTTCACTTAATAAGTTCAAAAAAACCTTTTGAGACAATGATTAAGTTGTAACTTGAAATAAAAAGAAGTCTATTAACACATATACAAATGACATGACAGAAAAACAGTAGCCATGTATCTTTTGAGTTACAAAAAACAAAAAACAGAAAACCAACCACTCTCTTAAAACTTATACAGCACTTCTATAAACCTAAAATTTCTCTAGGAAAATAAAGTCTTAAAACATAAAACCAATTAGGGTGTTTGGCCATCCCATCACCAGAGTAGGTCAGTTCGGGCTGTCTCTCGACCACTGCCAGCAGTCTGTTGTGTGGGTATCTTTGTGGATTTCTGTGGGCCTCTCTAGCACTTTGCTTCTTCCTATTCTCATGTGGTCTTTATTTACCATGGTCTCCTATTCCTTGTTCTCCCTCTCTGTTGTTGATCCAGCTGGGATCTCCCGCTCCCCCAAGCTCTCTTTCCCTCAACCCTCGCCTTTCATTACCCCCACTCATGTCCAGGCTGTTCATGTAGATCTCATTCCATTTCTCTGTCATTGGGTGATCCCTGTATCTTTCTTGGGGTCCTGTTTTCCAGGTAGCCTCCCTGGTGATGTGAGTAGCAGACAAGTCATCCTTGTTTCATGTCTAGTATAGAAACCTCATCCAACTACTGAGGGATCTGGATGCAGAGATCCATGACTAGGCCCCGGGTGGATCTCTGGGAGTCCAATTAGCGAGAATGAGGAGGGTTTATATGAGCGAGAATTGTTGAGACCAAGGTTGGATAAAGCACAGGGACAAATAGCCAAATGAATGGAAACACATGAACTATGAACCAATGGCTGAGGGGTCCCCACTGGATCAGGCCCTCTGAATGGATGAGACAGTTGATTGGCTTGATCTGTTTGGGAGGCATCCAGGCAGTGGGACCAGATCTTGTGCTCATTGCATGAGTTGGCTGTTTGAAACCTGGGGCCTATGCAGGATTGTTTGGCTCGGCCTGGGAGGAGGGGACTAGACCTACCTGGACTGAGTCTACCAGGTTGACCTCAGTCTGTGGGGAAGGCTTTGCCCTGGAGGAGATGGGAATGGGGGGGGGGGGTGTTGGGGGGAAGGTGAGGGGGACGGGAGGGGGGAGAACAAGGGAATCCGTGGCTGATATGTAGAACTGAATTGTATTGCAAAATAAATTAATAAAAAAAAAAAAAACCTAAAAAAAAAAAAAAACCTTAAAAAAAAAAAAAAACATAAAACCATAAAGTGGCCCAGTGTGAACCTTCAGTTATGGATGAGGCACAGGGGTCACACAGCAACACAGGCTGTCACACTGCTGTAACATGAACATATTCTGTCTGAACACTGTGCAGATATAAAGAGAAAACTGAACATTCTACATATGATGGAAAAGAAGAGACAGAGCAAAGAGAAACAGTTACGGGGAAGTGGTAAGGAGTTTTACTTACCATGTTATGCAAGTTTTTCCTGATCTGCCGTATAACACCAGGAAAGGTGGGTCGAAGTAACTCTTGTAAACTAGACGGCCATGAATTGTATCGGCTATCAACCTCTAGGTTGTTCACCCACTTGAATAAAACAAAAAACACAACATGGTACATACACATTAGTCACTGATGAGAAAAAAAAAAGATAATTAATGAGACTTTAAGAATCACATAATAGATGGTCATGGTGGCACATGCCTGTAATCCCAGCACTCGGGAGTTAGAGATGGGAAAATCAGGTATTAAACTGTCCATGGCTATGTACAGTTTGGGCTATACAAGGCCTTGTCTCCACCAAATGCACAGGCATAAGAGATAAGACTACTCTTAATTATACTGAATAGAAAAATATATTGAATAGAAAAATGAATAACTACAACATAGCCATAAAATAGGTAAAATTATTTGCAGTTAACACAATCAACTAAAGACTAGTAGCAACAAATACAATTTTTAAAAAAAATCAAGCAAATGACAAGAAATGAGACAAGAATAAAAATAATAAAACTAAGCTTGACATGGTGACACACATCTTTAATCCCAGCACTCGGGAGACAGAGACAGGCAGATCTCCGAGAGTTTGAAGCTAGCCTGATCTCCAAAGTGAGTTCCAGGACAGCCAGGGCTGTTATACAGAGAAACCCTGTCTCAAAAATATATATATATAAATAATAATAATAATCATAAGTGATCAGTAAATACAACTTCAACCACAATCTGTGAAATGTAAACAAATCCACAAGAAAACTTCACATTCATTAAGTTAGTTTGTCAGTACCTGAGACTAGGCAAAAGCACACTGGAACCCTCAGGCTACAGTGGTGTCTGCCACTCATTTAAAGAAAGATACAATCAAATTGAAGACCTGACTAGAACCACTAAGTAGTCCACATGCAGGTATCCATTCCAATTGAATCTCACGTGTATGTGGAAGGAAAGGACACAGAGAGAGCCAATATGGCGGTATTAACAACAGTAGGAAGCTGAACAACACACCAACAGTAAGCACCTGCTGTTTGGATAAGGAAGAGCAGGGGACATACACAGGTATTTTCCTTGCTTGTGTGAGAGAGTGATCTGGAAGGGTACACAAGCAACTGCTCATGCTACCCACCCCAGGAGTTTGAAAGATGGCTGATGATACAACTTCTACTACATACCTTCTGTGCTGACTAGTCTTATGTCATCCTGACACAAGCTAGCTATCTGAGAGGAGAGACCCTCAATTGAGGAAACGTCTCTCCGTAAGATCCGGCTGAAAGGCATTTTCTTTTGAAAGGCATTTTCTTAAGTAGTGATTGATGGGGGAGGGCCCAGCCCATTGTAGGTGGTGCCACCCCTGGGCCATGGTCCTGGGTTCTGTAGGAAAGCAGGTTGAATAAGCCATGGGAGCAAGCCAATTAGCAGCACTCCTCCATGGCCCCTGCATCAGAGGAACCTCCAGGTTCCTGCCCTTTTTGAGTTCCTGACTTCCTTCAATGATGAATAGTGATTGTGGAAGTGTAAGCCAAATAAACCCTTTCCTCTCTAATTTGTTTTTTGGTCATGATGTTTCACTACAGCAACAGAAACCCTAAGACACCTTCAGTATATCTTAAATTTTCACTATAAAAGTATAAATGATGTTCTTTTAAAAGTAAGTAAAATATTTTTTTTAAAAAAAAATAGAACAGGAACTCTCACACAGTGTTGGTGTCTGGAACTCTCACTCTAGCCTAATGGACCTAATAAAGCTGAAGACCTTCCAATACCACCAAGTACTCCAGCTCTGATGATCTGTACCAGCCTCTCTAAAAGTCTTAAGAAAAATGTTAAGAAAAAAGATTTTCTAACAATGTGAATTTGTTTATTTGTTTTTGTTTGTTTGTTTGAGACAGGTCTCACTATGTAGCCCTGGCTGTCCTGAAATCCACTATGTAGACCAGGCTGGCCTCAAACCCACAGAGATCCTCCTGCCTCAGCCTCCTGAGTACTGGAATTAAAAGCATGTGGCACTATACCCAGCAATATGAATAATTTAAAACCACTATTAAAATGTTTTTAATTACATGATTTAAAGGGACTTTAATAATTATTTGCTATGAGTTCTCTGGGCCCTTGTCATCTTTACAAAGATGTGGAGAATGAAGGCCTAAAAGGTGGTCATAAAAATAAAATTGAGGTTATGGAATGAAAAAGAAATAGATATGAGACACCAACAGACACACCAAACTAAAATATTGAAAATCTCTAAAAGGAAATAAAGGCATAAAATTAGAGACAGGAAGGAATTGTCTGTAGGGAGAAAAGAGGTGTAATAGGAAGGAATACAAAGAGCTTCAACTGAAACATTCTTCCCTCCAAGAAAACAGCAGTTAGTACACAAACTGATTATTTAGAAAGAATGGTGATGAGCCATATGATTATCAATCTCTTTATTATGTTATTTTCTTTATTCTTTATAAGCAAAACTATTTTGTCAGAAATCAAACTATATACATCAAAATATGCAAGTGAGAATGTAAGTAAAGAGAATCTGCAAACAGGCAGGTCCAAGCTCTACATCTATAAATACACTGGGCTGCTCTGGTGGTTATCCTGGGATATATGTGGCCGATAGGCTGCAGGATACACATGCTGATTCACAGTATAGTATCTCTCTTCCAATAAAACGCCTCTAAAATAAATGTAGGACAGAAACCAAGGGGGGGAAAAAGATAATGTGCCACATTCCCCACATTCTTTTTACAGATGACAGAGACGCAGAAATCACACAGCCAATAGTAAGGTCCCTATAAATAAGGTTACTGATTGGAAAAATATGTTCTAATAGTTTTAAGTTATGCATGTTGTCATAAAGTCGCAGAAAACGTAGACACAATTGGGAAAATACAAATCCTCTTTCCCAAGATGTTCATCTGAATCTTGTGAATACAATACAATGGAGAGAATGCTAATATTTTTAAGTTTTTATTATTTTTTAATTATCTGATTTTTTTGTGTGGGTATATGCACATGAGGACAGGTACCCACAGAGGTTAGTCCTGATCCCCTTAGAGTTAGAGTTATAGGTGACTAAAATACCAGATGTGGGTGTTCAGGACTGAACTTGGGAACTCTGCTGGAGAAGTATATGCTCTTAACTGCTGAGCCACCTCTCCAGCCCTGAAAAGAATACTTCTTACTCACAATGGTCAGAAAACAACTTTTTAGACCATGTGAAAACCTATCTTATGCTCAGCATGGTGGCGCATGCCTTTAATCCCAGACAGACAGACAGACAGACAGAGCCTATCTTATTACAAAAACAGTCTCACATAAGCACTTGTAAATCTTTGATAAAACACAAATTAGAAAGCTGTAAGGTGCCCGGGCAGAGGCCTCAGGACCACTCCAAATGAATACTCACTGAAATAGCAGGACTCCTGATGTCTACTGCATAGTCAGTCTCAGAGGGCTGGATGTTGAGCTTCAAAATATTATGTAGAGAGAGGCCTTCTATTCCTAGGCTGTGCAGACCCTCCATTACCCGGGCTTCATTCCTCAATGTATCAAACAGACTGCAGGAAAAACCAAGGTGTCTAATTAAGTGTTGGAGATTATGCCAGATTAGAGTACCTGCCTAGCATATGAGGCCCTGGATCCAATTCACAACATACAACACATGCACACAGCCTGATAGTATTTGTTAGAAAAAAAAAAACCTTAAGAAAGCCTCAACATGAAAATTTTCTATCAGTTCAAAATTCAATGCTAAAGCAAACCGACTGAAGATCCAAAAATGGAGCTCTTCCCCTTGTTTCCTCTACAGACTACACGGACAGTGGCAGGACGTGCTCTCCTGGTCGTTTGTTTAAGTTCTCAGTAGGTGTGTAGGTTGTCTCTCAGTATAAACTTAGATTATTACCTCTTCATGTACACAATGAAATAGCCCTCAATTTATAATGTATAGTGCATGTGAGTGGGGGAGTGTGTATGCATGTGTTCATATGTGCACACTTGTGAGTGAACATGGAGGCCAGCGGTCGGTGTCACTGCTCTCCACTTTATTCTCTGAAGCAGAATCTCTCACTGATCCTGGAGCTTCCTGATCCATCAAGACTACTGGAAGAATGCTCCATGGATCCTCGTCTCCACCTCGCCATCAGCAGGATTACAGGTGTGTGACACAAAACCTAGCACTTTACCTAAGACCTAACATTTCACGACTAAGTCATCTCCTTAGCCCTACACCACATGCTTTACTTGTCTGTTTGGTGTTGTTGTTTAAATAATTTACCTATTTACTAATTACTGGGTGTGCTGTGTGTGAGACATGTGTGCATGCTTCTGCATGAGTGTGAGATCAGAAGACTTTGTGGATTCAGTTCTCTCCTTCCACTTTCACGTGGGTTCCAGGGATTGAACTCGGGTTGTGAGGCTTGCACTACCAAGTGCAAGTGACTTGACCTGCTGAGATATTTCACAGGCCTTATTTATTCATTTATATTTTTTACTGTGAGCAGTACATGTGTGTGTACACATGTAGTTTACATGTTTGCAAATGTACCCATGTGTGGGTAGAGTCCAGAGGTCCACATCAGGTGACTGTTTTTCATGACAGGGTCTCTTCACTCAACTTACAGCTTCAGAGATCAGCCTGTTTCCACCCAACCAGTGCCAGAGTTTCGGGAGTGTGCACTATGCTTGGCTTGTGGGTGAAGGGATCTGAACTCAGGTTCTCATGTTTGCATACAAGCACTTACCAACTAAGCCAGCTTCCTAACCCACCTACTTTAAAAGAAGAGTTAATCTGTATTATATTTTTCATAACGGCAAATGAATCCATAATTATCTTAAAATTTAAAAACCCACAAAAGAGCACATTATATCTTTAATATCAGAGTCAGTTAGCACAGGCTCTCTCTCTCTCTCTCTCTCTCTCACACACACACACACACACACACACACCACACACATAAACACACACGATGATGTTGACAATGGAAAAGTCTTCTGGGAACAAAGAGATGAGAAACTAACAAGATGGCAGGAACTCTACTTTTTAGTTACTATACTCTGTATTATTTAAGATTGTAACAATCAATGTCTTAGTTTGTAGTAATCTGAATGATAGACTGTTTTTAATAAATCACTCAATAAAGTCACATGATGAAATAAATAATAAAATATTCATATTCATTTTACTGACTTATCACTAGGTCTGTGATACAACAAATGGGTATAAAGTTTACCTCAATTAATTCACACAGTAATATTGTGAAACTACTTCTCCTAAAGCATTAACAACTGCATTTATTTTTACTATTATAAAGCCATAGTGACAGGGACTAGAGAGATGGCTCAGTGGTTAAGAGCACTGGCTGCTCTTCCAGAGGACCTAGGTTCAATTCCTAGCACGCACATGCCAGCTCAAGACTATTTATAACTCCAGTTCCAGAGGTTCCAACACCCTCACACTGACATACACACAGGCAAAACACTAATGAACATAATATAAAAATATTTAAAAAGCCACAGTGACAACTGTACTGCTATTAATTCCATGGATAAAATCTGAATTCTACTTGTCCACTGCCCCCAAATGCAGGATGACAGTTTAGACTCCACTGGTCTTTAATTACATTTTAAGAACAATAACAAAAAACAAGTATTGGAAACCACATGTTGAGGTACACATCTGTAATTCCAGCATTTGCCAGGTGGAGGCAGAAGGTTCAGTCAAGATCATCTTCACAAAGTTGGAAGGCCAGCCTGAGCTACTAAGAGCCTGTCTCAAAAACAAAACACAATTTTTTAAAAAGTAAATGTTCAAAAAAATTTTAAAAAGTAATGCTTTGTGGGACAGGAGACAGCACTGTGATTACACCTACTTCACATTTCTCAGAAGCAAAGGAACTCCGCTCTTTTCTATGCTTCTATAGTTAACAGGAAAACTACAACCTCAAAGATACATCTTTTAAAATATTCAAGGCTTGCACACGCACTGTTCAACAGGACAGTGACAAATCATGCTGCCTACCCCAGTGCATCACAGCAGGGGCCGCCTCCACTAAGCCTCATAAGCTATGAGCCTTTGCTCAGGCTACACCAAGGAGAAACATGAACATGAACATGTCAGTTATACAACCTTACAGATAGAGAAAGGGGGGAGGGGAGAATAAAAAGTGTCTATTAGCCATACCTGAATATATCCTGGGTATCTAAATCAATATGAAGTCCATTGATGAAGAGAGCTGAATCTCCAGGCTGCAATCCTATAGTTCCCTTGAAATACTGAAAACACACACACAAATAGCAGTGAGAGTACATTTAGCAAAGCTTGTTGTTCCTAGGCTTCCTTACCCACACAAATCTTAACATTCTGGGGCTCGGTAAGATTCCCTTCTGTACTCTTCCATGGACCCTTCTGAGCATCCATTATAGTGAATGAAGATGCTGCTTTGCTGGGCCTCTACCTCTTTTCCTTTCCTTCTTCCTTCATTCTGATGATGACACAACTACTTCTAGAATATTGAGCATGCAAGGATGCCAAGTGCTAAGAGTCACTTATCAAAAAAGAAAACAGAGTAGCCGAGAAGGTGGCTCAGTGGTTAAAGTGCTTGCCATGCAAGAGAGAGGACTGGAGTTCAGATCCCCAGAGCCCACCCAGGCAGGCAGGCATGGTGATCCACCCATAACCTCAGCACTCTGGAAGAGATGAGATTCCCAAGGAAAAGCTGACTAGCTAGACTAGCTGAATGTGTGAGTCCTAGGTTCAGTCAGAGACCCTGCCTCAGTAAATAAAGTAGAGAGCAATTCAGGAAGACACCTAGCATCATACACTCAAATGCATGTGTACCCACAAAAATGTGTTCCACACACATGCAAACACATACGAATACACACACATCACACACAATAGAATATAAATAGGACTAATTGAACAAATGTTATCTCTATACAATTTTTAAAATAACATGTTTCTTCCTGGCCCACAATACAGTAAGATATTTATTCTTTTGGGTTCCTTTTCCAATAATTCTCTGAACTGACTACAAAGAACGAAAGCTTATAGCTCTGCTTATACAGGACACCAAGGGACTGTACACATTTGTTCACTTCTTTAGTAACAAAGAAACTGAATTATCTCCTTAATATTGAAGGCAGAAGAAAGTAAGCCTGTCTATAATTGGGGTCACAGGAAGATTCTCCCTTCTATCCATCTGTCAAGTTACATAGGCTCTGGAATTTTCCTAACCTCTGTTTGCAAGGGCCAGATTAAAGTGCATAGCTTTGCTTTTCTATGCTTCTGTTGCCTTCCTGATTGTGATGCCAACCAAGGCTGGGCTGGCAACCAGCACAAGGCCCCCGTGATGAAATACAGGGCTGAAAGAAGGCTTTCTAAACATCATGCCCACCCCAGCCTTTAAACTAAAGCACACAAGAAACTGGGCTGTTGTACTGAAGGAAACGCCCCCTCCAGCTGCCTAGGCCAGCAAGGCCTGGTCAGTGGAGTACTTCGTTACTGTGCCCCATAGAGTGGCAGTTCAGTACACTGGTGACCGTGCTGCCCAGTACCTGCCAGAAACACTGATGTGACTGCATTCTGACACTTGGGTTGAATACTACTCTTCTTGTATATCCTACACCACAGGAGGGCTAGACAATACAGTGGAGTACAAAAGGAAGCAAGCAGACACCAAGGACAGAGATACCGCTTACTAACCCTAAGAAGCACCTTCACTTTCCAGTAATCAATGACTAAGGAAAGTATACTTGTCAGCTCCAGCATTGCATGGGAAAACCAAAGAGTGAGGAAGCTGTGTCTCATGCTTCACAGACATGGCAGCATTAAACAGAAAACAAGATGGAGGATAATACAAAAATGTGGAAAACACACATCTATGTATGTAACAATGAAAAAAAAAGCCATAAATCTGAAAAAAACAAGGAGGGGTATACGGAAGGGAAGAAAGGAAAGGAGAAAATGATGCAGTTATATTATAATATCAAAAAATAAAATATATTTTTAAATATGAAAAACAATGAACCCCCTTAAAAACAAATAACCCAACAACAACAAAAACAAAACAAAACAAAAAAACCCGAGAAGATAACGGAGAGCTGAAGCAACTAAGAACTGAAATTTCAAGCCAGGGGGATGGCTGGGCAGGTAGAAAGAAGCACTAGCCCTTCAAGCCAGCTCCAGCCATTCCCTGGAGTCCATGTAAAAAGCAAGATGTGGTAGGGCACATCTATAAACACAGCACTCCTAGAGCGCGACAAGAGGTGGAGACAGAACTGCCAGGAAGCGTGAGGCCAGCTAGCCTGGAGTGCACAGTACAGCAGCAGCAGCAACAAAGACTCTGCCCCAGCAAGGGAGGAGGCTCGCACTGACTCCTGAAAGTTATCCTCTGACCTCCATAGGAGAGCCTGGATATACTCACATGTACACAGAAGCGCATGCAAGCACACGCACACACCATGGTTGTGAGCCACCATGTGGCTGCTGGGAGTTGAACTCAGGACCTCTGGAAGGGCAGCCAGTGCTCTTAACCTCTGAGCCATCTCTCCAGCCCCCTTGGAATTTTCTTAATGGGGCAGTTTCATGCCCACTCTCCTGGGCCTAAGAGGGTAAGAAAATCTAACCCTGAGTTTGTAAATGTCATCCAGCGTAACTCACATTTATTTCTAGACTTGGGACACAAGTGAGTTCACTTTGTGAAAACTCATCACACTAGATGTAAGATGTTGAGCACTTGTACTTCATCTTTATACATTTTTATATGTATGTATTCATGCATTTTTAAATAAAGCGTTTTACTCAAAAAGATTAAGAATCCAAGAGATACTAATATAGCTCACATAATTTAATATTATGCCTCCCCTGGCATGGGTAACTGTCAGAACATGGTCCAAGAATGGAATCGTGAGAGGCAAATTCTGAGTGCTTGTGAGAAATCTCCAAGAAATAAGACGAGAGTCTTGTGACCTCAGTTTCTTCAAAAACAGAATTGTTCTTAGAGTGTATTTTCAAGCCTGTCCCAGGTATAGCAGATATGAGTGCATTTACTTCAGATTATTCGTTACCACTGGCTATTTTTATTTGTCTAAATGCCTCTATGGAAAAACATGTTTTTGTCACATGCGGCTTGCCCTTGTGATTGGACACTTGACTCTTCTTAACCCTCGAGGTATATACTGTCTAATGCTCTGAAAAAAGTTGGCTATTACATGAGACTTTAGTCTGCTTCACTTTTAGGCTCCACTCCCCAGGTCCCACCACCTTTAGAGCAAACCATAAAATTAAACAGGGAAGCATAAAATTAAAGAAATCCCATGCTAGCTTCAAGCTCACTATGTAGCCAAGGATGGCCTTAAAGGTCCAGTTCTCCTGCCTCTACTTCCCACATACAGGGATTACAGGTGTGCAGTACCACACCTGGTAATGTTTTTAACTTAATAAATTCATGTGAAATATTTGGTTTCTTTCTCAAATCTATTTAATTAACTAACAACCTACATATAATGAAATATGGGAGTAAATTGGGTGTGGTGGCACACGCCTTAATCCTAGCACTTGGGAGGCAGAGGGAGGTGAATCTCTGAGCCAACCTGGTCTATATAATGAGTTTCAGGACAGCCAGGTATACACAGAGAAACCCTGTCTCAAAAAGTCAAGAGAAAAATTTTAAAAGGTTAATTGAACACAAGGTTTTCCCCCTATTCCCAACAACTCTAGTGAAATGTCTGTAAGGAGACAGGCCTTTTCTGTTATGAATCCATATGATAAAGAGCACAGACAGAAAAAGGCCAATGGAATCTGGAAGCAGAAGGGATAAGAGCGTCTTGGCAGTCTCCAGAAGCTACATGTGGGGCTGATATGAATGAAGGACAAGAACCCAGCTACTCTGTGGAGTGCATCAAAGGCAGGAATGAAAAAGGTTTAAGGAAAAATTACTTAAACAAGAGGTCCAGACTCCCTGTTGACCCCACCCCCACCCAAGTCAGTCTCCCTTTAAAGAAAAAAGCCACCAACTTTGATATATATAATAATCACTGTATTACTAAAAGTAATACTGTTAGATGCCACTGATTTAATTCAAGTTTCTTCATTGTCTTTAAGAAACAGCACAGGACAGAACGTTTTCTACCAGTTACTAATACCTTCTGGTTCTCTTCCACTTCCGTTCGAAGTTGTGAACTCACAGCTGTTTTTGTTATTGCTCTATAAAACAAAAATATGATCAGTGCTTAGCTTAGCATTCCATATAAAGGCTTCCAATTTCCCTATTCTTAAACACGAAACATATGGTTCAATAAACTATAAAGATAGGAACTAAGTAAACATCACAGCTCTACAACTGGCAAGTGTATTTCACAGACGTACAGATTTCCATTACTGCAAGACAGAAGAACAAAGGCAAGCTGCACAGTGCCAGTACACGCAGCAGGTCCAGTTGCTTCCAAGGTCTTACTCGACTGTGTGGCCCTACTCCTTAAGTGACATTGACTGCCCACAGATAGACAGCATTTAATGCACTAAAGCAGATTGCTGGTCCTACTAAATCCTTCTGGTGCAGGCTGAACCCTACATGTCAATCTTCCAGAAGCATAATGGATTAAGAAATCTTATATAGGCACACTACACAATAAAAAAGGAACTTTACTTATAAAATCCTCAGCCTAGAACTAAGCCAGTGCTTTTTAGTAATTTGAGACAAAGATTAGCAATGACATCTGTTAAAAGTTTCTAAGAATTTGGCTTTTAAATAATGTTGCCGTGCATTCACAGGACAGAGAGTAACATTACAGAATAGACAGTAATGTCAGGTAATTCAGAATATTGTTACTATGAAAGATCAGTCTCTCTGAGCCTCAGTTTCTCTACAAGGATCCTGATCATCCACATCCCTTTCTCTTCCTCTTCTTTTCGGCAGTACTGAGGATTAAACCTGGGGCCTTACTCATATGAGGCCAAGTGGTCTACCATGGAGTCTTAGGCAAAGCCCTTCTTCATCAGGATTCAAAAATGGCAGTCTGGGCCAGACTCTGGATTAGCTGATCTGGCCTAAGTGGGACAGTGCCAACAACATCCAGATCTCTCTCTTCAACCACACAACCAATGGTCTTGTCATCTTCTTAGAAAGAGGACACTAGTCACAACAGTAGTTACAAACAGGTTTCATTTCAAAGCATTTTTACATTTTAGTTACATCATGTTCTATGTAAACATAAAAGTAACTGGGAATAATGTTAAGGAGAGGGATGTACCAAAACCTTACTAGATGTTACCTGGCTTTGGTAGGAAAATTCTGACTAATATCCTTCATCACCACCAAAGCTAACTCCACAGGAGCAGCCAGGATGCGGGCAGCAGTCTGGAAACTGAGATCTGCAACAATGCGAAGTGTCATGTTAGAACATATGAATCTAAAGTAATGACAGTAGACCAAAATCCCCAATTCTACCCACAATTCCCTGACAGTGAAGAATGCCTTAGAATGCAACCATTCCACAGAGTGCCCGTGGTTTATTTGAGATCTCATTCACTTCATGGACCCCTGGAGTTTTTACCCAGTTATTTATGATCTACATCCATAAAATCCTAGGGCGCAAGCTAACACATTTAGCAGAAGCAAACTGGGGCCCAAATCCTGGTGTCTTCTAGATTTACAATATAATCACAAAATACAGGATTAAGATATTTATCAAATTACCTTGGGAAAAATATCTTGAGAATAGTTTGAAACATTTTTAGAACAGAAAAGTACACATATATCGTATGTACCCTTATGTGCCTTTACCATTCTACAGATACTCAGTTTAAGACGTGTACAAATGCATACAGGAGACCCGCTAGATGGCTCAGTGAGTAAAGGTTCTTGCTGCCTACAATTGCAAGTCTGATTAGTTGGATTCAATTTCTTGGAACCCAAATAAAGATGGGAAACCAAACTCCACAGTGGTGTCCTCTAATCACCACATGGGCACCATGGCACACCAGCCTACACATGCACAATGATAATAAATAAATTTTAAAATGCATGCAAGACTGTAGTAGAGTGCATTTCCAATATGTGAGGCCTTAGATCAAACCATCAGCACTATTTTAAAAAAGTACAAATCTAAAATTAGAAACTGACACTTAGATTTTTAAACTGTATGAATAAAGGAATAAAAAATGCAGCTATATATTTGTAGTAATATTATGTATCTGATTCCAAAAAGATTTGTAAGTATCAATGCAACCTAGTATCTGTTTAAAGAGGATTTCCTTTCTTCTCTTAACCATTGTCTTTAAAATCTGCAGTACTCAAATCTTCAAATTATAGGTATGGATGAGAAAAGAATCCCAGATCAATGGCACAGACCAGATCTTCAACAAGATCATAGAAGAAAACTTCCCTAAACTAAGGAAAGAGATAGACACAAATACAAGAAGTACACAGAACAACAAAAAGACAAGACCAGAAAACAAACTCCATGGCATATCATAGTTAAAGCACTGAGTACATATAGAACCAATAGCATTGAAAGCTACAAGAGAAAAAAATCCAAGCCACATATAAAGGAAATCCATCAGAATAACAGCTGACTTCTCAGCAGAAACTTTGAAAGCCAGAAGATCCTGGAGCAATGCAAAGTTCTAAGAGGCCATGGATGGCAAGCTAGACTACTATGTCCAGCCAAAGTATCTGCCATAGTTGAAGGAGAAAGAAAAACTTTCCGTGACATAAAAAGGCTAAGAATTTACAAAAGAATTTACAAAACAAACCCTAAAGATAATCTTGGAAGCAGTAATGTCAGACTGAAGGGAGAAATAATGATACCTAGGAGTCTGTAGAAAGAAAATAAATGATGCCATAATTAATGAAACAAAAAGTACAACTGTGCCGGGCGGTGGTGGCGCACGCCTTTAATCCCAGCACTCGGGAGGCAGAGCCAGGCGGATCTCTGTAAGTTCAAGGCCAGCCTGGACTACCAAGTGAGTTCCAGGAAAGGCGCAAAGCTACACAGAGAAACCCTGTCTCGAAAAACCAGAAAAAAAAAAAAAAAAAAGTACAACTGAGAACATAAACTTTTCGGGGAAAAAAATGACTGTAATCAACACACACCTTTCAATAATAACTTTAAATACATATAAGTATGTGTAAGTATATATGAACATATAAAAAAAATCACAATCTGTGGAACTCTCAGAATCTTGTAAATTTCAATCAAACTCTGCAACCCCCACACCACCACCACCAAGACAAGGTTTCATTCTATAGCACAAGCTGGCCTAGAACTCACGACAATCACCTTTCCTAAAACATAAGTACTGGGATTACAGGCACAGTACAAATCCTAGTTAATGTGGTGCTGGGAATCAACCCAGGGCTCTGTGCATGCTAGACAAGCTCTAACAACTGAGCTATATTCCTAGCCCAAGTTCTGCTCTTTTTTTTTTTTTGTTTTTTTGTTTTTTTGTTTTTTTTCGAGACAAGGTTTCTCTGTGTAGTTTTGGTGCCTGTCCTGGATCTCACTCTGTAGCCCAGGCTGGCCTCAAACTCAGAGATCCACCTGGCTCTGCCTCCCGAGTGCTGGGAATAAAGGCATGTGCCACCTCTGCCCAGTAAGTTCTGCTTTTTTTAATACCACAAAGTATACTGACAAAACTGTCAGTGACCTCTGGGTCTCCATTACCTTGCAGCTGCCAAACTTTCAAGGGTGCCATTTCATTGGTGCTCTCCACAAGATGCTTTCGGAATTCTTTCAATTGTCCTTCCAAGGTGGGATACAGTTCTCTGACAGAAACAGAGTTGGGTTGGTTATTTTCGTTGTGTTCTCTCAGAGTACACTTAGTGAAGGACTCTGATTTTATATTCACAAATTTCCCCTCCAAAACCTAAGAAGATTTCTTCAGTTTGGGCAAGACTTTAAGGCACAACAACTGTCCTCTGAAAGTAAGTTACCCCTGTATATTCTACATGACTCTACAGCAATTTAACTGGAAATGAAAACATTAATGCCTAAACTGGAAACCTGGTTAGACCATGTCATTCAGCCAAACGGCATAGCTGAAGCACATGAAAATGAGCCTAGCATATGTTATTTATTGTCATCTCTTTCTATTTTTTTCCCCTTTGGTTTCGAGACAGGGTTTCTCTGTGTAGTTTTGGTGCCTGTCCTGGAACTCACTCTGTAGACCAGGCTGGCCTCGAACTCACAGAGATCTGCCTGCCTCTGCCTCCCATGTGCTGGGATTAAAGGCGTGCAACACCACCACCTGGATCAATTTTTTTTTTTAAAGGCAGCACACCACAGATGTTCTAACTGAAATTCCCACACAGAGCAGAACTCAGGCTCTGAAAAATTTATCTAGTCGCCAAAGTTCAGAATGATTTTCTGCTATAAATTATAATGTTTTTACAAAATTGTTTGTGAAATTATGAAAGAAATTCCGTTATTAAAAATCATCTGCTGCCAGGCATAACTGCCATACACCTTTGATCTGCACCCAGGAGGCAGAGGCAGGTGGATCTCTGTGAGGTTGAGAGTAGCCTGATCTACATAGAGAATTCCAGGCCAACCAGGGCTACAAAGTAAGACCCTCCTCAAAGGTACCAACAACAAAAACACACTTCCTGTTGGCTGACAGAATGTATTTCTGCTGTGTGTTTTTAAAGTCTTTTCAGGTTCTGCTTAGCTTTGGAGAATGACCCTGGTCACTCTAATTTAAATGACCAACTTTACTATAAATGAAATGGGTTTTCTCCACTGTCGACTACATACATAAAGTGTTAGGATAGCCATAATTCAATGAGAAAGGCACCAGGAATGCAAGGAGGCATCTGCCAACATGAATTAACATACCTTAATTTTCCAAAGAGAAAGCCCTGAACTTCATCAATGGGATCATTTTCACCAATGACTGTGGTATTCACGTCAGTTCCTATAAAGACATAGTAAAGACATGTCTAGTAACTCAGAATACAAATAAAATGTTAACTTCACAAAGTCTGAATGCTAAAAAGAATGTCAAGTCGGGTAGTGGTGGCGCACGCCTTTAATCCCAGCACTCGGAAGGCAGAGCCAGGCGGATCTCTGTGAGTTCGAGGCCAGCCTGGTCTCCAAAGCGAGTTCCAGGAAAGGCGCAAAGCTACACAGAGAAACCCTGTCTCGAAAAACCAAAAAATAAATAAATAAATAAAAAGAATGTCAAATGCTTCAATTAACATTTCACTATAGGCTTTAAACCAACAGTGTTTTAATATTTCTTCTGTTCCTGGACAAAATAAGAATGTATTTTTCTCTAAAGCCTTAGAAAATTTTACATTAAAATTTTCAAGGGGCTGGAGAGACGGCTCAGAGGTTAAGAGCACTGGCTGCTCTTCCAGAGGACCCGGGTTCAATTCACAGCACCCACATGGCTACTCACAACTGTCTATAACTCCAGTTCCAGGGGATCTGACACTTTCATACCAATGCACATAAAATAATTAAATTATTAAAAAAATAATTTTAAAAAATTTCAAAATTAATAGATTTAAATATTACAAAAGACTTCTCACAGTTAAATTATGAAGAATTTAAAGTTAGAAAATCCTAAATATCATTATTTTCCATTTGTTTTACTATTCAAATCAATCATTTTTCTGTTTAAAATGAACTTAGAAAATATAATAGCACACACCATAGTTCCAGCTATTCGGAAAGCTGAGACTGGAGAACCAAATTCAAGACTTGCCTGAACAATTTAGTGTGCCTGGGTAACTTAGTGAAAGCCTGTCTCAAAAGAAACAAACAAACAAAAACATTAAAAAGAACTGTGGATGTAGCTCAGTGGGAGTGTACAGAGTACTTGTATAATATATACAAGACTCTGAGTTCAATACCACATAGTGCAAAAAATATAGAACAAAAGGTGAGTTTTAAAGAAAAAAAAAGGCAGCAGGTAAAACTTGTGGTTGAAAAAATAATTAAGGGCTAGGTGTGATGGTACACTCCTTTAGTCCTAGCACTTGGGAAACAGAGGCAGGAAGATCTCAGTGAGTTCAAGACCTCCTGCTTTACATAGTGAGCTCCAAGACAGCCACGGCTACAGAGCTAGGCCCTGTCTCAAAACAGAAAAAGAAAAAGCAAAAGGAAAAGGAAAAAAAGAAAAGAAAAAATTAACTCAAAACCACATAGTATTATGGCAGGAAGAACCCAGAGTCAACTGTTCCAAGAGCAAAAAATAATAAAAACACGAAAGTATCCATTAAGTCTGGGATATTTAAATTTTCATATTTGAATCACATATTAACACCTATTTATGATGCACATAACATCAACAACAGCTGATAATCCTTACTACATCATTTTATGCAAAAAAAACAAAACAAAACCCTATACTAAACTTTTTGAGCTTTTTGTTTTTGTTTATCCTTGTTTTTATTGTTTTGGGGACAGGGACTTGCTACTCAGGCCAGGTATGCCTTGAACTATAATCCTCCTGCTTTGGTGCTAAGATTGTAAGCATGCACAATATCCACTCCAAATTCGTGACTTACATTATCTTTCTTACTTCTCCTAAATACTTGAAAAATAAGGTATCATTGTCTACATATTACAGAGTATAAAAATCAGGACCAGGAAAATGTGTTGAAGGTCATTTACTCAGATGTAACACAATCAATATGCAAATACTGGCTCATCACACTCCTAAACCTATTCTTTTTCGATATGGGAAGCAATTCCTCATTAATTCATATTTGAAGACAAGAGAACACACTGGTCTTATTTTACAAATTCACCTTTCACCTGAGTATCATCCTTGGCCTTGTACTCCGTGCTCTTAATTGCCAGTTCCACACCATAGCCAGAAAGGTGAACTGGCTCCTTCCTGGGATTCTGCAAATAGAGCAAGAATTCCACCATCACCACCTAGCTCATTATGAGGTACAACAGGTCCCTTCCTTGCTAGAATGTCTCTTGGTTTCGTCCCTGCTCAGGTCATGTTTAAGTAGCCACATCAGTGAAACTTCATGGAAGAGTGCACAATTGATTATCTAATACCAAGTGGCCAGCCCTGAACTACATACGTACAAGTAACATTATATGGACTGAGAAAGTTGTGGGTGTGCATATATATGTGTGTTTATATACAACTGTATGTTTGACAACACAAGAAAAACGGGGATGAATTTGAACCAGACCAAGGTGGGGTATGATCTAATTATACTATAATCTCAAAAAAACTAAAAAATTATTTAGAAATTGAAATATAGTTATTATTTATTCAAGAGAGTTCAGTGAATATCAACAGTAATAGAAGTACTTGCCTACCATGAAAACATTCATCCTGTTTCTGAATAAAATCAATCTATAATTTGTTTCCCTCTTTAGGAAACCCTAGACTCCTTTATATTTTGAATCTTGCCACAACTATGGGAATGAAAATTTCAAGGTAGAAACAAACCTAAGGATATATGAAAAGCCTTATGGAAACCCACTACTCTAAAGCTAATTAAAAAGTATGTATTGTGGGACTGCAGAGCTGGCTCAGTGGTTAAGAGCACTAGCTGTCCTTGCAGAGAACCTGGGTTCAGTTCTCAGCACCCACATAAAACATTCTGTAACTCCAGTTCTAGGGGACTTCTATATCCTGCAAGCACCAGGCACATGCATAGTATACATACTGCACACATGTATGTATATGTATGTATGCAGGCATTCACACATTCACATAAAATAAAAATATATATGTGTCTTTTAAATGGAGGTACCCTGCATGGGTGGACAATGCTGCTCCAAGAAGATACTGGTTATTAAATAAAAATCCCTGTGCCAGGCATGGGATACCTCTCTACGTGTTATTCCTCAGGGTGGCCCCAGAGGCCCCCTAAACAATACAAGCTACCACCACTGCTCTTGGTTGCCTATTGTAACTAGGTATAAAATGCTATTGCTAAAGACAGCAGACACGTTGGTTGCAGGACATAGAAAAAATTAATTCTGGAACTGACCAGTAAGCTTCCCCGCTGCTGGCTAGATCTCACAGTGCTGGAAGGTGCTATGGAGGCCACTAGAGAAGAAAAGACATCAATGGTCTTAGCTGGCGCTAGAGCCTACATGCTACAATACTGACTGCCAGGCAAGACATACCCACTGGTACAATAATGGCAAGACTGTTATGGGGGTAATTTACTGCTTGCTCATTGGACTCAAAATACTTACACCACAGGAGAGAATGAATCCCTGTACACCTGGTCAAAATCCAATGGCTGGGTATGTCATAGGCCCTAAGGGGGAACCTATTATTGCTGTTTTGCTTAATGGTCATATCAAACCGACTTTTACATATTTATATTTAAGTATTTATGTTTATACCCATAGATTAATGCTACTCTCAACTGTGGTCAAAAAAGCTTCTTTTTGCAGTAGACATCAGTTAATAACAGAGACTCCTAACTACTTAAAGTGCTGAGAATGAGTGACTGTGGGTGCTTAGCCTTATACAAGCCATCTGTACTAACTATCCTCCCCAAGGCTCAAGAGCAGTATAGATGGAGACAGAAAGAATGTAAGAAGGGAGCCAGGAGGTGGTGGCGCACACCTTTAATCCTAGCACTTGGGAGGTAGAGGCAGGCGGATCTTTGTGAGTTCGAGGCCAGCCTGGTCTACAGAGTGAGATCCAGGAAAGGCACAAAGCTACACAGAGAAACCCTGTCTGGAAAAACCAAAAAAAAAAAAAAAAAAAAAAAAAAAAAAAAAAAAAAAAGAAGACGACTGTAAGAAGGGAAAGAATGCTATGGAATGTTTTCTGCCCATGGCACAGCTGCTACACTCATGAACTCATGCAGTGGGGTTAACTACAGAAGATCTGCACAAGATCAAGACAGTCAAGACGGAGGAGGGCTCAATTCCTAACTGCTTGCTGAGAAGCTACTGTCCTTGATGGCTGCTGGGAAAGAGTGACTTTCCTTTGGAGGGATAGCCACTGGTAGGTCTCCCATGCTCCAGTGCATGGCCCCAGAACCATGCACATATGAGCAGTACTTGTTGGGAGCCATGTGGCCTAGTTTCCGACCAGCATATGAGTGCTTGTCCAACGAGTCTCCAGATGAGGCAAAAGCCCCCAGGGACAGTCTCACTCAGCAAGGACCAGTGGACTTCAGGACAGCGCAGAGTACTGCTAGGACGATTCGTATTACACGCTCTCTTCTCTCTCATAATATTGATGATTCTCTTGGTGGTTTTAGTGTCATTTTGTCAATCATGCATGGGACAGATGAGATCATTCCTGGAAACTCCATTTTTTTCTTGACTATTTCCCTTAAAATTCTTTCGGAGCTGATGCTTCTCAGGTTTCTTGTCTGGGGGTGCCAGCTGTCACTCCAGACCCCAGGAGCTGTTCTGATTTAGTGCTGACAGGACTGGAGGCAAACACCCTATTTCTGTAAGCATGTTTTGAACGAAATTGTTGTTCTTGAAAATGTGTGCCTTAGTCAATCACATTTTAATTTTGTAAAGACAGGGTGTACCTGGCTTGATATTTGGCCAAGCTAGCAAAATGGTTTAAAGATGTTTTGATGTAAAAGTTGAGAAAAAAAATATTTGACATATTTGTTTTTGCCAGAGGTTAACAGTTGATGTTGGGAAAAACTTGTTTGTTAGCATAGAAAAACATGCTTGTTTTTGATGTATAATGAAGATGGCTGGAGCTATTTGGGGCCAGTCACTTGCGTGAAACTCATCTGGTAGTCAGACAGTTCATTTCTTCATGCTGACACCCCTTCCCCATCTCAGGACCAGAACCCAGGCTGCAGCAAGCACTAACTGGACTTAGTGGGTTATTTTTAAAATAAAATAAATAAATAAAGAGGAGGACATGTAGACAGGAGGAGGGTGTTTAGTGGGGAGTTGGAGAAGAGAAGTAGGAAGTTATAATCAAAGTACATCATTTACATAAATAAAATTCTCAAAGAATAAAAATACTATAGTTTAGGGGGCTGGAGAGATGGCTCAGCGGTTAAGAGCACTGGCTGTACTTCCAGAGGTCCTGAGTTCAATTCCCAGCAACCACGTGGTGGCTCACAACCATCCGTAATGAGATCTAGTGCCCTCTTCTGGCCTGCAGGTGTATATGCAGACAGAACACTGTATACATAATAAATAAATCTTTAAAAAAAAAAAAAAAAAAAAAAATACTATAGTTTAAAAAAATCCATTCCAAAACCTACAGAACAAGGAGAAAACTGGTGAGACCCCAGACACGAACAGTTTGTTGAGACTGTGTGCGTATGTGTGTGTGTTTACTGTACTTGAATGCTTCTGGTGGGAGCTGGAGAGATGGCTCAGCAGTTAAATGCACTGGCTGTTATGGAATAATCTTTTTGTACACTGTGTCTTTGCTAAGGCGCCTTCTGATTGGTTTAATAAAGAGCTAAATGGCCAATAGCTAGGCAGGAAGAGGTTAGGCAGGACTTCCCGGCAGAAAGAAAACAGGAGATGAATCTAGGCACGGGGAAGACTCCAGAGGACATGAAGAGGAAACAGGAGGTGCAAGACATAAGAGAGGTAAAAAGCCATGAGGCAAAACATAGATTAATATAAATGGGTTAATTTAAATTATAAGAGCTAGTAGGACAAGCCTAAGCTATAGGCCAAGCTTTCATAATTAATATTAAGTCTCTGTGTCACGATTTGGGAGCTGGCGGTCTAAGAAAGTCTGCTAAAACTGGCTGCTCTTCCAGAGGACCTGTATTCAATTCTCAACACCCACATAGCATCTTACAACTGTGTGTAATTCCAGGGGCTCTGGCACTCTGCTCTGGCCTCCACAGGCAGCAGGTATGAAAGTGGTGCACAGCGACCCCAGGAGCTGTTCTGATTTAGTGCTGACAGGACTGGAGGCAAACACCCTATTTCTGTAAGTATGTTTTGAACGAAATTGTTGTTCTTGAAAATGTGTGCCTTGTTCAGGGAGACCATGGAGACCCCATCCAGAGAACACTAACCAGTGTCCAATCTACAAAGAGGAGGGTCAATACAAAGGAAAGATTTCCTCACTGCTTCCAAGCAAAGCCATGGTCAAGCAGGCCTCTGACTTAGGCTCACATCCATTAATTAACTGGTAAAGAAGGAGCTAGAAGTTTCTCTCAAGCCCAAGTGACCTACGAACTAGATCCAATGGGGCCAGGTCAATCTCCAGGCCAAAGGGCCAGTTGCAGGATATTTGTACACTGTGTGAAGATGTATTGCTGTAATTGGTTTAATGAAAAGCTGAACGTCAGGCAGGAGAGGTTAGGCAGGACTTCCAGGGAGACAGAAGAATTCAGGGGGATGATTTAGGCATGCAAGAGACGTCAGCAAGACATGGAGCAAGTTGGACGTACAGAATGGAGAAGTAAAAAGCCACATGGAAGAATGTAGATTAATAGAAAAAGGTCAATTTAAGTCATAAGTGAGTTGGGATCAAGCTTAAGCTAAAGACTAAGCTTTTATAATTAATAATAAGTCTCCATATCATTATGTGGGGGCTAGCAGTCCAAAGAAAGTCTGACGAGAAAGACCAACAACAGACCACCCTTGTACTACGGGCTTACCTCACTCAGACTTACTGGGTCAGCTATCACTAAAAAAGGACCCCTTCCCTATAGCAGTTTCTTACTTTAAGATAGGATGGAAAGAGAGCCAACACCACCTTCCTAATGAGTTTGAAAAAGAGAATGTTTAAAATAAGAAGAGGGACTTGTAAGAAACAGTTAATATTAGTCTTTTCCATCACACATGGTAAAACTTGTAACTATAACAAAGATTTAAATATCTACTTCACCTTGTAAGACTTTTAAGAACATGTTTAATCCACCCACTACCACCTCTAACCAGGTTTACACAAAAGCCCTGCTTTCTTGGAACTTAAGTGACTAAAGTGGCTGACCTCTTAGAACCAGCCAACTGGGAAAGATTGTTAGATGGGACCTCAGCCATTGGTGAAGAGACAGTCATGACCTGCATTAGAACAAAAGGGACATTTCCTGCCCCAGTACGCTTACTCTTCTGCTTCTGTGAGGAGCACACCCTCTTGATCAAGAGTCAAGATTTTGTCAAGACACGAGAGAGAGAGAGAGAGAGAGAGAGAGAGAGAGATCAAAAAGAAAATGTAGAGGGTGAAGACAGACTCCTACAAGAGAACACAATTGCACATGCACACCCCCACAAACACATATTCAAATACACATAGAGAATTCAGTAATCAATTCTAGCTAGGATGGTACAGACCCGTGACCACAGCTAGTAGAGAGAGGCTGAGAGGGAGGGAAGAGAGAAGGGGAGGGAAGGAGAGAACGGTAGAAAGAAAGCTGAGTGAGAGTGCAAAGAGAGAAATAGATATCTAATAAAAAGTATTGGATTTCCCCCCCAAAAAGTAGTTCAAAATAAATTATTTTTTAAAGAGGGAAAGAATCAACTCATGTTCTAAGGTCATTTTAGACAAATTAATATTCAAGAAATTATAAAGTAAGTCAATACTTACAGATATATAATGTCTGAATACATAATTAATTTTGCCTTCCTTGCTTTTTGATTTAAGTTGGTGGTGAATATTAGAAAATTCTTCATGGCCAATCTCAGAGTAAAAAATCACCACTGGACTTTCAGGATTTGATGAAGGATATCTGTGATCTCCTTTGAACAATAAAGGTTTAGGCCTGGAAATAAACATTAAAAGCTCAAAATTTTTAATTAAAAAATTTTTAAACAGCCGGGCGGTGGTGGCGCACGCCTTTAATCCCAGCACTCGGGAGGCAGAGCCAGGCGGATCTCTGTGAGTTCGAGGCCAGCCTGGGCTACCGAGTGAGTTCCAGGAAAGGCGCAAAGCTACACAGAGAAACCCTGTCTCGAAAAACCAAAAAAAAAAAAAAAAAAAAAAATTTAAACAAAAACCAGGACAATTTTGACAATGACTTTGAAAACTTGGTCAAGATTTTAAATATCTTAATATAAAGGGCATCACAGTCTTGATCAGTTTTTTCACTTTGAATACTGTCAAGTATACATTTTATTCATTCATGACCATGAAAACTAAATTATATGAATATTAACTATGAAATACTGACTTGGGTTAAATTTTTTTTTTTTTGGTTTTTCGAGACAGGGTTTCTCTGTGTAGCATTGCACCTTTCCTGGAACTCACTCTGTAGCCCAGGCTGGCCTCGAACTCACGGAGATCCGCCTGCCTCTGCCTCCCGAGTGCTGGGATTAAAGGCGTGCGCCACCACTGCCCAGCTGGGTTAAATATTATTATCAATTCCTAAAAAAGGGAAAGGAAGCCAGGATGCATACCAATTCTCACAGCACTAAAGCTGCAGAATATTTTTCTATCATGTGGAGTATGACTGCAATTTTATCTGAAAATATAAGGGCAAATAAGGTGAGCAGCAGATGCTAACTTTGAGCATGTAACTGTAAGCTACAGCAAGTCTCCCTTCTCTGCCCTGTTTGCTAGTGATCGTCCTACTAATGAATTCCACTTTTCAGTTTTCCTCTTTTTAAGCTCATCAAAATACAAACAAAAAAGCCAAAACCACCACACTTCTTAACATTGGCATCAAGACATTAAAAATTCTGATCTCCTGTGGTGGTTTGAGTGAAAAATGCCTCTTACAGGCTCGTGGGTTTGAATACTTGGTCCCCAACTGGTGGCACTGTTTGGAGGGAAGTTATGAAGCTTTGGAACACAGAGACCACCACAGGGGACAGGCTTTTAGAGTTCATAGTCTTGACACACTCCAGCTCCTGCTCTCTGTTCCCTGAGTGCGAATAAGATGTGATCTCTCGGCTTCCTGTTCCTGCCACCATGCTTGCCATCCCTGTCATGATGGACATCGAGCCTCCTGAAATTGTGCTTAGTTTTTTGTCAACTTGACATAAGCTAGAGTTATCTGGAAAAGGGAAACCTCAACTGAGAAAATCCCCCATCAGATTGACCTATAGGCAAGTCTACAGAGCATTTTCTTGATTAATGATTGATGGAGGAGGGCCCAGCACACTATGGGCAGTGCCACCCTTGATGGTCTGGGTTATACAAGAAAGCAGGCTGAGCAAACTAGCATACAACGTTCCTGCATGGTTTCTGCTCCAGTTCCTGCTTCCAGGTTCCTGCCTTTCTTTCCCCTGATAAGACTATAAGCCAAATAAACCCTTCTTTTCCAAAATTGCTTTTGGTCCTGGTGTTTTATCACAGCAATAAAAAGTAGGACAGAAATCTTATGCCAAAATAAATGCTTCATTAACTTGCCTTTATTAATGGTATTCTATCACAGCAACAAAAAAAGTAACACACCCACCAATCCCTATTATAATAAACTATTCAACAGAAGGCAAACACATAAAATATGTTCTTTATAGCAGGAAAGTTCCAAAAATTGGAAATGTCAAAAACCACCAGTAGGATATTTTTACATAAGACAATATGTAGATGTTAAAAAACCGGGCGGTGGTGGCGCACGCCTTTAATCCCAGCACTCAGGAGGCAGAGCCAGGCGGATCTCTGTGAGTTCGAGGCCAGCCTGGACTACCAAGTGAGTTCCAGGAAAGGCGCAAAGCTACACAGAGAAACCCTGTCTCGAAAAAAAAAAAAAAAAAATACTGAAGTGCACATACATGCACTAAATATTTATTTCAACAGAAATAAACCTACCTACTTATACAAATTTAAAACCATAAAAAAGCCTAACAGGATACTATTAAAAGATAGACTATTAAAAGTAGTTCCAACCTCTCAGAAGGAGAGGCACCACTCTTTACATAGGTCTGCATTATTACTCTAACAAACCAAAAATTTGAAGGAACTACAAAGTCACTAATTATGTTTCACTCAAGAAAGCATCACTCGGGGCTGGAGAGATGGCTCAGTGGTTAAGAGCACTGACTGCTCTTCCAGAGGTCCTGAGTTCAATTCCCAGCAACGACATGGTGGCTCATAACCACCTGTAATGAGATCTGGTGCCCTCTCCTGGCCTGCAAGGACACATGCAGACAGAACACTGTATATTTAATAAATAAAAATAAATCTTAAAAAGAAAAAAGCTCTTTAAAAAAAGTATTATATTGAGGCAGAGCCAGGCGGATCTCTGTGAGTTTGAGGCCTCCAAAGCGAGTCCTAGGAAAGGCACAAAGCTACACAGAGAAACCCTGTCTCAAAAGAAAAAAAGAAAAAAAAAAAAAAAAAAAAAAGCATCACTCTACCATGTGGCCACTCTCAAAAGTCCATCCATACCTTGACTCTGAGCTGCCTGCAACATACAGTGAGTTTATTGGTTGTCATCTTGAATAAGAGCTATTAATGCCATTTGTTGGGCAGAAGATAGTACTGGTCTGACAATGTCACTACACAAGACTTATACAACCAAAAATCCCATTAACATTTCTGGTAGAGCGAGCCATCATCACAGTACATTAGAGCAGGTACAGAGAGGCTGCTGCTCCAGCCAGCCACCAAATATGTACTGATTTTAAGTGCCCTCTCCAGGGGACCTTAGCCTCTTTAGGCAAAGAAAACTGATGCATCCATTATTCAAATCAAGCTTTTAATTATCTTTTAAATATTTTCTATTGTTGGTAATAATATCCTAAAACATCATTATCATTAATATCTGCCACTTCAGGTGCTGGCTTTTGTACATACAGTAATATTAAGAAACTAATGACAGGGCTGGAGAGATGGCTCAGAGGTTAAGAGCACTGGCTGCTCTTCCAGAGGTCCTGAGTTCAATTCCCAGCAACCATATGGTGGCTCACAACCATCTGTAATGAGATCTGGTGCCCTCTTCTGGCATGCTGGCATACATGCAGGCAGGACACTGTATACATAATAAATAAATAAATCTTAAAAAAAAAAAAGAAACTAATGACAAAGTCTATATAATCTCTCAGAAAAAAAATCATTATCCAATAAACAGGAATGTCAAATGCTTCTAATTTTGAAACAACAGAAAACAAAGTAATTTACCTAATTTTACAAAACTATTTTAAGTAATGGAGCTAATGTTCATACCTGGTCAGTCCCTAGCCATACTAATAGTACATATATAGATCAGATAAGAAAATCAGAGGAGTCTGATTTTCTGATGATATATATAACATTCATAACCCTAGAACTTGGGAGCTCAGGGCAGGAAGATTGCAAATTCAAGACCACACTGGGCTACAAATCAATACCTTTTCTCAACAAACAAACAAACAAACAAACAGACAAAAAAAAAATATGCCTTTAATCCCAGCACCCTGGAGGAAAGGCAGGTCAATCTTTGTGAGTTTTGAGGCCAGCCTGGTCTACATTTCAAGTTCTAGGTCAGCCAGAACTATATACTGAGACTCTATCTGAAACAAACAAAGAAGAAAACTAAACAAAACTCAACTCCGAGAGGACACACAAGAGAAAAGGCTCAGGCCGTGAACCACACTGAAATGAAGAAATACAACCTACCTGTCGGGCGCAGTTAGTAAAAGGGTTTCCAGAGTATCAAAATCACAGGTCTGCTCCCCATGTACTGAGAAGAACGACTTACATCCTTCTGGTGGAGGCTCATCAACTGCTATCTGTCAGGAAGGCAAAATACACAGTTCTACTCAAAGATCAGACAGAAATCTATGTTTTAGTGAACGTGTGACTAAATGATAATCCACCAGAATCCACCATCACTAAAAGCAGAAACTACCATCTGCTGAACAGCCACTGTGGGCCAAGGTGGTAAGAACACTCCAAGCCAGAACTCTGGCTGGCTATGATACTCAGTTCCTCCCATTTCAGTCCAGGTCAGTACTAGTATTAAAATTCCACAACAGAAAGTTAAAATCCTCTCTATATCAGACGATTGTCAAAAGATACCTAGGAATCTGGGGTATACCTTCAAAACACTCTTAGCTCAAAATGGCAGGGGTTTTGTAAGTGTGCACATGTACGTGTACATGTGCATGTTGATGTCAGCAGTTACCATGGAGTGTCTTTTCTAGATTACTCTTCAAATTTATTTTTTTGAGACAGGTTCTTTCACTGAACCTGAAGCTCAGCAATTCACCTAGGATGAACAGACGGTGGACTTTAGGGGTCTCCCTGTGTCCCCCACCTCCTAGCCCTGGGGTTACAAGTGTAAGCTACCATACCCAGACAGAAAGGCAGTTTACCAACTGAGTCAACCCTTCAGCCCCTTCCAGTGCCAACTGACCACCTAAGCTCAGGGGTCCACACGGTGGAAGGAGACGACTGCTATAAGCTGTCCTCTGATCCACAGCATACCATGGCACATGCACATACGTATGCACACTAGATAACTAAATAAATTAGTGTAAGAAACAGTTCAATGTCAACTCTCAAGAGTACAGTGCATGGCACTGAGTGCGGAGACATGCCAGAACGATAGAAAGGGGCCAACAGAAGGGAGGTGAGACAGAATAACAAACCAGAGATGAACGGGTGGTGTTGAAACACCGGGAAGAGAAAAGTCTACGCAGGTGACAAGGTCAGAAAATCGGGAAGAGGGTGAAAGGAAAAAGGGGTAATCAAAACTAAGGAAATATATAATAAGCCATATGGAAACTGTGAACATACAAGCTTATTTAAAAACTATATTTTTTTAAAAAAAGAATCAAAATGGAGGTGCCCTTCATGGATGGATAGTGCTTCTACCAGAAGTCTTCGGTTATTAAACAAAAATTCCAGTGCTGGGTGTGGGCTACCTCCCTGTGAGTTACTGACCAGAAAGCACAAGAGCCCTTCCCTCCAAACAATATAGGCTATTGCCAATGCTCTTGGCCCCACCAGATCTTGACAGTAGCATTCTATCACAGGAGTTGGAGAGATGGCCCAATGGTTAAGAATCCAAACTGCTCTTGCAGAGAACCCAAATTTAATTATTAGCACCTACATAAAACAGCTCACAACCACCTATAACTCAAGCTCCAGGGTAAGCTGACAATTCTGTCACCATGGAAACCTATATTCATGTGTACCCACATAATTTAAAATTATAAAAAAAAATCCTATTTCTAAACATTGTTTGATCACAGGACATACATAATTAAACTGGAGCTAAGCTAGAAGCTGTCTCCCTACAGGCTAGCCTTCCTTCATACTGCTAGAATATACTATGCAGGCTGCTAAGAAAGAAAAGTCATTAACAGTCTCACTCAGATGTGAATTTTGGGGGCTACAATAATGACCTGCAAGGCAAGATGGGCCCACTGGTGGCATGGATGTCATGAGTAATTAACTACTTTCTGATTGACTGAACCTGAGGCCTGCTCCATAGGCTAAGATAAACCTGGTCAAGAGCACATGGAGTGAGGGTTGGGGGGAACCCTAGGAAACAACCTAATACTACATCTACTACTACTACTTTGACTGTGTCATCAGACAGCTTTCTAAATACTTAGTCATGGTTATAGTCACAGATTAGTGGTGTGTCCAAGCCTTTGCTGGAGATGCTCCTAACTGCACTGAAATAGCAGTTTCCACAGAAAACCATAACTGGCCCCAGTGCCAAGAATAAGGGATGTGAGAGGACTCAGCCCTAAATGGGACAACTATTATCACCTCCTCCAAAGATCAAAGAACAGCGCAGAAAGAATGTAAGAGCCAGAGGCTGGGGAGAGGTGCAGGAAAAAGACATCTTCTGAACATACAGCAGCTTCACTCAAACTCACGCAGCTGTGGTTATCTGCACACAGTCTATACAAGATTAGGTCCTTCAAACTGCATCATGGACAGAAAGAGCCTCACCCCTCACTCCCAGGACTATTGGCAGTTAAAGGTTGCTGGCAGAGGGGGTGACATTTTCTTTAATGATATAGCTACTGTGAAGTTGCCCTGTTCCAGTAAATAACCCCCAACCTATGCTCTGGGAAAAAACTCCAAGTTCAGCGGGCCACATACAAAAACAAGATGTGGAATTAACAGGGAAATTTGTTGAGGAGTGTTCCATATGGAGAAGGAGAATAAAAAGGGGAAATGGAGGTTAAAACAAAAAAAAAAAAACCTAAATTCATTATAAATGTGTGAAACTAGGGCTGCAGAGATGTCTCAGAGGTTAAGAGCACTTCCTCTCTCAGAGAGCCCAGGTTCAATTCTCAGCACTCACATGGCAGTTCACAACCACATATAAATTTAGTTCTAGAGGACCTAACACCTTCCTGTAACCTCTATAGGAACCTGACATGTACATGGTACACAGATATATACATACATATATATATATATGTATGTATGTATGTGAGTAAAACATTCATATACATAAAATAAATGTCAAAAATAAAATGCCAAGGTAGAACTATGCTGTCCAAATTAAAGATGATATGTAAATTAATAGGAAGCTCCTCATTTACCTAAGAATTATATAGAATCTAAAGAAACAAGGCAGGCACAATGGCTCACATCTGCAGTCTCAGTAATCAGAGGGCAGAGGCAAGAATATTGTAAGTCCAAGGATAGCGTAGAAACAAGGAAGTAGGGATCCTGAAAACAGCAAAGCTAAAGAACAGACAATAAGTTTTCACTGGGAAGTATGGTAGGTAGGCCAATGGCTTCTGTCCAAGCTAGCACCAGGAAAGTACCAGGCACCCACAGCAAGTCAAGACTCCCTTCTAGGACAAGGCCCCACATTAAGGAGAAACTTCTTAAAGTAGAAAACTTCAGTAGGACAATGGAAGAAAAAGTCCAAATAAAAGTGTAAGAGTGGGACCTGGAAAGACGGCTCAATGGTTAAGAGCATTGATTGTTCTTCTGGAGGACCAGGGTTCAATTCCCAGCACCCACATGGCAACTAACATCTGTCTGTAATTCCAAGATCTGACCTTACATAGACATACATGCAGGCAAAACACCAATGCAAATAAAATAAAAATAAATTTTTAAAAAAAGTGCAGGATGATGGAGCCAGAGAGATGGCTCTGGAGTTAAGAGTACATATTGCTCTTGCAGAGGATCTGAGGGTGGTTCCCAGCACCAAGATGTCACATGGCTCACAAGCATACACTCACACACAGACACACACATGCACACATAATTTAAAAATAAAAGTAAATCTTTTTTCTTCTCTTTTTCTTTTTTTTTTTTTTAGATACAAGAGAATAAGCAGGAAATCTCAGTAACATACTAATGTATTTCCTTAGCACTGCAGAAATCCAACAGAAGAGGGAGCTATGTCAACCTCTAACAGGTAAGGAAAATTAATCACACATTAAAATGAATATAAATCTCTAGAGGGCTGAGTAATGGGTAAAGCATGAGGGCCAGAGTTCAGATTCCCAGGACCCACCTAAAGAGCCATGTGGACAAAATGGCTCACCTGTAAGCCCGTGTGGGAAAGGTAGTGACAGAAAGGTCCCGAACAAGCTAGCCAGTCAGACTAGCCAAAATGGCCAGCTCCAAGTTCGTAAGCCACTTGACTGGTACAGAAGGTGAGTGTGATTACAGAAGACTCCTGACATCGACCTCAGACACTCATCCACTCACACATACAGAAGCAAAAAGTCTCTACTTCAAAACCCATACTAGGGCTGGAGAGATGGCTCAGAGGTTAAGAGCACTGGCTGTTCTTCCAGAGGTCCTGAGTTCAATTCCCAGCAACCACAAGGTGGTTCACAACCATCTACAATGAGATCTGGTGCCCTCTTCTGGCCTGCAGGCCGAACACTCACTATATACGTAATAAATAAATAAATCTTTAAAAAAAATTACTAAACTAAGTAATTATTAAAAGAAATAAAAAGGACCAGAAATAGCATCTGTATATACCAGTTTCACATACAATAGACATTACATTAGGCACAGAAATCATCTGCAATCAGCCCAAATTTGCAGCCACACGCCACATGTGGCTTCTCAACACTTGAAATACAGCTAGTGCAACTCAAGTAAAGTTTGTGTTTGACTTGAATAGATTTATATTGAAATAGCCTCACCTCTCCAGGAGATAAACAGTAAAGTGCATTGCTTCAGTCGATGAAACCACATCATAAATATACAGCCAGAGTAAAGATAAAAAATGCAATCTAGCCAGGTAGTGGTGGTGGTGGTGGTGGTGGTGGTGGTGGTGGTGGTGGCACACACCTTTAATCCCAGCACTTGGGAGGCTGAGGCAGGTAGAGCTCTGTGAGTTCCAGGCCACCCTGGGCTACAGAGTGAGTTCCAGGAAAGGCACAAAGCTACACAGAGAAACCCTGTCTCAAAAAAAAAAAAAAAAAAAAAAAAAAAAAAATGCAATCTATAGCCAGGTAATGGTGGTGCACAACTTTAATCCTGGCATTTGGGAAGCAGAGGCAGGGGGATCTCTGAGTTCAAGGCCAGTCAGGGCTATACAAAGAAACCCTGTCTCAAACAAACAAACAAACAAAAAGAAATCTATGGGCTGGAAAGATGGCTCACTGGCTCACCAAACGACATTTGGCTCCTAGCACCCATAACACGTGGCTCACAACTGCCTGCAACCCCACCTGAAGGGCATATGATACCTTCTGCTGGACTCCACAGCTACCTGCACCCTCATGCACATTACAACACAAACACACACGACAAAAAAAATTTTTTTTTCTTAATGCAACCT